GTAAATTATGGAAAGATTATAAATTCTATAAAAAATAGTAGACATTTAAATTACACAGACACACTTAAGAAATTTTACATAAAATTGATAAGTCTATTAAAGTGCTACAAAACTATAATGAATATTCCAAATAAGTGCCTGAATTACAGCAAAAACGAAAATTAAAGATCAATAATAAATCCTTAAAGGATACAACTATTAAAAGGCGTAGTAAATGGTTATGTACAAGGAACAACAATAAATAATTGAACGGTTATCTCAACCTAGTAGAGGGTAAAGTTGTGATTGTACATATCATAAATATATATATTTTATTCTCCTAATTAAACCATTCTCGCTTACGCCTATGTCTTCCGATTTATTTTTTTCTTGTATTCTAAACTATATAAAATACAATATATTACTTATTTTGATCATTACTTTACTGTAATGTAGTCACATACTACATATAATTTCTATTACCTACATTTTAACTGTTATATTACATATCTAAGCATAATTAATTGTATTATACACCATATAATATTTGGTGCTGGCAATAATAAACTTGCATCATCTTTTTTCTATCATTCATAATATTAATTTAGTCTAATATTAATAATTGTTCATTGTTCATATAGTATATATATGCTCTAAGATAACATAAAATATCATAATATAACGTATCATATCATAACATAATATAATACAATACAATACAATACAATACAACATAATACAACATAATACAATATAATACAATACAATACAACATAATACAACATAATACAACATAATACATTATAATACAATACAATACAACATAATACAACATAATACAACATAATACAATATAGTAAGCTCTATTCCTCTATTTTAACCTGTCCTTTGCAATCTTATTCTATTTTGTCCTATTTTAGTTTTATTTTATTTTATTTTATTTTTTTTTCTATCTTCTTCTTCTTCTTCTTCTTCTACCTTCCTTCCTTCCTTCCTTCCTTCTATATTAAGTTAAATTTGGGGCGGAGTGCGAAAATGTGATTTTTATAAACTCCGCGGTTTCCTTTTTAGGAATATTTTTCCAATGGTTTCTTAGATGTATGTGCTATGGTATGTATTGCATTTTGTTTGCTTATTAATATATTGCTTAAATTCGTTTCATTTTGAAGTTTCTTCTATATACAACTGTTTCTATATGCTTTATTTCCTTTTGTGTATTGTCGGCGATTATAAATGTATCTGCTGTTCTTCAATTTATTTGTACATAAAAGGTAATACAGTGTCTCACATAATTGCTTCAATAATTGTTTAAATTTACTCTTTTTCACTCTTATTTACATTTACTTTTTATAAGTGTTAATATTTATTATAGAGATAGTTATAGCTCCTCATTTGTCTGAAATTGTTTATATTATTGATAATATCAATATAATTATTGTAGTCGTCTTTATATCTAACTTAATAGAAATAAACCATCATCTATTATATAATAAATAGGTTATTCATATAAAACTAATATATTGAACTTCATATTAAAATATTCATTCTACACTCAGTTTTAACAATAGTCATTGTTACAATGGTCGAGCAATAATAATAATTATATACATAACTCAAACAAGATTATGGCTGGTGCATTCAATTACATAATTGTTCATAAGTAATACACATCATATATACATTGATAATATTGATTATTGCTAAGTAGTAGGATCTTATACAATGATAATGATAGTAACTCATAAATAATTGGTATTGTTGCAACTAGACATATTTGTTATAAAACAAGCTCTGGATATAAGTATAAGTAATATTATAATAGATGAATTACATAATACAGGATAAAATATAAGCCTGAATATGAAATAAACCTCTGTATATAACATCTTGTAAATAATATAAAACTTATTGACATCCAATTGTCTAGATGTATCAATTATAAGACATCATATCATTTCTAAATATTTATTTTTATAACCTTGACAAAGGATTCAGGTCCTCTTTGATCCAATAAAATAAAACATAAAAGATATCAGGGACATATACTCAGATTAAACAATAAAGTTTTTATTTAAAGCCTCAATCAGATCATTATAACACGCAATAGATAATTCATATGAATCGATAGCTTGAATCAACACATTGTATATCTGAATTCTAACACTGCCTCATGATTTATCCTTTTTTTTATAGTTATTTCTATTTCTTTGATTTAGGATTCATTAATATAAATACAAGCAGTTGTTTAGACACAAAAAACTTTTTTCTTTAACTTTCTTTTAACCTTCTTTATTTTTAATTGAATAAAAAACAGTCTCAAACTATACTTCCTTTTGTTCCTTTTCTCTCTCTTCTATTTTCTCTTTTATTTTTTATTTACGTTCCATCACAGCAAGAACTACTCCTGCCGTATATGAGTGTGATAGGTGTACAAGTTCCTTTAACACTTACCGACAATTTCAAAATCACAAAAGAATCCACAATACCAGGCCAGTTTCCACCATCAATGAGGACCCAATCGCAGAAGTTTCATATAGTGAAATAGTTGAAGAAAATAATTTAAGTAAATACATCCCTTCATATATATAGCATTATACATTACTTTACAATGTGAAATAACTTGTCTCATTGCTGATAGGTGACCTTAATGATCTTGATTTGAATGGCGAAAGTTACAAATTCCATACCAATGTAGCTGCGAGTTTATTAACAATGAAGGCCGGGCACACGTATATAGCTGTGGAAGTAGAGACATTGATGAAAACAGCTTCACAAAGACTGAATTAATGAGCATCCACTTGTCTCGTCTTGTAACAAAGCACCAAATATCAAGAGATGCTGATAAAGAATTTGTCCGCTTTGTCAACTCTGTAATTAGAGACTACGAAAGCTTAGTTTAGGTAACAAAATCATGAATAATAGTAATAAAAAAAGCATAGCTACTCACTACGGTTCCTGTCGCTAATGCTCTTCATTGAACTAAATATAATCTAATGCCCAAATCTTACACGGTGATGTTGTTGACAATCTACTACAATCAAAGTCCTCTGTAAAAGCGCACAAGTATGAAGTATGTAAAAACGGTTGTAAGCTTTTCGGTTTACTTGAAGACGAACAGTTATGTCCCCATTGTCAGGGAGCACGCTACAAAGACAGCAGTAATCTAGTTCCAAGATCAACAATGAAACTCATGTCAATTGGCGATCTTTTAGCCCAGATGCTAGCAAATTCCAACACTAGACAGCTTCTCCAATATCGCGCAAGCAGGGAGGTTGTTCCAGGTGTAGTAAGCGATGTATTTGATGGAGAGTGCTATAAAGATCTTGTTCGCAAAGGCTTGTTTTCCAATCCAGATGATATTGCAATTGGGCTTTTTACCGATGGTTTTGTAAATCGACATAAAGGCAAAAGCTCTTACACAATTATTCATGTAATCATTTTCAATTTCGATCCTTCCATCAGGTACATGTGACATCTATTTTTATAAGATTAATTCTATCTTACACAAAGTTTTTATTGTATTTTAGATACACCAATGAGTACTTACTGCAGTTAGCTATTCTCCCAGGAAGTAGAAAGCCAGCAGATTTAGATTCATTTTTAAAGTCAATTGTTGATGAATTGAAAGATCTGTCTGAATATGGGCTAATTGTAAAGAAGAATCAGAATGAAGTTTGCAGAGCGAAAGTCCATTTGTTGATTTGTTCGGAAGATATTCCAGCTGTGGCAGACATGGCGCATCTAGGCTCACATAACAGTTTGTATGGCTGCAGAATATGTGAAACGAAAGGAAGATCCCCAGATAACCGATACCATGGAATGCATTTTGAAGATACCAGCGCCCCATTAAGGCCAATCGATAATTTTTTGCGCGGCAATCCAGTAAGTTCCATAAAAAAAAAAAAAAAAAAAAACTTCATGCTTATTACCATCATGTTTACTTACTACTTTGTTTATAGGCCAGATCTATCCATCAACCAAGTGTCTTTAGTACGCTAAATGGCTTTTCTGGTTCTCCTTTCTTTGGCTTGGATGAGCTCTATTTGATCGCAAGAGGCATCAGCAAACAAATGTACGACATGAATACCGTTGATCTTAATCCAAGTCAAAACGCTGTCTTTTTTTATACCCGACAGGATGGCACAAAGGTGGTGGAGAACTACCCTTTTTTATACCCAAAAGAAGCCTTGTAAACATTGGAAAAAGCATAACAGAGTCAAGACAATATATCCCTACCTCATTTCAAGGCAGTTTTGACAATGTTGTTGCAAAAACCGAAGGAATTGTGCTGTGGATTGGCTGGACTTTCTGCTCTATATTATTCCAACTTTAGTTACGCCATACTTACCCAACAGAACAGTCCAAAAAGCTGTATTATCGCTAGTGAAAGGTTGCTCTTTGGCCCTTCAATGGAATCTAACTGATGAGTTGATCAGTGAGAGGATGGGTAAGATTCAAATTCCATAATATTACACAAACTGATTAGTAACCCCTTCTGCACTAGGCACATTAACAACTGGCATAACTACTTCCTTCAACAGGTCAACCATAAACATGTATCGCGCAGCGTATTCAGACCAGTACAACATTACCTAGCTCATATACCTTTCATGATAAAAAAGCAAGGCCCTTTTCGAGCGTATTCAACAAGGTCAATGGAGCGATCGATTGGGGTTTTTTCAAAGCTGATCAAGTCGAAACGTGAAGGCGGAAAAAACGCAAGTAACATCATTGAAAGACTGGCAATCCACAATCATGTCAACCGCGTTTTAAACATTGCCGAACTAGCTAATCTGATTCAACCCAGACAATATACCGATACCAGCTACATGAATATACCCGATGATGCTAATGGTCCACAATTATGGGAGCCTTTCATCCCGATTTCTGAGCTGAATGACGATCAATTGGTGGAAGGTATACCCGGCAAGAAAATTGTCAAAGCTATAAAGAGATTCTATACTCGCTTAAATAATCAAAGACTCCTCATTAATATACCCAGCACTTCTATAACCCTTGCATCCCACCTTTTGGTTTCTTCAACTGTATATTCATCTTGTATGTACAGGCGATTAAAAAAAGAAACCAGTAGAGGGAATCAGTACATTATGTTTTCATGTTTAGATAACGCGTAAATTTAAAAAAAACTAAAACAACTATAAATTCTTATTTACCAAACATATTATTTTAGAAGAAGGAAACGTTGGTTTGTTGGTTCTGTTCTATTCTGTTTCAAGCATGAGCTTTCACAATCGAATGTACAATTTCTCGCGTTCATTGAAGTCATGAGTCAACATACCACAGCTTCGCATGACTCATCTGTCCCTCTAGTAAAGCGAAGCAAGCCAATAGAAGAACAAACTGGCAATACTTCTATTATATACCCAAAATACGCTGTTATCAGTGTTTATGACATCGATAGGCAAGCTGGTCTTGTACAATACCCTGGAGTCGATAACCAGTTTTATGTTATATCCCCGTACTTTGTTTTCGACATTAATCTTCGCACAACAGTTGGTAACATTTCTTTAATTTAAACCATTAAGCTCCAAATAAAATAAAAAAATTAGCTCAAAGCTTGTTTGTTGAAAAGAAAAAAAAATTCAATTAAAAAATTAGAAGCCCGTTTTAGCTCTGACAGAAATTCAAGCGCTGAAATATGGTAGCTAAAATACCAATTTGGTATCTGTTGCCAATTTTTTTTTTTTTCGTAAAAAAATTAAAAATCATAATTCTAAAATGAAGTTCATGGCTTAAATGAAGGGAACAAAAAGACACCCAAACATATAAAAATAATCTATATACCTTTTACTATTCACCTAGTTGCTTCTAGGCTTAATTCTAGGGATTTAAAAAACATCTCACCATTGCTAGCCATCTGGGATGCACCCTTCCTTAAATGTGGTTGGCTGGTTCAAAAAAAATTGGTAGCTTTTCTACCAATTTTTCCTCATTTACCATGATTTCCGCCATAGTGTATGGAAAGAATGATTCTTTTGTTAAGTTATTGTACTCAATTGCGCATGATAATCTTGATCAGTTAGTTGGAGAAGAAGCTGAGAAATTGGAAGCTATAAACAAAATTTGTAGTATTAGTGAAATCCAATTACGCAAGATAAAAAAATACCTGGAAAAAGGAGATGCAGCATCAAGAAAAAAGTCATTAAGCTATGTGGATGATACTTTGGAATTCTTGCAACGACAGAAAAGGAAATATTGTGAAGCAATCGAAACAACACCGATTGATGAAACTCCTCCTTTGGTTTATCTGAATAAAAGAAGACAGCCAAGCACTGTAGAACTTGACGACGAAGTGCATGATGCAGAATTATATGACTTTGTCCAACGTTTCAAAAACGCAAGTAGAATCAATTGGAAAGAATGCTTCAGAAAAGGACATCTAGAAAATATTGAGTCAATTAAACAATTCAATACTTGTGAGAGTCTACGATGTCATTATAATAGAAAATTTAAATAAAGAATTTTATTATAGTCCATCATTACATAACATGACTTTTTCATTGCTTGTGATAGCAATTATAATATCCAGTAATGGATGTGTTGATTAAGAAGAAAAATAAGGTAAAAGAAAAATATAAGAAAAAATAAAAAGTCTATGAAAACTTTGTTCAATTCTTTTTTTCAAAAAAAACCCTCTTTTTAAAATTATACAAAATGGATCCTTATTTACAATGACTCACAAAAGTGTGGCAATGTTTTATGATTTTTAGCTTTCCTTAATGCACAACATAAATGAATAAAGATACATTAATAAAAGTATTTTTAATGGAAAGTTGACAAAATTTACATTATTTTTATAGCTTCTTAGTCTCATTTACATCCATGAATGTTTATTTCGACAACGATCATGTCCTTTTATACGATTTAGCCATTTTGCTGCATGATAATTTTTTTCTTTATCTATTTTTTTTTTTTTTTTTTTTTTTTTTTTTTTACAAAAACACCATTTTTTTTTATTTTAAGTTATATTTCATATTATTATTGAATTAACAAAAAGGTTTATTTCCTATTTAATATCGTTTTTCTCTCAAATTCATTACTAATCTAAACAGCATTTGTGCATCATTCCCATTAACACATAGATCATCACATACATTAGAATGAGACCAATTCCTTATGATAAAAAATTGGATATTTTAGCAAAACTTAATGCTAAGGAGTCTTATAGGGATATTTCTAAGGCAATGGGTATGTCAATTAGGACAATTGGCAGAATTGCCAAAGAAAATCAAATTAAGATTAACGTAAAAGAAGGTAGACCAAAGAAGATTAGCCCGTTACTTGGAAGATTGATTGCGCAATCTTTTTATACTGGTCATTTTATCACTACAGTGAACGCTGCCCGGAACTTACATGGTCAAGGGTATGATATTTCTGCGCAAATTATACGCAAATTCTAAAAATCGTCCGACTTTGATTCGAAGATTAAGAAATCTGCATTACCATTGACGAATGAGCGTAGACGAAATCGTCTAAAATAGGCCAAAGCTCATAGAAACTGGACGGTTGAGGATTGGAAAAAGGTCATCTTTAGTGACGAAACAAAAATTAATCGTTTGGGTTCAGATGGAAAGCAATAGATATGGGCTAAAAAGAGTGAACCTCTAAATGACCATAATATCAACTTTAAGTACAAAGGTGGGAGAAGAAGCTTAATGTTATGGAGTTGTTTCACGCAACATGGTCCTGGTTTTATTGCCAAGATTGAGGGCGGGATGGACTCGCAATTATATTGTGAAATATTAAAAGGTGACTTTATGGAGACGCTCAAGGATTATGGCCTTTGTAAGAAAGATGTGATCCTTCAACAAGACAATGATCAGAAGCATACATCCAAATATACAAGAAATTGGTTCAAAAGAAATAAAATAAATGTCCTTGAATGGCCATCATACTCACCTGATCTAAATCCAATTGAAAACCCTTGGTTTTATTTGAAGTGCAGGCTTGCTGCCTATGATAGGCCACTAAAAAACATGGATGAGTTATGGGAGCGAGTTGCTGATGTTTGGTACCATAAAGTTACAGCCGAATTATGCTTAAAACACATAGAAAGTATGCCAAGACGTGTTGAAGCAGTAATTAAAGCATAAGGTGGTGCTATCAAGTACTAAACATAAAAGGTACGTTGTTCATTTCATTTTTCAATAAACTATTTGCATTAAATTTTTATACATATAACTTTTAAAATTATTTTTTCAAATAAAAACACTATATAATGAATATATGCTATAAGTGCCATAAAAAAGAGGAGACTCCTGTCTTTCTGCTAGTATATACTATATAGTACTTTACTTAATAAATAGACGATTTTGTTATAGTACAAGCTCTCGATATAAGTATAAGTAATATTATAATAGGTGAATTACATAGTAAAGGATAAACTATAAGTCTGAATATAAAATAAAACTCTGTATATGACATCTTGTGAATAATATAAAACTTATCGACATCTACTCATCTAAATGTGTCAACTAAATAATATATCGTGTCATTTATAAATATTTATTTTTATAATCTTGATAAAGGATTCAGGTCGCCTTTGAGCCAATAAAATAGATATAAGGAACATATACTCAGATCAAACAGTAAATTTTTATTTAAAACTTGATCAGATCATTATAACACCAAATAGATAATCCATAGATCAGTCTCTTGAATCAACAAGACGTATATCCGAATACTAACACTGTTTCATGACTCATGTTCTTTGATGGTTATTTTTATTTCTTTGATTCAGGATTCATTAATATAAATACAAGCAGTTGTTTAGACACAAAATAATCTTTAACTTCTTCTTTAACTTTCTTTTAACCTTCTTTATTTTTTATTGAATAAAAACAGTCTCAAACTATACTTCCTTTTGTTCCCTTTCTCTCTTTCTATTTTATCTTTTATCTTTTATTTACATTCCATCACACAAGTAATTGCTTCTTACCTATGGCATGTATAAAAAATACTTTTATTTTGGAGAAAGTTCGAAGCTCCCTTAAAGAAAATTCGTCTGCGAAGTTCTTCAACATTGCAAGGCTTACGAATAGACCTTTGTGGTAATTAAAGCTTTACTTTGATCTGTTAATAAATCCAGATCCAGAGTGCCGTGATGTTTCCAACTAGACAACTCCAAGATTTTTTGTTCCATAAAGACTGATAACTTCATCAGCTTGGTAACTGCAACTATCATCTTTGAAGAAATGAAGAGCTTTCAGTTGATTCGACATAGCCTTTAACGTAACTACACCTGGCCGGAAATCAGCTCTACAGTTATCCATATCTGCTACAACTGCGTCTGATGTGACTTTCATAAAAGGATGAACAAATAATGAATTGTAAACAGGTTTATCATTCTTAATATCTAACCCTGTTCAACAGAACCCTAAACTTTAAGTTGTTTAAATGTTTGTTATAGTATTGATCAGCATACAAGTAAGAATGTGACATTTACTATGCTCTGAATAGGTTCTGTAAAAACTCCATCGTTAATTGTGCTTCTTTAAAAGTCTTTAAGTCTTTCTATAGTGTCCATTTATGAATTAGTTGCGAAATTATGTTATCAAAAAGTTTACAGATAACACTTACACTGCCAATCACTTTATTCAAATAAGGAAGACAAACCTTTGATAGAGGAAGGCTTACTTTTTCGTGATTTTTAACATGTTCTTGATACATGGTTTTATCCATGTGTGGACGACCTGAAACTACCAAGTCACATCGAATGATGTTATGTACTTCAAGACTAAAATAATAAAGAAGCATTAACTCATGACCCTTCCTTGGTTGACTTTAGATGCCAGACAGGTTAATACATCACATGAAAAACATTTTATATTATATGTAATTATATTATTATCATTTTTTCAGTTTTCAAGGAAGATACATCGTCTTTAATCTGCGATGGCACAGATTCTAAACCGCTAATCCAACCACCATCATTTAAATAATGTCGCAATAGCAATTTATAGTTTTTCAAATTATTTATGCCATTATGAGTTAATTCAAAATACTTTTGAAATGCCCATTGATGGGCAGGGTACTCAATGAAGAATGCTTTTGAGTATTCAGCAGGCATAATTAATTTGAAATCACTATATTAACTTTTAATTATCATAGCAGAATGTAAGGAATGAAAAAGAAAAAAAAAATTTTTTTATGTATAAATTTTTGGCCTGCATGAGCACACAATAACAAAAGTTATTAGATTATTTAGATTAGTTCAAAGGTGATCAGGCAAAGAAAAATGTTCTTAAGAAACAAAAGGTAAAAACGAAGAAAGAAGAGAGAAAAGAAAACAAAGGAGAAAGTTCAAAAAAAAGAAAGAAAGAAATCAAGACAAATATATAAAATAAAGAAAGATTCATTTAATGTATATTCTAGTATTTAACTATTAATTTATAGTATACTGATGATAACACTAGTAAATTGTGTTGTGATGAGTATGGGTAAGTTAATCAATTGCTTGACTTGAAACCGCTATTCATAATAACGACGTAAAGATTGAAAATATTACAGATCAACTCACAATTGAAGTAGAAAATATATCACAAGGTGGTTTTATGTCTATTGCTGTAGAAGCATAGCATATGGATTACTGTTGAAGATTTAGACCTAATATAAAAAGCCCCTCTTTCAGAAAAGAGCAATGAGTTGATATCCTGTATGAATGAAGTATGCTTATTATTGTTCACAAGTAATAAAGGAGTCAAGGAATAATAATCATAAAAGCTAATGAAATATTTTACAATGAATATTTTTTGCAGCTGTCAAAGTAGTGATTTCATTTCTATTGATAAGTTTGGTAAAGGATTGAAGCCTACATCATTACAGACACAATGTAAGACTTTAATGAATAAGTCATTATGTTATCAATATGAAAGCGTATTTTTATTCAGTCCTTATTATTATATACACTATAGGATAAAACTATATCCCTGGCTTTTCTTTCTGTACATTTTTTATTTATTTTATGCTTTTTTATAATATTAAGTGTGCGATATTATTATATGTAAGTAATGATTATGTGTGTTGCTTTATATATACAAATTATTAACAGCAGATATATAAGTGATATAATTATTTCATATGAGAAATATATTGAAATACATAAGAAACAATTCCTTTTTGTGCTTCTGAAATCAGGATAGGATCTGGTAAACGTCGTAAATCTTTATCATAGTGATTCCATGTACTAGAATCACCATAACTCATAGTTTCTGCAGGCGTATGCTGCTTACCTTGAATACAGCGCTTGCATTTAAATGTATCATGTGTCTCACTATCACTTTTAGTATGTAATGTAAAAAGTTGTCGCATATCAGCTACAGAGAAATGTCTTTCCATATCAGCTTCATCAACAACACAATTTGACAGTGATTGTTTATGAGATTGACGTTGAAAGATCTTTTCTTCAATTGTACCTGTGGCAATAAAACGATAAATAAAACAATCCTTCTTTTGCCCATCTCTCCAGACACGTGCTAAAGCTTGTTGATCTGCTGCAGGGTTCCAATCAGGATCAAATAATACAAGACGATTAGCACCAATTAAGTTCAAACCACAACCACCTGCTTTACTACTCAAAAGAAATACAAATTCTTCTCCTTCAGGATTATTGAATTGATCTACAAGCTTTTGTCGTTTTGTAATATTCATTGAACCATCCAAACGAAGTACACCATATCTAATAGTAATTATATAAATATATATACTATTATGTTATTATTCTGCTACTTACTGATTCTGTTTACAATAGGTTTCAAATAAATCTAAAGTTTGTGTATAATTACTAATAAGAACAATTTTATCTTTAGTTTCCTTCTTAATCTTTGCAAGCATACTGTATAGAAAAAAAAAGGGGGGGGAGGGCGATAAGTAATATGTAACTATCTTGTTTTTATATATGTATACTTTACCGTGCAAGCACCATAAATTTACCCGAGAAGGAAGGATCAATCTTACCATTGTTACCATTTGTATAATTAGATGGTAAAACAGCTTTACTTCCCTCTAAATCTTCTGGAAGATTCAATAAATTAGGATGATTACATAATTTCTTTAAAAAGGTAATATTTTTTAATGCTTGACATCCTTGGCCTTTCAACAAATTTTTAATTTCTGACGACGTTATGAAGATATTATATAATGCTTCTTGTAGAGGAGCTAACTTGCAAAAGACAACATGCTCATATTTAGTTGGTAAATATTTTGTCAAGATATCATTTGTTCTTCGAATTGTAAATTTGGACACAATATTCCAAAATTCGGCTACTTTTTCATCACTAATTTCCCTTTCCTTTTCAGAAGCATCAGCATCTCTACCTCTTAAGATAGGGTTTTCATAGTTACGTCTAAATTCATTTGGTGTTCCTAATAAGCCAGGATTGGCAAAGTCTAATAGAGCATAGTATTCACTTAAATCATTTTGGATAGGTGTGCCCGAAAGAATTACTCTCCTTTGCACTTGTAAACTGTTCAATTCTTGAAAAAGTTTTGAATCTCGATTTTTCAATCGATGTCCTTCATCACATAACAAAATACCAATTTGACATTTTTGCAAGTATTTTGTATAGGCTCTTAAACTTTCATAGGAAATGATAAGGATTGAATTCTTGCCTTGACTTGCTCCCCATCTTTTGACAGATGCAATTTTTTCTTTACTTCCTCCATTATCCACTGTTAAAGGTTGAACACGAGTTGCACCAAGCCATTTAACTATATAAAGATAATAATTAAAATATGATAACAATTAAATGCCATTGTTTTTGTTTTTTTAGAGATATAAAATATATATTACCAAATTCATTTGCCCAGTTTTTAACAAGACTTGAAGGACATGTAATGATTGCCTTTTGAACAGTGGGTTTACCGATTTCTTCTGACTGTTGAAGTAATGTCCAAACAAGTGTAATACATTGAAGAGTTTTGCCTAATCCCATTTCATCTGCCATAATACAACCATAGGCATCAGGATAAACTTTACCAGTAGTACATTGGTATAAGAACTTGACACCCTCTATCTGATGTGGTCGAAGTACTCTACCTAAAGCAGGATCAACTACAACATGTCCAAGCTTCCTTTCTTCTTTTTTAAGACCTAGAATTTCAGCTAATGATTTACCCTTCTTTTTAGGTTTATCGGTTGTAATCTTTATCTCTTCTTGAATAGGCTGGTTGTCAGGATCCCAGAGAACTATAGCATCTTCAGCTGTATGATCATAAAGTGCTCTCATCATATGGCCTGCCCTTCTTCGAATACCTAATGTCTTTTTTTCACCAAATTCATTGGACTGTGGTAAAATAGGTGCTGGCTTGCCATCTGTTGATTTAGGTATCATAGAAGGTACTTTAAATTTTCGACTTAAAACAGCTTTTGCATCGTAATTTTTATTGACTCGTGAAAGTGGTAAAGGTAGCTTGCGAATAGAAGGATTAGAAATAGATTTTAATACTGTTCTAGTTTTTTTGTGAACATGATCTTCTTGATCACTCATGTAATCAGAATCATTATCATCACTATCACTAATAGGTCTTTTCTTTGTTAATTGTTGTTTTTTTATTATTTTCTTTTTTAGTTGAAATTCTTCGTCCTCATCACTATCGCTTTCTATATTGATCTCATCGTCTTCATCGCTACTACTATCTACATGTAAGGGTATCTTTACTCTAACTTTTCTATTACGTGTAGATGTTCTAACAGGTTTAGGATCAATGATTTGTCTTGGCTTCGTAAGCATAGTCATAACAACAATTACAAAGAAAAAAAGAGAAGGAAAAATAATATTTTAATAAAAAAAGCAATGAAAAAAAAAAAAAAATACAAACGAATGAAACCGCAGTACCTTTTTTTTTTTTTACAAATTAGAATTTGGTTATCCTTTTTTGGAATGGATCTATTTCACTTTAGATAATACGCGTAGTAAAAGTAGTTAGAGAAACAAGTCCAATTAGAGATGGTTGTTATTTCATTCTTACCGTAAAAAAAAATAACAGTATTTTTGCTTTCATTCTTTTTGAATAAATAAAACACACATTATGAGAAGGAATAGTATTAAGATTGTAGATAGGTTTTCTCAAGATGTATTCTTTCAGAATGTTAATTCCCTGAGGGAAAAAAGGAACTGTACTATTTATACCGATATCTGATTTAATTTTAAATAAGTTTATCAGTCTGTAATGTGTTTTTTGATGTTGTAGTGCTACTTTAACAGTGCTCCATATACAGGATAGTCTAATACTATATGCATACTTAATTATTATTGATCCCTTTTATTTTGTCTTTCATATTTGATAGGGATAATGCACAAAAAAATGAAAATAAGGAGTAAAAAACAATTAATTTATTATCTTTAGACGACCCCTTTGCTAGTAAGTGATTGGAAGCATTTTATCTAAACCACACATATCCATATAGTAATTTTAGAAGCATAATTTATTGGCTGTAGATCAAATGGTCAGTATACGAAGCAGTATTACAAGTGTCTATTACATAACACTGAATCAATTAATCGTGGCTTTTAATTAATTCATTTCTAATTATAATATAGTTGGAGTGAGTAAAAAGTGTAAGAAACAAAGTGTTAACATCAAAAACAAAAAAATAGTATAAAACAAAGTATAAAACAAAAAAAATGGGGGGCTACAAAAAGACAAAATCAGGATATTGACAGCAAATCAAAATGAAAAAAACGCAATCAAATAAACCATAATTCAGCAAGATCAAAGGATTCTCTATTCCATGCTTAAACAAAGCAAGAAGTGACGAACAGAAATCTTTGCTTACAATATACGTTCAAGACAACCAAGGCCCCTTTTGGCACTTATAATCATTATCAATATAAAAGCTTACTAAAATTAAAGATTATCATTGCTAGTAACTATATTCAACAAATTGTATTTAAGGCAAAATTATTTATAAACTATTATCCTAGATACAATTTTGGTAAACTGTATGACAATTGTTTACTGTTAAAAAGTCAATTAACAGTTAAAATCGGATTGATGGCCTTCAAGAAACCTGGAATTATTTCAGAAAAAAAAATAGATCCAAGAGATATATAAGATACTATTGATGAACGGCATAAGCTTTCATGGATCAATCGATTACGTATACAAACTATGTAGTTGAACTATTTGAGCATAAATTAACGTCGTATCCATATTACAAGTTACATAGCATGTTTGTGGTACACTAATCTCTAAGAAAAATTAAAATAAGAACACTAATAATTATATATGCATAGAGTACAAAATATGAAACGCTGTTAAAAATCATTAAAAAGTGCTGCTATCAGCTTATATGAGAAGGTTCACTAGTTTGCCCTAAAAAAAAAATGACCGATAACGCGAGTGAAAAGGAAATAAGAGAGAAAGTAGACGGCTCTGTCCACTCATAAAATTAAGAATAAACTTCTGGGTATTGTTAAGATCTCTCATAGATTCCGGGTAAAATTGTACCCTTCCTTCTTCCATATACTAGCCGATCGGGAAAAAATAACATGAAGACAGTAAGTCTTATAATCTTCGTGATTTGCTATTGTCAAAATTGTACATTGTATTTCCTTTCTTTTATTTTCATTAATGTTCTGCAATCATTTCCATTAATGCACTGAGTGATTATTTTTACCAAATGAATTTTGACCAAGTGAATATTCGAACTAAGTGTTTCTTTTTGATAAAGTATTCAAATTCAAAGCAATTGGGGTTAAAATTTAAGTAAGAATAAAATTTCCAAAGATGCAAAATATTGAACTTGAACTATGTTAACTATTCAGATATCTTACTGATTAGATGCAAGAGTATAATCTGATCCAATGGTTATCTAGTTGTTGTTGTTGTTGTTTATTCTGATTTTTCACTTGATGATTATATTATCAATGAAATCAGCGAAGAATATGAGCCGATCACAACCAATCTTAATCTTAACTTTAAGCCTATTTTTAGGGCAAATATCAGAAGTAGCTGTTATGATATAAAATTTTGCAAGTCTAAGGAGTACTAACATCTGACGGGATCTACCAAGTGCTTAGTTATAATGAAAAAGCTTAAGGATATACAGTTTGACAGGGGCAGCTCAATAACAGGTATATAAACCAAAATAGCTACAATAAAAACAGTAAGCTTTGAAAAAGTATTTATATCACGCTGCTTATCTATTTACTCATTTAGAGTGCCTGTTTGAATTTTACGAAATAGACAAAAACGAAAGAGCAGAAATTAATTTGAGTAAAATTCAAGACAATGACTTAAATTGTTTGTATTTTTTAACTTTTATTTGACGCCTTTGACTAATAGCCTTAGGAGTTACGAAATACACAAAAAGAAAGTACCTTTAGTTATGTTTAGAACCGGAATATACAACAAAGATATGATGCAAATCAAAGGATTGAAAATAATATCACAGGTCGTTTCTTCCCGGAATTAAAAAGAAGAGAGTATCAAGAAGAACTTTTTATAGTCACGATTGATGAACACTTTAGCATCCCAAGTTTATAACAAGCACCTATCGAGAACTTTGACAGAAGCAAAAAGAGTTAAAGGCAATGGAGCTGATACCTACAAAACATGTAAAACACATTGACCGAGGAATGTCAACGCTTCTTTGAACATGATAGATATAGCCCATTCAACTTGGCGTAGAAAAGGAGGGCTACTACTTTTTAGTAAAAAAAAAAAAAATTATCATAAATTGGTTTATTGAGTATGGTTTACTGTAAGGGCTTTAGATTATTACAGGTAATATATGTCTATATTGAGTATAAGAATGTGTAAACACTGAAGCTTCCTTTTTTCTCGATTTAATTTTAATTTCGTTAAAAAAAGGTTAATTATATTTCGATTCTAATCGGTTGCTCCTATTATTGTAAGATAGAATTTTGGATTTAGCAGGACTAGGACTTGTAATACTTTTTTATTTTTTTTCTTTTAAAAGAAGTAACACATACATACTATTGACTGAAAATAAAATAAAACCGCGTTTGTTTATTTTTACGTGATTTTTCGTGATAAAAAAAAAAGATTAATGCATGTATTGCAGGACGTTATGCATGTGTGTATATTAACTTTATTTAATGTACATAATCAAAGGGAGAAATAATAAATCATATGTAATCAAGTTATACATGTATGTGTAATACATGGAAAGTTTGGGTTTAATTTTTAATTTTTAATTTTTTTATTTTTTTTTTTTTTTTTTTTTTTAATTTATATCCTTACATAGTCCACATGCATATTAGATTTGCCCTGTTTTTTGTTTTATTTTTTTTTTTCTTTTCTCTCTTTCTTTCATATAATTTACGCAATTTTATATAGTTTATCTATTTACTTATTCTCTTTAAAGAATAATAGTCAAGAGTGGAAATATTATCGACCCATATTATTTAAATAGATGAATTCAACACTGGAAGTATTACAATCTTTTCCTTCTAATCAACAAGTTCAACCAAAGTAAGATTTATATTCTCATTGAATTTATAATGACAATTAACTGTTTCATTACTCTAGTACATTAACAATCTTAACACCTGTTGAAAATAAAAATGATGTTCTCGATTCACAATCTAATCATGCGTCTACAGAAATGAATTCTAAACCAGAATCTAATAACGCTGCTAAACGATATGCAATTTCACAAAAGATTAAAGATAATTTTTATGCTATTCATCATGTTCAGCGCTATTCATCTAAAGAAAATGAACCAACTATTAAGAAAGAAGTTCGAGATGTTGAGTTTAATGATGAATCAAAAAAGTTATCACACCATAGTGGTTATAAAAGAATGGATATGGATCTTACAACATCACCAGAAAATGGTAAACGTAAACGATCACGACAACAACAACAACAACAACAACAACAAAAGTCACGACATCAAAATTCTTTATTTCAAACTTGCACAGGGCTTTGGCCATCAACATCGCCTCATTTAGGCGACATGAGTTACAATTACATTAAATCTATTAGTGATCTTTTAAAAGTTCGGCTCTGTCAAGCTAAATTTAAAATGATGTCAAAATTCGAACAAGACCATGAACTATTTCACTTTTTATCAGAAGAATATATTCCACCTAAACCAGTGGCTCATACTGTGAGATTAATAACTAATCAACATTTCAAGTCAACGTTAGCAGTTATAGGAAATGGTAAAAATTTGTTTAGTCGTCAAAAATCAGCCCACAAATATCATCGAAGTTATTTAGCAGATTCACCTATGATGAATGAGAATGAATCTATGATGACTTCACCACAAAGACAGACTAATAAGACACCACGCCATAAAAAACGTACACCTAAAACACCTACAATGCCTAAAGTGAGACGAATGACGACAACATTAAAAAGAAGATCGGCTGCTGCTGATGTTATGCCTGTTACTCTATCAGATGGCTCTTGTTATTATGTTTGTGAGCCCTGTAATAAAAAATATAAAAACCGTAATGGGCTTGCTTATCATTTAGAGCGATGTAAGAATGCAGTGTCAAAACAGTTATCAGAAGATACTTCCCTTAATACAATGATTGGAAATAGTATTAGTGGCGGTAGCGGTAGCGGTGGGAGTACAGTGGAAGAAGAAGACGAAGAACAACAACGTAATTTAAATTTTATCTGTACAGAAACAAAATCTACTACTATTATTGAATGCGAAAAATGTAATTCGAAAATACAGATCGATAGTCAATCCACAGAAATAGATAAAGATGCTTACTGTTCAAAATGTATGGAACCCGAGTTATCTGAAGCAAATCAAGTTGGAAAAGATTTATTACAATGTTTATTAGATGCTAGTGATCGTTTACAACACAGCCAAACAACCTCTTCACAAGCGAGTGATGTTGAACATCATAACCAACAGCTTCAAGACTTGTTTAATCAAATAGCAACACCTGTTAAAGACGACTCTGATCTATTTCCCGAATTTATACATCAAAATGAAGATGAGGAACTATTTAGTGTTATCACTACTCCCGCAAATAATGAAGATAATGATGGTTCAGAAGCAGGCCTTAATTCTCAAACAGATATACATGATTATTTATCTAATTCATCTCAGTTACATATTTGGGATGATTTTAATGTAAATTCAAATTTCGATGAAAATACCATGAGTAGTCAACAAGATCAACAATGGAGTAGTATGTTAGAAGAAGACGATCATCTCTTTTCAAATTATGATACTGATTTACCAAGCTCATCTTTAAATATGAGTGACTTACATATCTTTAGTCAGCCTCCATCTCTCTTATTCTCAGATACAACAATGAATAGTAGTCATGAAGATGAGCAGGTGCCTGTATCATCCACATTGAATGAATTATCACCTACACCTATTATAACTATTGCTGAATCATCGCCTATGGGTGATGACACTACACCAGTTGCTAATAGTAATACACCCATTTGTGACAATGTGATAACTACTACCGATACTGCTAATACACCTGGTGCATCATCATCATCTACTACAAACACACCTACCATTCATTCTGCAGATGGGCTTTGGTTTCAATTTGCCAACTTTGATGATGATTATCAATGTGAAAATTAAGTTTTTATTTTATTATTATGGATAATAAAAATAATGTATATAACATTTTAAGATTGATAAAGAGTCTCTTCATGTTTCTTTTTAGTCTTTATAGTACCAGGTTTGGTTTGAGCATCTGGATGAATAGCTAATTCATGTGGTACCTTTGAAAGATTTGATTTAGCAAGCATTTGTTTAAGATCATACATAACTTCACTATCTTTATTAGATAAGAAGGTAATAGCCACACCAAACTTGCCAGCACGACCCGTACGACCAATACGATGAGTGTAATCTATTTATATAATGATCAGTTATTAAGTTAAAAGAAAATTATCTTGTATTTACCTTCAATTGATTTAGCCATATCATAATTAACGACAAGAGACACATTCTTAATATCAATACCACGACCAGCAACATTGGTAGCTACTAATATATCTGCTGCACCATCTTTTAATTTGGCAAGTGCTGCTTCTCTATTAAAAAAAAAAAAAAAGTGAGTAGAGTAACTCGAAAGATCATCTTTACTACAAACCTTTGTTCCTGAGATTTACCACCATGAAGAGTAACAGCATGATATCCAGCTTTATTGATAGCTTTAGATAGAACATCAACTTCACGTCTTTGATTAACAAAGACAATAATGGGTGGTTTAAAGCTCTCAGAGTTGAGAATCTCCATAAGTCGGTTCCTATTGAAATATATACTAGTTTAGAAACAATATTCAAGTATATGTACAAAATCTCATACGTCTTTCTAGATTCATCATTAATCATTTCAACACGTTGTTCAACTGTCTCAGTAGCTTGTCCTGCTTGACCAATTGTCACAACTGCCTCTCTACGCAAATACTTCTTGGCTAAGCGTTCCACAGCAGATGGCATAGTAGCTGAAAACATAACTGTTTGTCGGTATTTACGCCCTGTTGGTAAACTAATATCTGACTTTTCTTCTTGTTCATCATCAGGCTTCATATTGGTTACTGGTAAAGCATCTAAAATAATATTCATATCTGCTTCCATACCCATATCAATCATACGATCAGCTTCATCCATGACCACATAGGTACACTGATTCAACACAAGTATTCTTTTATCTAAACAATCCCTTAAACGACCTGGTGTAGCAATAATAATTTCTGCACCATTACGTAGACTAAATGATTGCTCTTGAATAGCGTGCTAAAATAAAATAAAAGGTAAGCAAATATAGATATATATGTTTAAATAACTTACACCACCAATAATGGATACACAGTTATAGCCTAAAGGAGTACAAAACTTGAGTGTTTCTTGTTCAATCTGTTGTGCCAATTCACGAGTAGGGGCCATAATAATTGCATAAGGACCTTCTGCCATGTTCTCTTCGCTGATTTTTGGTAGATCAGATAAATATGCAAGTAATGGAATAACAAATGATGCAGTTTTACCAGAACCTGAAATATAATTAATCTATATGTATATCCATAATATAATATAGTTTTTTTTTTTTTTCCTTTTTACCTGTCTGTGCAATACCAATAATGTCTCTGTTTTGAAGACCAATAGGAATTGCTTGTCGTTGAATAGGTGTGGGTTCCTTATAGCCAATAGATTTGATAATTTTTAAGATGTTTTCAGGAATACCTGACTCATCCCATGAACGAAGAGGATGAGGAATATTACCACCTTTAGTAGAAATATTGAAATCTTCTTTGAAAATACGCCAGTCTCTGTCTTTCATTTGTTCTAAAGGCTTTTCAGTCCAATGTCGTTCATCCCATTTCGTCTTTGCTTCTTTATTTATAGATATTTGCTTAAGAACGCTAAAATAGAAACAGATTAATAAGAAAAACAAGATAAGATTCAAAAAAAAAAAGAAATAATGTACTTGGCTCTCTCTAGTTCTTCGCTTGTTCTACGCTCTTTCAAAAGTCGATCATAAAATTCGGATTGCCGTTTTTTTTGTTCTTTGATATCAATACCAGCAATATGACCACGTCCAAACATTTGTGCTGTATGTTTATTTGAATATAATGGATTAAAGTCATAAGAAGTATCTTCTCCTGCGTCCCAATCAAACACAAATTTACGTTCATTCATTCTACGAATTTTTCTTTTCTTACGTTCACCACCAAAGTAACGTTCCTATAAACAAAGTAAGAAAAAAAAAAGAACTATACATATTCATAAATGTAGATTTTAATCGTTACCCTAATGGCTTGTTTTTCTTTTTCTGTCAATGCTGCACTTTCATCTTCAAAATCAGTATCATCTCTTCTAACACGTTCTCTTTTATCATAACGAGATGATCGATATTCACGTCTATATTCATCTTCAGCTGCCATATCAAACTTTTCTCTTTTCTTCCTTTCCTCTTCTTGTTTTTGTCTTTGGGCTTCTACCTCCTTTTGTCGTTTTTCCAATGCTTGTTTTGCACGTTCTTCTTTTGTTAAAAACTTGGGCTATACACAAAATTTTAAGCATTTGGTTTCCTTTTCTTTTACTTTTTCTTTTTTTTTTTTTTCCCCTCTTACTTTTTCAGTCAATTTCTTTTCTTCATTCTTTTTTTGAATAAGTTCTTCAATTGAAATGGGCACTCGTTTTTTCGTCTCATTTGTTGTTGATAAACTAGGAGATGCCGTTTTGGAATTCTCTTCCTCTTTAGCATGATTGTCGTCTTTATAACTTACTTCTTCTTGACGATGACGATGCTTATTATCTCGATATTTATCATCACGATACTTATCATCACGGTATTTATCGTCATACTGTTTGTCATTCCTATAATGTCTATTGTCATCATCATCTCTTCTCGATCGACTGTGTCTATAGTCGTCATAACGTCGACTATCTCGTCTGTCATAATCTCGTTCATGACGACTGTATTTATCATTTTCCCCGCTTGATCTTTTTACAGGAGATCGAGAACGATCATAAAAACTGGACATGTTATAGAAAAAAAATATATATGTTTATATGTTTGGATGGTTAAAAGAAAAGGGAGCTACAGGGAAAAGCAAAATATCGTTTATTATGTGATGAACAAATTCACGTCACAAAAAAAAAAAATAGCTTTTGAGTTTAAATTTCTTTTGTATCTCGTTTAAATTATAAATTATAAATGAAAGAAGACGTTGCAGAAAAATAAAGAGCTACAATATATGATGACAGCCCCACGCTAAGGATGAGACTTATTCTTTTCTTTTAAGTTTAGTAAAATTAATGATGCTGATATTGGAATATGTAACGGAATTAAAGAAAGCTTTCAACTTGTTTTTGAAGAATATGAGTTGGAACAAGATAGTTCTAACATTGAGCTAAATTTTGGTAGCAATAATTTTGATAGGATCCTGAATATGAATAAGGTAGAATATCGAAAGAAAGGGAAGAAGGGGTTAATAAGTAGCATTTTCTCAAGTAAAAGAATCCTCAACTAGTATAGTCGAAGAACAAATTAAAGATACTACTGATAAAGGAATAGTTACTAAAGCAGTTTATAAAAAAAAAAATATGAACCAAAAGATTTAATGATAATAATTGTCTCTGTTAACATAATATTAAAAATAAAGTATCTCTTTAAGAATTTGCTTTATCAGACTTTTTTTTTTTGATTCATTGAGAAGGTAGTTACGTTAAGAAAGCAAGATGTATTACATCGTTGTATAAGTATTATAATATCAAAATAAATAAATGTTGATTCAAAAGTACTTTTGTGGCTTCTAAGCTTAAATTAATGTAAAACAACTATACGTTTATATAATTAAGTTGAAGTCGATTTCCTTTATATCATTTGTCCAGGTACTTTAAGTCTGGAATTTAATAAAGGAAGAGTAAGTGACTCTGACTATACCTATTTATTTCGATAGTCGTTGAATTCTTATAAAAAAAAATTGTTTGATGATATGAGATTATAGCATATGCATGCATAAAAGGGAAATGTTTTTTATTTTTATTTTTTTTTTAAATACCACAACTCGGCAACTATACCTAAAATCTTGGGTTTATAAACAAAAAAATTGTGGTAAATAAAACAACTTGATCGGAAAGGGCAGCGCCTTTCTGTTGGCCAAGCGGCGATCATGGAGAGATGAACTTTGTTAGCTGTAGATGGGAGTGATTTAATAATAAAATCGGGGTTAGTTCTAAGCTTTAATGATAACATGCTACCTTCCAGAATCCAATGTTCAACACCAGGCCTTCAAATGGAGGTCGATAAAAAGATGTTGTTAAATCGCGGGGTAATTTCCTACCATGCAAGAGAGGAAAGCCCGCAGCATTGAGAGAATTCCTGGGAGTAACACGGCTGTAGTAGAAGCAAACAAGAACAGAATCTAATCCACCTCTACACTACAAAGGACTTCCTCTTCAATAATTTTTTTCTCATATAAAATAAAAAAAAAATGAAAAAGAAAGGAGGATGGGCTCTAAAGTTAATACGTATTGTGTAGTACAGTTGCTATACAAAGTTACACGTTATTTATTTGGTACTACCATTGATGGAATAAAAAAACATTTCAAGTAAACATGAATTGAAACCTCTTCCACAATAAACATTACTACTTACTTATCAAACACGATAATCGGTAACATCCAGTAGAGTAGTCATACTTTGCTGAATTATATATGTTAGATAGGTGAAAGAAGAAAGAGAGAAAAAAAAATAATTGCCAAGGAAAATTATGTGAGAATTTGTAATATTATTTTTATTTCCTAAATATGACAATCCAAGTTTTTCTCGTATAAATCAGTTTCTTTTACAAATTTTTAACAAGTATCTTTTATCGATGTCTTGATCCTATATTAGGAATATTGAATCTTAAGGGAAGTGATAGTAGCCAATCTCCTATTTGGCACCTAAGGTACGTACAATCTTGATTCAGCTAAATTAAATACCAGCGTACAATATTATTTGGTATAGTTTTGTTTTTTTTTCAGGCACCATGTCTTGATACGCTTACTATTTTTTTTTTTTTTTGTATATACCTTTCCGCTGCCCGCATGGGCTCACGTTAGATGTGTAATCAATTCTTTCAGGGCGTCAAATCTTTCTCCACACAATGACCACAACCAAGTGAATTCTTTTTTTTTTTTCCTATTTCTTCTTTTTCATCCTCTGTATTTTCTTCATTCATATTGTTAGTTTGCTGTTTCAGCTATTTTTCTTTTTCAAGTACAACTGAACGAGCAATAGGTTGCTCTCTTGATATATATTTCAATTGTTTAATGTTAATCATAGGCTCTATGTTATTAATATTTAACTAGGCAGTATTTTCATTAGACTGCTGCTTAAGTGTTAACATAAGATCACCAGACAGTTGTTGTTCAGATATGGGGGTTAGCTATGTTAGGATAAATGCTAATCATAGCCGGTGTTATAATACCATTATCATAACCTTGGTCTATTTTAATTGTCATTCAAAGTAAAAAAAATTACCCTTTATTATAATTACCATTAATTTATTTATATTAAAAAGAAAAAAAAAATCCTTACATGAACATGATCTTCGACATCTATTAGATTATTATTAAGTATGCTTGAGTTTTCTTGATTTCTATTAAATGAACTATTATACAAGAAATTGGATTGTTGCAAACTAGATATAAGACGAAGCGATGAAGGTATCGAGTCGTTTATTTGAATAGCATTCATTGTTTCTAAATAATAATTACTCTTTTTTTGTGTCAGAGGATAGAGTAGTGATAAATTCATTATTTTGTATAGTGTAATTCATTAAATGAGTGATTGATGGATGTAAATTAACTTTGTTGCAAGTCCTTCGTTTCTTTTATTTTTTCCTCGAATTCTTTTTTTATTGCAATCCCCACCCTGAGCTTGATATATATGTATCTGATTTTGAAAGATACTCTTACTACTTAACGCCATACTTGAATTCCAATTTCAATATCTATATTTGTCTTTTAAAATTTTCTTTTTAATTTAAACCATTTACAGGATATATCTGTTGTATGTGAGCAAAATATATCAAAAAGTAGTTATTGATTCAAACGAATTTGTGTAGCAAAAAATACAGTTATTACAATGACGAGTTTAAGTTTATAATGTATTTATATTTCTATGGATTTGAGAAGAACAGAGGTGAAACCAAAGAAGAAAGTAAATCAGCTCCTTCCAAGTGTTTACATAATACCGTAAAAAAAAAAGCCTTATCAATTAGGATATATAGCAAGATTTGTAGAAAATGCTATCAAGACTCTATAAGCAACTAGGTTAAAAATACATGAATCAATATGAAAAGATGAACAAAAAAAAGTAGGATTTTTCTACGACTGAAAATTGAAATAAATGCAACTATAAATTAAAAGTAATTAATAAAGGTGTTAAAGCTACTATAACTACGAATGATAATGACATGAAAGATTTATGTGCTAACTTTGAAGAATTGGAATTAGGAATTACACTTTGTAAATTTAGGAAGGACGTTTGTTTTTATTATTATTTAAAGAATAAAATATTGAGAACAGAATGGGCATTAAAATAAAGCAATATTGAGAAGAAATACTTTGACATTTGAATTCTTTTTTTTTTATTGATAGAGTTGAATTTAATCCAGATATGTATATGCCTATAAGCTAATTCATCAAAGGGATACCAATAAATAGCGAAGAACCACATAAAAAGAATACTTTTAATTACAATTTTTACAGTCATTGCTTTTAAGATATTTCATTTGTATTTATTTATATGAGTTCAAAGGATCAAAGAAGAGGAAATAACTCGTTCATTGAAATAAATTAAACTCTTTTCTCAATTATCGAACTTTGATATAATATTATCCTGAAACAGAAACTAAAGTTATGAAATTAGCTTATGAATACGGCAAAATCATCACACTAGCTGACTTCGATGTTCCTGTTTATGACATTCAAATGGAAGAGAACATGAAGGAAAAACTAGGAGAGACTACCGTTGAATTAAGTGTGATTACTATTTCAGAAGATAAAAAAAAAATAGAAGAATAGGTAAGGTCTTAAGCAAATTCGCCGATTTATTGATGTTTTAAAGGAAGAAAGAGACCAACAAAAGATGCAGTATTCTGCGCAGTACTGCTTATAAATTGTTTAATGAATTCAACGCAGGTGATGGTACTGTTTCATCCGGGGAATCTTTAAAGAAGAAAGCAAATTGAGGAACAACAAAAAAAGATATTCTCTGAGTATATCGTTTTCTTGTTTCTTGCTTTGATAAGTATCTTTCGTTTACTCTGGAGATGGAATAATAGGCACTTATTGTCCATTTTGAAGGCTTTATAATTTCTCTTCCAGCATTATGGAGACATTTGACGGAACAATGTTTCTTTAGATTTAAAATAAGCAACCAAATATAATACTGAGAGAGATTTAGAAAGAACTCTTTATCTTCAAGAAGAACTTATTAGCAAATGGAAAGAAATAAATGTTGATATCCAAAAAAAAAAAAAAGTGTGTTTATTGATGAGGCTGGTCTCAACACTCAAATGATATGTAGTAGAGCTAAAGTCAATGTTCACAGCAGAAAAGGTGTTAATATCAGTATCATCAGTTGTATCTCTCCATTTGGCATCATGAATTTCTCTTAGACTTGAACATCTTTAGCAAAGCGATATTAATAAATTCAAAAAAGAGTTTCCTCAATATCAATCAAAGAAGAGAAAGGCCAAGGTTGAGAAAAAGAAGAAGATCTTGAAGAAGGGCACAACGTCCTATCCTATTATCAAATTCGTTCAAGATATCATGGATATGCTTGATAAACATGGTAAGAATACGTTTTATATTGGCATGAATAGTAGTAAGATACATCATACCGCTTTTGTAGTTGAGACTATTAATGATAGAGAATATAAGCCATTATGTATGCCTCCCAATTCATCTTTTCTCAAGCCAATCGAAGAATGTTGGTCAAAAACCAAAAGCAACATCAAGAGGGCTCTTCTGGATGAGGATTCCATTCTTACGCCTCATAGTGTGCAAGCGTATCAGACAGTTACTGTTGATGCTTGTTTGGGTTGGATTTGTCATTCTAAAAGCTACTGGAATTGTTGCATTAATAAAGAATTGGGTCTTAAACGAAAAAGAATGTATCTTATTCAACTTTGAATTTGTCTATTATAAAGTGTCTAATAATAATTTTGAGGAGATTCGGTTTATTCATTTGAAAGTTTTCAATGATTCTAATAAAAATAAATTCAGCCAATAAAACTCTACAATCGTTTCGGATTTCTTTATTGACAATCCATATTTTATTTTTACACTTTCATTAGTCGTAATGTTGTGGCTGGCGAAGAAAATAAATTAGATGGTTTAATGAACGAGGCTGAGTATACATTTGATTTCATTATACTCATCTTGAAGCAAATACCTTTTGTTTGTGAAGTAAAAAGCAGATGTCCGGTTTAGTGACAACAAAACAAACAAACAGCCAATAGAAATGGAATACAATCTGCCATTTGAAATAAATAAGTAGAATAAAATTATGTGTTAGCTCCTCGCAACGGTGTCGCCTTACCAAATCTCCCTTATAGAAAAGATGTACACCCTATGTAGACGATATGAATTAATCTATATTCAAGCTATATTGACTCTAGTTCCTGCAAGACAATCTGTATAATCGGTGCACCAAAGTATTAAGTGTGTATCGTTCTAATATGGTTGTAAATCCTATACTTTGACTACCTATGTCATCTGTTGAATGGAGCCGTATTCTCCTATAGCATCTTAAATGACTACTGGACGGTGAGTCTCGATCATGCAATTATTATCTTACAGAATTGTTTACTAAACCTCATTCAAGTTGTTGTATCCATCTATATTGTCGCTTATATCTTCCTATCTCATTTGCTGATCCAGTATCCTTTCTATTGAATCAGTTATCCATCATGTTATGGTTCTGTCTAGATTATTCTTTGGCTAGAAACATGTATCATACTCCACAAATTAAATTATATATTCGAAAATAAGATTCCTTCTCCTTCTAATAAAAAAAATCTGGTTCTAGGCTACTGTGATGGCTGTTTAACAACTGAAGCTAGTGTATCATTCTCCTACTTTATTTTTTATAACATTATTATAGCTTTCCTTTACCTCTTCTACTTCTCTTTATCTTCCCTTTTTACCTTGTGCCTCTTCTCATAGTTTTTAGTTTCTTTTCTTTTTTTTTTTTTCCTGCTATTTTATTGTGCTAATTTGGGCAACCCCAGTATCATTTAGATACTACGTTTTTACAAAGATAAAAAATAATAATAATTATGTAATAAATTATTTTATTTAATCCTATTTTTGTTGAATGTACATGTTAATTAATTCTCCGCTAAAAAAAAGAAAAAAGAAAAAAAGAAAAAAGGAGAAAAGAATGCCTCCAGATTTCTATATCCACTACTTTTAAAAATGTCTGAACCACAAACTAAACCAGTTGAAGAACTAATGAACAACCAAGTAATTAATACTCAAGAGGGAGAGCAAGACTTTTCTACAGCTTCAACTCCTAATGTTCAACAACAAGAACTTTCACCTAAAGTCAAAACATTGAAAGATGCTTTCCCTGATTTAGACGTTGACGTGATTGAAACTATTTTAGATAGTCAAGGTGGTGACCTCGAAGCTGCATTTGAAGTATTACTTGGCTTATCTGATCCTACCTATAAACCTGATCCTCAACAAATGGAAGGATTAAGCCAATTGAGACAAGACGAAGAATATGCAAGACGCTTGGCTCGTGAGGGAGATGTTCATTATCCACAAGATAATAATAATAACAATGGAAACCAACAACAACAACAGCAGCAACAACAACAACAGCAACAGCAACAACAATCTCTATTTAATTTTCAAGGTAAAAGAAACATATGTAAAAGCAAATAAAATATTTTATTGACACTGTGTTGGTTAATAGAGGAATTACCTATTATTAAAGAAAAAGTAATTGAAGTTGGAACAGGTAGAGTAACATTTAGACATCATTTCTTTTATAGTTTAACTTATAATAAAATAGCTGCCAAGAACAAACTTGTGAACTTGTACAATCAATTTATGTCCAGTTCAGGACAACAACAAACCAGCTCATTAGGTGGTGGTGTATTAGAGACAGGCATGGGTAATTTAAGCCTTTCTGACCATAATCGACAACAAAATAATACAACACGTTCTTCTGACAATTTATGTGAATGGGACGGTAACTATTTACCAGTCATAACAAAATATATAACCACTTTATCTCATTACATATATATTAGGTCAAAATGATATTCAACCACAACAACTTGTAACAGAAAGAAAAACATCTACTTCTGCAGAACAATTATTAGCTGATAAAGAATTTGCTAGACGACTAGCTCGAGAAGATGCAGAACAAGTTAGGACTGAAGCTGCTAACACCACTACTTCTCCTATTCAAAGTAACGTATACACAGATTTGGTTATCTGAATATAGTATTAATAAATGATTATTAGATGATACTACTACCACTACTATTACTGAATTACAAGCTTCAAATATCAGCAATAACGAAACAAGTCATGATAATAACAAGCCAGTAATAGAAACAGGAAAGATGAATGTTGACAAGGTTAATAATGAAGGTAAAACAATCAAGAGAGGAGGGGTGTGTGTGTGGGGGGGGAAAGTCTAGATAAGAGGGAAAGAAAGAAAACTAAGCCTAATTGTTTTTAGATAAAGAGATTGATAAGCTTAGTAAATACACTATTAATGACGATGATGACTTGGATGATTTATTTGTTAAGCAAGGTATTATGCATACAAATATAAGTGCATGTATGTATGTCTCATATTTTATTAATAGATTCAACTCTTGAAGATGAAGATACCAAGATAAATAAATAATAATATTAGTCATGAACATTTAATAAAAAGGAATCGTTTGACCAAAAGACTTGTCCTAGTCAATTCAAACAAAATGATAAACTCAAAATATGAAAACTTTCTCTACTACAATGTTAGCTTCACCCTATTTTTTATTTGTTGGCTCTATATTACATGAGATAAACTGTTTGACTTGAAAAACTTTATTCTTCCTCTTTCCAACCTTGATAGCCTAGTTATCTAATTCCTCTTCTTGACACTTTATCTTTTCTTCTTTCTTTTTATAAGTTTATTTTTTTTTACTTTAGCCTTTGCTTTCTAATTGAGGATTAATAAAATAAAACTCAGTTTTATTTTTATAATAGTTTCTTTTCTTTTTTTTTTTTTTTTTTTTCTTGTTCCTTTTTTCTTCTTTATGTCCACTTCTAAATATACTGTCGCTGACCTTCTTTCATTAAGATATTCGACAAATTCGAAATCTGATACTATTTTTGAATGGGAGGGCTCTATATTGTAAATAGTCTCTAAAAATAGCAATTAATTATATTTATTAACTTGATTTTCAGTGCCTTTATCCCAGGTCAACAGCCTAAAAAGATTTTTAAATGTGTGGGTATGAATATTTCAAAGGCAAAGATTGAAGAAGGTAAACTCAAAGTTACTGGAAAAGAATTAACTTATTATCTGGATCCTGTTACTGGTGAAAAATTAACAAAGTGGGATAATCCTTGGACAGGAGAAAAGGATTTACCAGGTAAGTTTCAAGTATATATTTATATATTTAAAATGAATAACTTACAAGTTACTTCAAAAGTGATTCATATTGCAAATGATCCTGTACAGATGTCTCTTCCTACTGCTATTCCACTTGAAGTGCGTCATAATAAATTTAGCGAAACATCTACAGTTATATCGGAGGTATGTAATGAAAGACAAGTGAAAGCAGTAATAAGTTTATAATCTATTAAATATATATATACATATACATACATACATATTACTAGATTCCTTTATTTTATACAAATCCGCTATATACAGAAGATCATAAATTTGATAAATTTGACTCAAACAAAATGTATGAAGGTAATAAAATAATAGTGAAGCATTGCTATATCAATGATTCAGGTTTTTTTTTTAATATATTAATATTTACATTTGTATAGCGGGTGAGTTTTTTACATTCAAATGCAACACAAAAGAATTGGAACAAAGCACATTATCTAACACTACAATGGATGCTGTTGAGGTTAATTGGTCTCGTGTATCAAAATTTTGTCCTTTTATGAAAATGGGAAAGCAATCGGGCTATTTACTTTATCATTGTACAGGATTCAAACTGCCTCAGGGATCTACGGTTAACGACTTGACTCATTCATTGCTAGTGAATGAAATCAGAAAGGACATGAAGTCATATGCCTATGCACCTCATGACTATGATACTAATATAAAAAGTGTATCGAGCTGGACTTACTTTAGAGATCATTTTGATCGTTATCAAAATGATCCTAATGCTATTTGGCCTATCCCATCCCTCAATTAAAAACTCTGTATACTAATATACATAGGACGGCACTTTACATCTACAATTCTTTCGTCATCACCTCGTATTATTTATTTTTTTTAAAGAAAGAAATACTTTTGTTATTTAAATATAAGGATATTACTGCTATTTACTGTAAAAGGATAAAAAACGGCAAACAAAAAAGCTTCAAGATAAAAATAAGATTGTTTTAATCATATTTAATAATAGAATGAAAGACAAAGATACTATGTATATTAAAAACCATGTTTACTCTTGGTAAAATTTGCGTTTTTATTGTCATATCAATATTAACATTTGTAGAAATATCATCAATTTATTGAGTATAAAAACAGATGCCTATAACGGCATAAGTAAATTCAGGTTAAATATCAATCTAGGGATTCCTACCATTGAGTTTATAATGAATCTGGTTTTTTTTTTTGAATACCACAACTCGGCAACTACACCTAAAATCTTGGGTTTATAAAGAAAAAAATTGTGGTAAATAAAACAACTTGATCGGAAAGGGCAGCGCCTTTCTGTTGGCCAAGCGGCGATCATGGAGAGATGAACTTTGTTAGCTGTAGATGGGAGTGATTTAATAATAAAATCGGGGTTAGTTCTAAGCTTTAATGATAACATGCTACCTTCCAGAATCCAATGTTCAACACCAGGCCTTCAAATGGAGGTCGATAAAAAGATGTTGTTAAATCGCGGGGTAATTTCCTACCATGCAAGAGAGGAAAGCCCGCAGCATTGAGAGAATTCCTGGGAGTAACACGGCTGTAGTAGAAGCAAACAAGAACAGAATCTAATCCACCTCTACACTACAAAGGACTCCCTCTTCAATAATTTTTTTTTTCTGAAGCTCTTCATATATTTATATACATATAAAAAAAAAATACTAAGTGTATCAATGCACTGTACCTGGAAAAAAACAAACTGTATCAAATAATATTGTACATTGGTATTTAATTTAGCTGAATCAAGGTTGTACGCGCCTTAGATGCCAAATGGGAGAATGGTTACTTGTTGTGGTTTACAAGTAATTCAAATAAAATAAAAAAAAAAAAAAAGACAATAAGTATGTTCAGACTTGTTAATAGATTTATTGAGAAAAAGGTTAGATGATAAGTTAAATTTTAAAATGAAGGTGAATAATGTGAGAGCATTTATATCTATTGAGAATAATAATAAGATAAAAATATAACACATTTTATCTGATTATAAAATTATAGAAAGAGAATGATGATTCAATTATTATAATATCAAGAATCATTATAGAAATATTCATATCTTTTGTATATATTTATATTCTTATAACTAGTATGTGTACTTTGAGTGAAATCAATTATTACACATATTTGCATTATTCTTAGTTTATCCACAGCTTGGCTTGTAAAGTTATTTTCATAAATTTATATTCAGTAGAACAGTAATAGAAGAAGATAAATTCTTAGATGTAAGACTTTTATTGATTATTTTTCTATACAAGAGTAAATATACTTAATATGTGTATAGGCAGAATTATTATAGAAATGCACTATATGTTCTATTATGACTATTTATCTTATTGAATTAAGTTACAAATCTTACAATCATGACATGATTGATTAATAGAAAAAAGCTTAGTAATAAATAGCTTATCATTTAATATTGTAACTATTAAGCGTCAAACTGAAATTTTAGATGTATACATTGTTATATATAGATTGAATTCAATACGTTATAAAAAAAATATTATAGATAGAAGAGATTTACATTTATTTTTATTTATTAATAATAATATTTTTAATGTTATTCAGTATATTCAGTCAACCATGCAGGATTTTTCGCGGCATTACTATAGCTTACTTCCTTTAAGCACTTCAAAACACTACCAAATACGTCTCCGTAATGTTTTCTACGCCATATAAACTCAATAAGTAGCCATGGAACTGATTTTTTTTGTTCTCGTTGCTGGTTTAATGTTGACTTTCAGGCCATTCCATGTACCTATATGATATTAAAAACTACATGTATTAACTAACTTGATAAACACTATACAAATTATGAAGAAGAAACTCAAATACCTTCAATGGTGTTTGTGCAAACATCGCCATCTCGAAAAGAAACAGAATGGTTGACTGTACGGTGAGTAAGTTCCATACCAAATTCCTCTATACCATTGTAGGCACTCCAACAATCTGTATATACTGTTGAGCCAGGTTTAACGTACGCTTCAATTATATTACGAATTGTCTCCGCATTTCTATTAGGTACAACAGCTAGAAAACATTTTCTTTGTGCTGTACGTCTAACGCCGCCTATTACCCAATATCCTTCTACATGATGACCTCTATGGTATTTTCGTTTACTAAATTTTGACTCATCAATTTCCACTATAATTGAATTGCCATTTTCATCAATACCACCAATTTGACAGCCATCGGCTGTTAAATCTTCTTGCATAACCTGATACCAATCATTAATGATACGCGATACAGTATCAAGTTTACAGCCAACCATATTAGCAATTGCTTGCCTTGTTATACCTCCGATACTCCAATAATATAAAATTGCCATGATATCGCTTATATCAAGCTTTCTATTACTGAAAACGAGTCGCGACGCGCACTAATCCGCTTACCATTACAACATTTTTCGCCTGTTTCATGATTTATTATTCTTCCGTTACATCTCCAATTAATATTAGTAGAGCCATTATCCTCTAAGTACATTATACTTCCTGAGTTGCCATTACAACGACATACATGGTCTCCTCCATAACATATACCATAATTAATCATAAATCTATTATTAAAATGCTTAATGTTAATAAATGTATAACATAATATAATAATATTATTGATTTCTAACCTTTGATAGGCCTCAGCTGTACCAAAATTAGCCATAAAAGCTTTATAAGTTGGTGGGCTAACTCTTCTTTGCGTCTCCCAGTACCCATTTGAGTTTTCTTCTTCTTTAATGTCTTCATTTTCTTCAATAGACATTTCATCATTAACGTAACATCTGATTCCCCAGATTTACAATGAGAAAAAAAAGAAAAAAAAAAAAAAAAGAAAAAGAAAAAAAAAATGACCAAAAAGTTTATACATCACCGTCACCGTCACTGTGGCCGTGACCGCGCTAGACACATTAGGCTATTCTTAAATCAAACATCAAACAGTTGGAAAAAACAAAAATCATTGCTACGTTATAAGAAATAAAAATCTTTCACCCCGTTACATATTATCAAGTGTTTTTTTTTATTGGTTTTATAACATTTTGTAATGAAGATAAAAACATTTTATTGAGTAGTAGAAAATTTACTACTTGACAAGAAATTTTATCAAGTACAGTCAGACATCTGGAAATTGGCGTTTTCACAAAAATAATTGTCACTTTCATAAAAATGAATTGTCAAAGGGTAAAAATAAGTGTCGAAAACTGAAAAATAAATTTCACAAACTTCATTCGTTTTGTCATTTTTGCTAAAAGTGTTTGTCCAAGCCAAATACCGAATTTTTAAGAGAATAAATTAAGCATCTTTTACAAATATTTTGACCAACTTCTGGTCATATAAATTACAAAGGTTCTTTATTTAAGTATTTAGGGAAACGATTTATATAATGTTGAATGAAACCCTGCGAATGCTCAACCGGAACTTTTCAATAGTCCTTAAAGTGAGGCGTCCACATCAGTCAACTTACTTACTTCTTCTGACGCTATCCTTCAAAACTTTCCAAAACTGCTCGATAGAGTTGAGCATAGGGGAATAAGGCGGGTATCCTCGTTCAATCATTACAGGATCGATGATATTTCGCTCTTTTATGGAAGTTGCTTCGTCGATATCAGTGTCTCCGGGCTCTTGTTCTTCATCTATTTGTGGAGATTCGTCAAATTTGTTAGTGAAATGATTGTTTTGATTAGCAAAAAGACAAGGAAAGAAAAATGAACAGAAGGCAAGTCTGTGAAAACTTTGTATAGTTTATTAAAGATAATACAAAAATTGTACAACGAAAATTTATATGGAAAAATCGAGGGTTATTTATATGTTTTTACAAGATAAGTGTTATCAATGGAAATATAATTCAGATAAGCAAATTTTACTATAATAAAGTGTTTTATATAAAACATTGTCTCCGAATAATTCTGCGATCAATAAGATGTATCTTTATTCTTTTTTTCTCCCTGAGTTGTCGCCGTTCCTAGATGCATAATGAATTATTATCACTGGGGTGATCGACACATCAATATCAATTCTCAGTAAATATGTCTGGCTGCAACAACACCAATTATTTATGCATTACTATCATTATCATTGTATAAGATGTTATTACATAACAATCTTCAATATTATCAATGTATATATTCAATTACATAATTATTCCTAAGTCATACTTATTATATATACATCTATAATATTGAATATTGTTATGTAATAACATCTTAGAGAATGATAATAATAATGACACATAAATATTAGACATTGTTATAGCTAAAATACATTATAATGTATTAATATTGACAGCTACGTTGCTTCATAAATAATAATTAGTCATATTTTTAGTAACAGTGACGGCTCGGGTAAAAAAAAATATCTTACTGAAAGTAGAATTATTTGGAAATAATAAGCTTACATAATTCTTTATTACGCCAGTATTTTGATTACCAAGATTATATTTCTATTAACATCATTTACCTTGTAAACACACATAAATAACCCTTTACACTTTCTATATTATTTTCCTTGTATAATTTTTGTGCGATCTTTTCCTCGATAAGCTATACGAAGGTTTTCATAGACTTGTCCTTTCCTCACCCCCCCCCTCTTTCTTTATCTTTCTAAATCAAAACATCCCTCTGAGGATTCAGTACTCCTTCTAACTTCTGAGACATATTGTTCCATGTATGTATGTCTACCCAATATTAGTGCCACTTCTTTCTCTACAATTTTGTCATCCATATCTTGCTTTCACTCCTGGCAGCTGCCTATCACGCCTGTTTGTCACAAAGTTTGGTATAGAGCTCTGTATAACATGTTCCGCCATACCTTTGATTCCTTTGTTTTTTCTATCCTCCTCTAGTCAACTACGTTCAATATTAAATGCTGATCTAGTGCACTTTCTTTTTCTATGTTCTTGTAAACTTCATATTTAAACTAGAATTTGGAATTTATATTTTTCTCCTTTTGAGTTTACCATAGGCATTCTTCTACGGGCAATTTTGTTCTTTGACTTGCCTTCATCCTTGTCATTTTCTTCTGTTTCCAGTTTATTCACTTGCTGGCGAGTACATTAAGTCTTTATTTTTGATCACGTTCTTTTTATTACCAACTCTATTCTTAGTTAAGCAATTTGACACATCTGTATTTCTATTGATGAACATATATTAGCCTATCATGTAATATAAGACATACTATTTTTAATATGTTTGGTTATTAGTTAGCTTTAATATTGTTTTTTTCTCTTTTTTTTTAACTGCTCATTTTTTTTTCCTTTACAAGTTTTACTTTCATTTTCCTTTAGACTCAATTGCATGTATGCTTGAAACCAATTAGTGGAACAATAATGATCATATTATTATTCAACCGATTTTTTTTTTTGAAGGTAGAATCCACTGTTGCTTAAATCTATTCAAAACATTATTTTGCTTTTCTACAGTATTTATATTTTCTAGTTAAAAGGATTCTATTTGCTTATAATTATAAACAATAAATTTATTTATTTATTTTATTTTTTAAAAAGAAAAAAAAATTAGGATGTTTTATTCTATGAAATCAGCTTGGTGTACTTCTTCCCACTTGACATAATTGGTAAATACCTCTATTTAAAAGAAAAAAAATTTTTTTCTAATAGTATCGTATACCGGAATTCGCTAATGAATATTCTTATAAATTTAATTTGGTACCCTTTTGATTTTTTTTGTTGATTATATAATTTGAATTAGGATTTAGGAACCCTTTAAATACAAATTATTATTTCAATTTTATTATATTTTAATTTCGTTTTTTTTTCTTTTCATAATAGGTCGACACAAGTAAAAGAAAACTAATTTTTTCCCTCATTCTTTCCTTTCTAAAATAGGGTCCTTTAAACAGGGTTCAAATTAGAAAAAAAAAATGAAAACATAAAAAAATCAAACCCTGAGTTTTTTTCCCGTTACGAAATAAGGGAAGAAAAAATTTTTTTTCTATATTTGTTGAAGTTGTTTCGGAGCTCTTTAAAATTTTTCAAGGGTCCTTATATTATGTAATAAAAAGAACCAATAAAAGCTCTGCTTATCAAATACGAACTTTTTCCCTTTATTCACAACAAGGAAAAAATATTTAGCTTGCTTTTTCTTTTTTCTATACTTATTTATACAATTCCAAAAAAAAAGTAAGAATTATTGAACAAAAAATAATAAAATAAGCAAACAAAAAAGGTTTTTTTTTTCTATTTTTTAATTGATTGAAACTGTTATCTTTTGTAAATATCATCTCAGCATTTTAGTAGACCCTGAAAATGAATAAGGCAAAGATTAAAATGCATGTTTACTCAATTTTTTTTTTCAAGGAAAAAAAAAAGATTCCGCTTACTCATTTTTTACCCCAGAAACATTCCTAATTGGCGTGATTGGGCCATTTAGACCCTATTTGCACCTTTTTTTTTTCTTGCGGATAATAAAAAAAAAATAGTATAAAATGAAATAATTTAGTGATCATTTTTGTTTTGTTTTGTTTTTTTATTTTTATTATTATTAAAAAAAAAAGAAGCATACGTATTATTTAACATGAGATTAGTTATTCGTGATGATAATGAAGAAGTAACACTTTATGTTGGTAAGTATTTTAAACAAATAAAAGAATGAAGGAGTTTCTAGAGGGAGGTTTTTTTTTTTATTTTCTAAAAACATCTATAATGGATTTTAGCCAACTATGTCAAGGAACGCATCAAGCAATTTAATCCAACTGCTGATCGTCCATTTGTCCTTGGTCTTCCTACAGGCTCCTCACCTATGGGTGTCTATAAGAATCTTGTTGAAATGTATAAACGAAAGGAAATTAGTTTTGAACATGTCGTGACCTTTAATATGGATGAATACGTGGGCTTACCTCGTGATCACCCTGAATCCTATCATTCATTTATGTGGAAACATCTCTTTATGCACGTGAACATCAAACCAGAAAATGTTCATATCTTGGATGGTAATGCTCCTGATCTTGATGAGGAATGTAAAAAGTTTGAGGCTGATATTGCTCGTGTGGGCGGTATTGAATTATTCTTGGGTGGTATTGGTCCTGATGGTCATATTGCCTTTAATGAACCTGGTTCTTCATTGACTTCTCGTACTCGCGTAAAGACATTAGCTTATGAAACGATCATAGCTAATGCTCGTTTCTTTGATGGTGATGTTTCAAAGGTTCCTAAACTTGCCTTAACTGTTGGTGTTGCGTAAGTAGTACATATATATCTATGTAGTATATACTTATTTTCTTGTTATATCTATCTAGTACTGTTATGGATGCTCGCGAAGTACTTGTTATTATTACTGGTGCACATAAGGTAAACTATACATATAGATATATATATTTCTGTTAGTTAGGATGATGAAACTTAGAATGCTTTTGTAACAGGCTATTGCATTAGCTAATTGTATTGAAGGTGGTGTTAATCATATGTGGACAGTGTCAGCTATTCAAATGCATCCTAAGGGTTTAATCGTGTGTGATGAAGATGCAACCCTTGAGTTACATGTTAAGGTAAGACAAACATCATAGAACAGGGTCATTACAAACAATGACTAAATTTATTATTATTATTTTTTTTTTTTTTGATAAGACGGTTAAATATTTCAAGTCCATTGAACATGTTCATCAATCTTTAATCGGTCCTGAAAATTTATCTCTTCAAGGTGGTGTGAAGCAAATTAAAAAATATGTTAATTCGAGATCTCATACACCTTTGAATGGTCCTTATGATGAATAAGTAGCCTTAGTTCCTTTTACCTCATTATTATATATTATTCCCCTTCTTCTACTCTTTGCTCTTTTTTTCTTTTTACTCTTCTTCTATGTATATTCATAATTATCATTCATATAGAAAAATAAAATAAAATAAAAATAAAATAAAATAAAATAAAATAAAATAAAATAAGATAATATCGTCTATTATTATTTGCTCTGTGCTACAAGCTGATACAATCTATTACACAAGTATTAGATAAAACAAAGAAAAAAAAAAGTCTGTCTTAGTATACATATCCATTTATATGTTAATATATTGGATCGTATTATTTATAATTCACTTGTTAAGTGGCTCGGCTCTAACTTCAAACAAAATACTCGAACTGATAATGGCAAGCATATTTAAAATGTTTTAGCAGTTATGTCTGTAGAAAATAAGAATAAACAACATTATCATCTCTCTTTTCTCTTCTTTACTCGATTGTTTAACTATTTTCAAGTGATTAACTTTCAAAAGGAAAATTACAAAAGAAGATTTAACACTTGAAACAATAAATCATTTATTCAAATATATACTAATATTCAATATCTGTTACAAGACATAAATGGTCGCTACCAAAATTCCTATTTGGTAATGAAGGCTTTAAATCAGCTTCCTGTGGTAGCATTAATATCTGTTTGATATGAACTGGATCCTTTTTTGGTATAAACATATAATCTAATATGCCTTTAAAGTAAACAGTATAATTTGTAATCTTTGGTTCACCAAATAGGCCTAGTTCTTCTTTGTTCGTAGTTACATCACGATAATGACTATAAATACTCTCCCATTGACAATTCTTGTTATATTTTGATACAAGTTGATCTACTGAATCAAGACTTTCGATACTTGTCGTATTCTCATCCTCTTCTTCTGCTTCTTGTTCTATTTCTTTATCTTCTTTTGGCTTTTTATATACTCTCGAAACATTTAAATCTTCTGTTTGTTCTTTTGTCAATTCATTCGTTGTTAATATACCATAAGCTGGATCATCAGGCGTGGTATTGAAATCACCTAAAAGGAAAGATATCCATTTCATATTTGGTTTTAACTTGGATTTGAATTCTAAGAACCGATTTACATATATTAATGTCTGTCTAAAACGTTCATAATTGGAGGTAGGTCTCCAATAAAGGTGAGTATTGCCTATCACAAATCCGATATCATTATTGATTTTTAAAGCCAATAATTGAGCTATATTGCCTGTAAGGTACGAAGGTGGACATAGTGTATCAGTATTATAATCAATTGTCTCATAACTCACTTCTATAAGTTTGGCTTCTTTATACGCTATACCACAACCATGTCGTTTTGAGGGATGACAATCATATTTCACCTTATATCCCATTTCAGTAAATATAGCCTCATAATAAGATTCAAAATTATCCAATTCTAGAAAATATTATTTAATACCTTTTTTTTTTTTATTTTTTTTTTTTACCTTGTAGACTAATTATATCTGGATTATACAGTTTAATTTCATCTATAATCATTCTTCTTCTAATTTTCTATCACATTATTAATACATTTAACACAAAATATGATACTTTTTTTCTTATTACCCATTTAAGTACATCACCAGATTCAGGGAACAGTTCACGTTTAATCAATGATTGAGCCAAGATCTAATTTTAAGTCAAATGTGTATATACATTTATGTATTTTTTTTTTTTTTTTTTTTTTTTTTTTTTTTTTTTGTTGTTTTAGATCTTGATATTTATTATAACTTTTAGATGTCTATATTCCGTCTTACATTAAACGTCATGACACGAATACTCCCCGAAACAACTTTTAAACTTGTTTGATATGGTACAGTCGCAAAGAAACGTTCGAGTACTTTAGGTGGTTCATTATGTTGTTTGTTGTTTTGATTAGCAGCAGCATTAAGTTTCTTTTTAGCCTCCTTCTTTGCTTGTTTAAGTCGTCTTAGTTCTTCAATATCAATTGACTTTTTGGGGTGTGATTGAATTGGTTTTTTATTATTAGTGGAGTCGTTCATTCTTTTAATACAAACAAACAAAAAAAAAAAGGAAAAACATTTTATTGCTGGTTATTTCTTTACCATATTTACTGTATTTTTTTTTTTTTTTTTTTTTTTTTTTTGTTCCAATAAAAACGCTTCGCTTGTGAGTAACTATTCGGCAATAAAAAAAAAAAAATAAAGGTCAAGCTACTTCTTCTCTAAAGACCATCATCTTTTGTATAGATTAGTTCATCAACTAAAGAAAAAAAAATAAAAAGGGAGGAAAAGAGTATACCACGAAAACGATATTTGATGAATAGAGGAACCAAATAGAGGCTTTTAACATGTGGTTTCATTTTTTTTTTTTTTTTTTTTTTTTTTTTTTTTTTTTTTTTTTTTTTTTTTTTTTTTTACCTTTTACTTTTTACTTTAACTCGTCTTTCGTATTACAATAACATCTTCTTCTTTTTATGTTCTTTTTCAAATCATTCTTGTTTACTACACTATTAAGTATCGGTTTATTATGTGGACCGTCTATGATAAAAGGACTCATACCATCATGTAAGGTTACTTGTTTCTTTCTTTCTTTCTATAAACAACTGATATATAATCATAATTTAGCAGAAGAAAGTAAAGATACACTACTCATGATTGCTTTAAATATTCAATTTGAATCATTTAAACCTTCAACACGAATTAAAGTAACTGCAGCAAACGTGACAGTATCTGATACGAATCATTTGCCAAGTAGTAGTAGTAGTAGTAGTAGTAGTGGTAGTAGTGACATTGAATTCAAAGAGATATTAAATGAATGCCCAAGTCATAATATCTCTGCTGACTCAATGCTACGTTTTCCATTCTTTTTTTATGATCCAACATTAAAAGTGGAGTCTACGTGTTGTGTTGATAAAGAATTCTTATTTTCAAATCATATTCAAGAAAACTTTAAAGAAGAGTTAATAATCTTATTCAAGAGAATTAAATATAGTCTGCAAATACAGTTTGATGTAAGTAAAAAAGCATCCCAATATGAAGTTAGACTGAGTCCTTTTATCTCCAATAGAATAGTCATAGTTTGATATACACTTCTATTATAATGCCTAAAGGTAATTTATATGTTCTTTATGCGCTATAAAAAAATTTAATATATAATAGTTCCCTTACACTAGATTACAGTCCTAGTGATTGGGAGATAATACACGAGATTGCATTAGAAACAGGTAGTTCTTATGTTTATCGAACAAGTAAAACAACGGCTGCAATAGTAGCATGTGCTAATGAAGATAAAGAGTCTGATATGTATTACTCAGTACTACACTTTGACGAAAATGATAGTTTCACTATTCATCATGTCGAAAAAGAAGATGGTATAATCGATATCTTGTCATCATCTACCCTTCATAACTATACTTACTTATCAAGTTTAGTCTTGAATGATCTATTAAATAATGTATCTAACCTTCTTGCTTTCAACTATGACACATCCATCATGACAGCAACTCCTCAGGAACAACAACTAAACTTAACGATAATCATTACTACATCATTTAATTACAATGCACAACAAGACATGATTATAAACGAATTAATAAAGAACTATCATGAAAATAGTCACATCAAGTTATGTCGATCTATAGCCTTTGATAAGCTAATTCAAATGGGTCAAGTACTACAGAGCAGAGATAGATTATTAGCTTATCAAGAAGAAGAGGATACAATCTTGGGAGCCGTTGATATTAACCCTGTGCATTATGGCATTGAACTAATAGGCGGAGTCATGTATCCTATTTTGAAAATGTACTCTCTGGAGGGACCTCAGTCTGCTCTCTTTACCTCCATCTCAACCAATAAAACAAATATAATTGAGATGCCCATCTATAGAGGATTCAGAACGAATGTCAATCACAACAAGTTACTGGGTACAATTTATTTCAATCTTCAACCTAATGATATCATTCGAGTTATATTTGACAATGAACAGAAGGACGTGTTAAATGTGACAGTAATAAATGAAACAACAAGAAAGTCTCATCAAATGTTAATTTCAAATAAATGGCAAGAATTGGTAGATGAGATCATTCTTCGTGAACAAAACTGGGACGCTGAGATATATGAACAAAATAGATACAAAGATGAAGAATTCAAATCAGTTATAGAACAAAGAATAGAGTCATTAAAAAGATTATCGTGGTGGAAGAAGAAAGATATCCTGTATAAGTCATTTTCCTTTTTATTACCAAAGCATGAAAGACAGGAAATGGAGCAGTTGATAGAGTTAAGTAAGAGTAATAAATTATTGTCTTTTTCGCCATAGTTTAGTGCTTTAATCCGTTCTGCTTAATTCAATTTTGTGTGTGTGTGTGCGCGCAATCGTCGATCGATTTTATTTTAACACGTAAATGTTTATATTTATGTGCTCATATGATTCGTACCTGTTTTCATTCTTATAAAATAAATAACGTACTTTTATTCTATAACTCGATTTTATTACATGTAAATTTTACATTAGAAGAATCAAAATGAATGAATGTAATAATAATCACTGAGTTCAAAAACCAAATAAAATGAAAGCTTCTGGTTACTGGTTTTTTTTTTATTATTATTATTTTCCTTCTTCTCACTTGGTAACAATATGCTGAAAAATAAGATCTTTGTTACAAGTCATCCTAATAAAAGTACATTACAATTCGTTATTGGTAAAGAGAACGATATATACATATACATATATATATATATTCTTGCAATACTTTTATATATATATAAATCAACTTCTTTTATTATTGTAGATCTCTTTAGGACATCAAATAGAGAATTCTTACAAACACTTGTTGATGATCGATTAAAAGAAACAAAGGGTGATGTAGTAGGTGTCTGTATACCGTATGCCATTAAAACCAAATATTACAGTGCAAATGTTGATTTTTGGTTAGACGAAATAGATCCTAGTCCAGATACTGTCAAAGCTTACTGTGAAAAGGATTCAGATGTTAGTAAAGTAGTAGACGCCTTTATCTATCTATTCGATAAAAATAAGGTAAATAGTAGATAACAAATAAGAAGGATAGAATAGAATAGATATGACAACCTATTTCTTATATGTGTATAATTTTGTGATAGCCAAATACATTTGATGCAGTGAAAAGATGGAAACCATTTATAGAACAAGCAGAGCCTAATGTTCGCATTGTTCTTGGCACAACATCAAAGAAGCCTTTAACAGAAGAGATGGAACATACTATTTATGATTGGTGCGCCTCAAATAATTTTATGTATGTAGACATGGACGAGACTTCAGAGATGCCAATGGATAAAGTAGGCATGGATTTAATTTTAGCGACGCTTGAGAATAATATGTGGGATGGCATGATAAAGGAAAAAGAGAATAATAAGAAAGATGAATTAAAAATAATGAATGATTTGGATGATGATTTATTAGGTAAGCTGTGTCCAATGAAAAAAAAAAAAAAATACATTTTTTTACTCAAATCTATTTTATTTATAGATTTACCTACACAAGATGAAATTGAAAGTTTGAGAAAAGAATTATTTGGAAATATTGATGAAGAAGATGGCTTGGATAAAGTATTCGAAACGATTCAATCCATGAGAGGTAAAAGACTATTAAATTGAGTCATAAAAGAAAAAGGGCTTATTCATTTTTTTTTTTAACAAAAAGAACACGGGAAGAGCTTATCGATGGAAGAAAGACGTAAAATGGCAGCAAAGGTTGCTTTTTCATTCGCAGCCCAATTTGATTTATAAAAATATAATGAAACATTATTAACATTGAATGTATTAAATCTCCATCTTAATAAAGTAAAAGTAAAATAACAGTAAATTATTATAAGAAATTTTTTTATTTTTTTTATTTGTTTATTTGTTTATTTATTTTTTTTTATTTTTATTTTTTTTTTTTATAAATATAAGAATAAATAAATAATAAAAATAAAATATGACAGGGAAGAAGTTGATTAGTTTTTTAATATTAGCAGTCTTTTATTTAATAAATATAGTTTATGCAGTAGAAAAAAGAGGTACACAAAGTGTATTGTTACATTTTTAGACATAGGCCACTAATAATCTATTTATCTGCACATGTATTTTAGATTCTGAGCTTTTATGTAAGTAAATGATTATGATTCGTATCGTATATTATATTAGAGTACTGTTTTAATAATTGATTTTTTTTTTCATCATAGCTGCTGAGATATTGGCTTTAAAAAGACAACAAGAATCAATGCCATCTTTATTCTCTATGAGAGTAGCATCTAGTACTTCAGTAGCTTCGCATCCTACAGCATCTTCTGTATCAATAATCCCTACTGCAACTCAACATCTTCCTTCTCCTCTTCCTTCTCACTCTATAAATTCTAGTCCTACACAGTCTATATCTACAGCAATGTCTTCAAACCCAACATCAACAGCAAACAATTTATCAAATCTACCTACTTCTGCAAGTTATGGTAACTCTGTTTACCCAGCCTTTGCAACCTTTGTCACTCCTACAAAGCATAGTGGTGTCAATCCAGTCTACTCAATCACAGCTAATTCAAACGTCACTTTCAAATGGACATATTCTTATTTACTTGTTCAACCTGTCAGCTTGACATTAAATGCAGTAGGACCCAACTCAGTCACCTATCCTATCACTGTTATGGAAGGTGCGGCAACTTCTGCTGTATGGAACTTAGGAAATGCTTCTACACCATCAGCACCCTTAATGAATGGGTTTTATAAAATTCAACTTTATGATCAACGAGGTGTAAGTGCTGGCTATGTACCTGGATGGTTATCACCTTGTACAACTTTGTCAGTTGGACTTTATACACCTGATTTCTATGATCCTTATACAACAATCTGTAAGTAGAAGTAGTTAATTTATTCCTATTTCTCTTATTTTATATTCATCTTTATTATTAGCGAGCTTTTGTCCTCTTTGCTTTTATAATGCAGCTAGTTCTTTCCGTGAATCATTTGGACCTATTATGATTACTTTTAGTATTTCTCTGCTTTCGTCTGTCCTATTTTTGATCAATGTCTTGCGTTAATTAGATAAAGAAGACAAAGGGAATGATACCCGATATAGGGGCTTTGAGAATAAATTCATATATCAAATTCATTTCACATAATGTGTATATCTTCCTCTTTCTATTTGGTTCAATAAATTGTATTTTTTTTTTTTTTAATTGTGCGTATCCCAAAAATGAAATTCATTCTCGTCTGAAGTATAAAAAAAAAAGTATGCTATTCTATTGTACATAAATACAACATTGCCTTTTTTCCCCCCTCTCTCTCTCTCTCTCTCTCTCCCCTTCATACAGTCATTATTCTGATGGAATTAAACTATTGCTTGTTTTGTGAGAAGAGACTTTTGGATGATGTAAGCACATACATACATACATACATATATACATACATGCTTATAAATAGTCTGTATCATTAGAATAGGGTCTTTTGTTCACTTGCTTGTGAAGCAAATGAAGCATCAAAATCAACTATTTATAATCCAATAAGCTCAAATCAATACCAATTATCATATTATAGAAATTGTCGTCCAACATTATTTTATAATAAAAAAAAATTACCATCAGAAAATAGATCAAATCCTTCAATTTTCTTTATTCACTCTTCTTCTTTATAAACTACTATTATTCCTTTATCTCTTTCTGATCTTAATATGCCTTAAAGAATTACTCGTACTACAAGATTGTACCTTCATATCTTCTCACACATTGAAATCTCACACACAACAACAAATAGTCATTCTTTATACAAATATCATTTGCTTCAATCTAATTTTGCTCAGCTGCTTATATGAAGGATTCTTACAAACTGTTTATCATTTGACAAGCAATCTATGCCAATTATTAATAACTATTCAGGCACAAAAAATAATGTTGGTATTTTATTTCAAATATAAAAAATGATGAAAACATACACACACGCATTGCCCTGAATGATTCCTCTGCTATTAGAGTGTTGTTTATCATACATCTATTATAGAAGTATTTATCTTAATTATCTAACTCATTTTCTTTAATAATATTATTATCGTTTTCCTTATTTCCTTTATTTTATTTTATTTTTTCTCATTAATATTTGAGGCAACTTCACGGACTGAGTTCTTTTATTTTATTTTCTTTTTTTTTTTTTTTTTTTTTTTTCTGCAACATATTTATTTATTCTTATTCTACAAGTAATTATGAGTTCAATTGCTAATCCAGTCAATGTGGACTCTTCATTACAACAGAATACAAAACAACAACAACAATCTAATACAAGTTCAACAACAACACCTTCAGGTATATTAACATGCATATAGACATTTTTTCTTTTTTCATTTATTTTTTTTTTTCATGTAGTATAGTCTCGAACGAAAGTCAAATTCCTACTACAGCAGCAGTGGCAACAGCAGCAGCAGCAGCAGTAGCCGTAGCTTCAGAATTAACATCAAATGAAGAATCTATAAGAAATCAAAAACTTGTAGAAGAATTTCAATATCTTTTAGAAAAGAGTCAAAGCTTATTTAGTGGATTAAGGTAACAAAAATAGAAGCTCTCTCTCTCTCCCTCTACATACTTTTTTTTTTTCTTAAAAAGAAAATATCAATATTGATTAATGCATACTAGAGATTTACCACCTACAGGAAGTCATCGTCAATGGAGACCAGTAAGCTATTCATTAATTTACTTACTAACAATAAAAAAAAATTAATTCAGGTTATATCTATATAGTATTTTGAAAAAACATTTGAAGTATATACAAAGGTTAGAGACTTTTTAAAAAACCAAAAATGAAAACTTGATAGAAAAATACATTTATATTCATCTTCTCTGTGATTAGTTATGGAAGTTTCAACAAACACATAGATCAGTTCTTGAGAATAAGAACAATTATGGCTTAAAACGTTGGGAAGTAGGTGAGATAGCAAGCAAGATTGGTCAGCTTTATTATCATTATTAGTAAGATATATATATATATATATATATATATAATACTTTATATGATTCTTGTATGTGTCTAATAGGTTGTTATTAGTCTAAGGACAAGTGAAACAAATTACTTACATGAAGCTTATGTATTTTATGAAGCAATTCATGAAAGGCAATACTTTAAAGATATCTTAGAAGTAAGAAAGTAAGTACGTGCTTTTATTATGCAATAATATCAAGTTTACTTATATCATGACATAGTGCTGCACTTATGGTTAAAAAGATGAGATATTATGCACGTTTTATCATTGTTTGTCTCTTGTTGAATAGAAATGAAAATATACGTCTATTGATTTCTGAATTAGAAGGTTTAATTGAAGAATATACGAAAAGTTATAAACCTCCTGATGCAAAGGAATGGCAAAGGGTCTTGGATGAGATAAGTAATTTTTCTGAAGCAGAAAAGAAACTCATTCCTATCAATCTGGATCGTACGCCCGACAAGATCGATCATCGATTGCCCTTTCATATTCCAGAAAGAAATATGGGTCATACTAATATAGCCAAGTTAAAATTACAGGAAGCTATTTTAGTAGGTAATTACCAAAAGCAAATCAAATTTTCTGAACTTACGTTGGATATGTATCGTATGCTACAATCATTGGAAAGAGAGCCTTCAGTTTTGCATCCATCTGCAGTTCAAAGCAGTAACAATACGAATATAGAGGATCAACAACATGCAAAAATAAATAGTTCGAATACATTGACAAAACGAATGAATCCACATAAATATCTTCTTTATAGACCTTCATTAAATCAATTACTAGTTTATATCTCTACTGCTTTCAAAGACACAAGTGAACATTCGGCTTTACTTCTTTACGTATCTGCAGATGGTTGTGTCTATCCAGATCAAGTCAACTCGGGATATGGGGGCGGTGTTTTGACAAATAACCCAAAAGGTAAACAACTTACTAATACAGAACGTGTAATGATGGCAACGACTTCATCCATATATACAGGTAATAATAACAATGCAGGAACAATGGTTGGAAATTCTGTTACATCCAATACAGCTGCAGCTTCTTCTTCAGCCTCTGCAGCAGTATCTACTACTACTGCTACTACCACTGCTACTACCACTACTACTACCACTACCACTACTAATAATAATAATAATAATAATAATAATATGAATAATAATAATAATAACGCAACTATTACAAATGCAACTGCATCCAATATAACAGGAAACACACCAACTGAAACACTGCCTCCTTCAGTTCATTGCTTGCATCCAGCTGATTTGATTCCTTTCTCTCGTAAACCCCTCTTTTTAATCATCGATAGTGATTATAGTACACAATTCAAGACGATGCCTACTATTTTTAATCAGCCACTTATGTGTTTAATGTCACCTATTGAATACCCATCCTCTGTTCAGGACAAGACAGAAATCGGAAGTCTTTTTACTTTGTTTTTGCATACGCCCTTATTAGGATTTTGTTCTATTTCGGATATTGGTAATTTGGATCAACAGAAATGGGACGACTGTGTTAAGAAATTAGCTACTATGGAAAAGGCAATTGGTGATCTTCTTATAAACGACGCCAATGTTGGTAAAATTCACATAAATAATTATTTATAAATAGATGCTTTTATTCATTTCTTATTTATAATATAGATGTAAGTGTAAAAAGATTCATGTCGGATGATTTTCTATATTATTTTATTGTTCGATTTGTTCTTTGTGGTATATTTTTAAGATATCATTCCTCTTTTAAAGATGAAAGGGTAAATACAATAATATCATTCATATTCATCTCTTTAATTAAGCCTTTTTTTTTGTTAGTCATATCCTTCTTCTTTACCTTCTTTACCAGAAAGCATTTATTCATCACCAGAGATTGTTACCATGTTAGGTGACTTGACAATGATTGCTGATGTAGGGACTTATTTTAGTTTACCTGCTTATGCAATGAATACAACTTCTTCTGTTACTACAAATACATCTTCTCTTACTTCGAACAATACGAATCCATCCATTTCTGGCAGTAACACAACAATTATACCTCCTTTGGTAAATAATAATTTACTTGATGAAAATTCCACCAATTAAATAAATAATAAAAAAAAAAAAAAACTACAGTCTTTGTTTATTATATTTAACATATATATATAAAAGAAAAAAAAATAAAAGTTATAAACATATATAAATTTGAAAAGAGAGAGAGAGAGAGAGAGAAAGAAAAGTTATAGGTATGTATGTATAGGAAAAGAGACAAATGGCTCTATTACAGATGATCATAATTGTGTGAATATAGAAACTTAAAAAAAAAAAAAAAAAAAAAAAAAGAATTAATCTTCACATTCAGCAGGAAGTGAATAACTTTCAACACGTTGCTCAATCCAGCCCTTCTTTTCTAGTTTAGCACCAGGACCAAGTCCACGCTTAGCGAAGGCACGATAAATATCACAATAGTATTTACCACCAGTTAATTGTTTTTCAGCTTCCAAGATGGCATCACGAGCTGATATAAAACTTGGGTTACAAGGTTGAAGTTTCATGCCGTCCAAGACGAGTTGTACAGCCAACGTGTTACCATGACTTGTAATATGTTTACGAATCATCTTTATCTCGTCCTCTGTCAATGTGATCTTATCAGGGTCAGCAGTCTTCGCTTTCGCTTTAGCCGCAGCAGTAGGAGTAGGAGTAGGAGGGAACCATTGATCAGTAAAACCCAAACGGTCGACCAAGTTCCAATAAACCTCATACAACATCTCTGCCCAGACTTCACCTTTTGCATGAACACCCCAATAATCAAATCGATCCATGATACAATAGGTACTTGGGTTTGTCTCCTTTGAAGTAGAATACTTGTATTTACGAATACCCTCACCCCCATTTGAGTAATCACCCATACCAAACTCGATAGAACGATTATAGCCCTTACGCATTCGAATCACGGTTGCAATAAAGTCACCCCATCCTTCACCCATCCCACCTGCTTCACCCCAACCTAGACAGTTTGAATTCTTGGGTCCACCTGTTAACCGTGTAGATACACCATGCGTATATTCATGAATCACGATGCCACTTTCAAAATCACCATCGCGCATCGGCTTCGTTTGATCCCAGACATACATCCGCATCTTGCCATGTTTACCATCGGGTGGTGTGGCAAAGTTCGCATTATTACGACCGGACCCATCTTGAGCATTCGCAATCACCGCATCTCCAGCACCACTCTCAGGCCCACGACCCAAGTTATCCTGTTGGAAGTTCCCCGCCTTTTCATCAAAGCCATAACGATAAAAGAAATCATGCGCTATATTACACCAATAGAATAAATTCGTTACGGCTGCGTCTTGATATTCTTTTGGTTCCTGTCGATCAAATAGGGCCTCATAATTAAAGACGAGACCATGATCACCATCACTTTCACCGTCATCATTAGGGTGTCCCTGAGGTCGATAATTGTTTTGCCATTCTGATCCACCATCTGGGTTTGTGTGTGTGTAAGCGTTATTGCCGATCGTGACGTTATAGGTCTTGGCCCCCTTGGCGATAAATCCTTGTGTATGCCAACCATCTGGACTTGCCCAGGGGTCATGTGGATTCTTGACAAGTTGTTGAAGGGATTCATGAGGGTCATTAAAGCCAAAGGGGATGATATTGTAATAGGATGCACTTGAAACCCAATCTACAAGACTGATGAGGGTAGCGTCATGTGCGTTCACATGTGCATTATACCAGTTATCTTGAAGTTCATATTGAACATCCCAGACAAGCTGCAAATCACCTGTCTCTGTCTGTATATAACCTTGACGAACCTCGACGGGGGATTCAGCAAAGGGGACATTTTCGAATTGAATAACCGTCGTATCCTCCTCATGAGAGCCCTTGAAAGAACTCAAGGTAATAAATGTTTCAGGTGTCAAGAAATTCAAGATAGTTGGATCTGGTAAAGAAGATTTAACAAAGGCCATTAATGATAAGACTGCATCAGCTGGATCAATCACTCTTTTATATGGGCTTATAATATTATAAACAATGTCATCATCCTCTTGTTCCTCTTGTTGAAAGACAACTTGAGAGAATGAACTAGAAACAATCTGTAAACCATTTTGAATATGCTATTATACAAGTATATAAATAAATATTTATGAGTAAACTATATATATCAAGAAGAGGTCAGATTTGAAGTATACCTTAAAAATGGATTTACTTTCTTCTTGTCGTGGCATCTTTGGACTACCTCTAGCAAATGAGTTACCATATGAAATAATACGACCCAATCTATCTACATTAATGTTGATATCACCATTAAGTACTTCTAATCCATTGACCTTTTGTCTTAGATAGACATGAGTCACACCGTTTAAATCAGACTTATAGACAGATTGAACGATATATTCACCGTTCACCAGTTCCGCTTCAGCAAAGGCGATAGCAATATCAGCTGGATCTTGGGTCAAAGTAAAAGCACTATAATCTTGCTGACGTTGCATATAATTTAAATTGGTATATTCCTGATAAGGAACATCAGGTCCAAAACTACGAGCAAGGCCTCGGTCATATTCCTTTCGAGCTAATAGATGGCCATTATTGATAACAGCACCATATGAAGTACTTGCAAGCAAAAAGATAGCAGTTGAAATAAAAATTGGTTTCATTAAAGATAAAGAAAAGGAAAAAAAAAAAAAAAAAAAAAAAAGGGAAAGTGAAATCTATATAAATTTATAGATGTACACCGATTTATAATTATTTTTTTTTTCTTTCTTTTTTTTTTTTTTTATGAAAAATAAACAGAAATTAAATACACACATGACGATCATTTAGTTACAAAAATGAAAACAGCAAATAAGGGACAAGCAGCTGATTACATTGAAAAGGGAAAATAAACAATCAGGGGAAAAAACAATGACGAAAGACAAATATAGATGCCAAATAAAATGACTAATTTTGGTATTATTTACTTTGTGATTGGATATTCCTTATTGCAATGTTATCAATCTTCTTTTGTATGTCGCAATATTCATTCTGATACAAATTCAGTAAAGCCTCCTATTTTTTTTTTTTTTTTTTTTTTTTTTTTTTTTTTTTACTTTAATAGTTAACACTAAATGTCGATGATGTTTCACATGGTATCCATCTCTTACTTTGGAATGAACATGTGTGTTTTTTTTTCTACTTGTTTATTTCAATGCTTATGTAATAAAATAAATAACTTAAATAATTTTTTTTATTATTTGTTTCGCTCTTTTTTATTTATTGAACATGACAGAAAAATCAGCAACAGAAGCTTCAAATGATTTCTGGTTGGAATTCAAGTCAGAAAGACAAGGTTTTTATTTAAATTGGCCTTTATTTTAGTTTGAAGTCCAACTTGACTTGCTTTAATTTATAGTTATTGAAGACCAAATTTCTCAATCAAGAACACTATTAAAACCAGAACTAGCCAATCACTTTAATACCATTTTACAAAATATAAATAATCTGGAAAAAAAATTGACAAGGGCAACTGATTTTATTCCATCTTATGATGAGCGACAATTTTCTATAGCAAGTATTTTTTAAGCTACTTTAAGCATCCAAAAAAAAAAAAAATAGGGAACTAATTTTTTTTTTTTCATACAGCAATTAAAAGAATTAACTGATTCACTTGAAAGAACAAAAGCAGAGTTAACTCCTAAAGCTAAATTTTCTTTTAAATCACGTAAAAAAAGAGTGAAACAACACCCATTTCTGTTCCTAAAAAAGAATTGAAAGTGGAAACAAAAGAAGACACTCTATTATCCGATGCTACTGTATTATTTAAAGATAAAGAGAATTCAATATTATCATTAGATGATGATGTTAATCAAACAAAAAGCATAGAGGTTCTTTTATCAAATCTCAAAAATTGCATCATCATTTTAGGGAAAAAAGATGTTCAGATTTCAGCTATACATGTAAAAAATGTCGATCATTGTGTTATTTATGGAGGCCTTATACAAGGTTCTGTATTGATTTATGGTCTCAATTACTCGACTTTATTTGTCGGCTGTCATCAGGTAAAACAAAAAAAAAATCTTTAATAATAAAACTTATATGTATCCCAAAGCTTCGTATACATGAAGCCCATCATGTAGATATGATGTTACATGTTACTAGTCGACCTATTATAGAAGATTCAGATTCTATTCAAGTTGGTTGTTGGAACGCCAATGTAAATATTTATATAATGTGTAAAGCCCAAAATGAAATCTCTTCTCTAACACTCATTTTCATACATGTATAGGAATCAATTAATTATTTTGATCAAATCGAGGATTTTAATTGGCTTAAAAAGCAAGCATCACCAAATTGGAAAGTGATGGATAAAGAGAGACAAACAGTCCTCTTAAAGGAGTGTATTCTTAAAAATTCTTCAAATCAAAGTATTTCAATTAAAAAGTTAAGCTTATTACCTGCTTAACCATAATTCTCACGATTTTATGCATAATAATAATAATAAAGAGGGGATGACTTGTAATAAAATAGAATGAAGCATACTTGAGAAATTTCCCATTGGACTCGTTTCTTTTTCCTTCGTGGGAAAAAAGACGACCTTAGACATGATTCTTTATATATTATTCGACGGTATTATTATGCGATGGCAAAGTAAGTTGGCGGTATTCTGTATTTCTGTAGATATATAAAAAGCACAAGTAAGAGAGTAAGAGTGAGAGAAAGGAAGAAGAAAAAAGTAACTTCTATTTAATTCAAATTATGTTTACTATTCTACGTAAAATCAAACCAAATCATTTGAAGCCTATAAGCTCTTTTGGTTACAATAGGCTCCTTTCATCATTCATTACAGAGAGTCAAAGAATCGAGCCTTCTATCCAAACTTTTACAGTAGGAACTGAAAATGGCTTTCTTCCTACACAGGATCCATTAGTTGAACTACCTAAAGAATTTAATAAATTAGAATCTCTTTTACAACGTATGCCAATGCAACTAGTAGATGGCTCTCCTGGCTTATTAGCAAGTGGCCAATTCGGTGATGCTATTAGAGATGAGCTTCCTTTATATGAAATAGATCATATCACAGATCAACGTCTTTTATCTGGTAATGATTACAAGTCACCATATATATATATATATAAATATAGACTTAGTTATTTCTTGATTCTTATAGCTTTATTTCGTGATTATACCTTTGCTGCATCTGCTTATTTACTTGAACCTTGTGATATTCTTTATCGTATTAAAAGCGACTATGGATTAGGAAGAAAAGTTTTACCTATGAATATTGCTGTTCCATTAACCAAAATTGCTAAAAAGATTCATAGTCAACCTTTTATGGAATAGTAAGTAATACTGTTCTATGATAATGTATTGATATAAAGACTAATTCATATTTATAGTGCTTTAAGTTATGCGTAAGTTCTTTTTCTTCTTCTTCTTCTTTAAATCATGTTTATTTATAAATACATAGTTTATACAACTATAAACGTTTAAATCCTTTAGGTGGTCTTACATATGATAATTTGGCTTTAATTCGTTCATTTGCTGGAACAGAATCAGAGTAAGATAGATAATATTAAAATCATTTCCTCTAATAGATATGACTGAACATCTTGTATATATATATATAGGAAGGGCTTTATTTTAAACCATGTAACAATGGTTTCTTATTCACCTAAGCTTGTACGTTACGCTACAGGTGCTTTGAAAGCTGTTGAAATGAAAGATAGAGCCAATTTTAATATGCAAATGGTTGGTTTAAATGAAACTTATGAATCTATTAACAAAGAAATGGAGATGATGTGGTCTCGTAGTATGCCTGAAGATTATATTAAGTTTAGAACTTTTATTATGGGGACCAAAAACCAAGTAAAATAGATAAAAAAAAAAGATGTATATATGCACTCAAATGAGTAATAATAACTTTTATTTATTTATTTATTTATAAAAGCCCATGTTCCCTGATGGTGTTATTTATGAAGGTGTAAGCGATAACCCTATTGTACATCGTGGTGAATCAGGCGCAAATGATTCTATGGTCCCCCTGGGGGATAACTTATTTCAAATTACTGAGCTCATGCCCGAGAATCCTTTAACAAAGGTCTTGCGTGACTTTAGATCCTATCGACCTACTAATCATCGCGAATTTTTAGAATACGTTCAAGATAAAGCTATCAAATTGGGCCTCCGAGATTTTGCTTTACAAGATCCTAACTCGGCTGCTATTTATTTATCAAATATTGATCAAATTCGAGCCTTTCGTCATCGGCATTGGAACTTTACGAAAGAATATATCATTAAGCATACATCACATCCTGTAGCTACTGGTGGCTCTCCTATTGTAACTTGGTAATAATAGAAAAGAGGAAAAAAAAAAATACGGCAAAGAGAAAAGGAGTAGAATTAATTATTCATTTTATTATGTGTAGGTTACCTAATCAACTTGGTACCGTTTTGAACTTGTTAAATGAAGTTAGTAGTCAAATTGACAAATCTCAACTCACAGAAAGTAATTTGATTCGAGTTGAAGAAATTGCTAGACGTGCTGAAGCTCAAAAGAGATTCCTCGATCGTGAGGTTGCCAGCTTGAAGATGAAATTCGAAAATCAAGATCGTACTTGAATTGATTATTCTATGATATTATAATATTTATATATGTGCCCCCCTTTTTTTCTTTTTTCTTTTTTTCTTTTTTTTTACTCTTTATTGTAGCTTAATATTGAACTATACAATTAAATAGTATATTGTCGTTGGAACTATTGTATATGCAAATAAACCTTTTTTTTTTCTATCATTTATTATGATATATTTATATATTTATATACATATATTGTTCTTATTTAAGTAGGTTGAAATAAGACTAGCAAAGCTTATAAAAGCTACACAAGTTAATAAAAATAGGATCATCAAATGCTAGAATGTGTATATAATTACTAAGAATGATGCTCTTAATAGAATTATGTAATAATATTGTTTACTATAAACACTCTCATTCCTCTTCTTCTTTTACTCTTTCTTATAAAATACCTAAATCTAGCTGTGATAATTTTGTGTGTTATATAGTATAAATCAAACAAACAAAAAAAAAAAAAAAAAAAAACTTTGTATGCATTGAAATATGTTTTATTTATATGCTATTTAATTTATCGAAGTTCTACATTAAATTCATCTCTTACTGTATTACGAACATTCTCTTGTATTATATTTATTTCTTCATTAGTAACATTTCTAAAAATACAAATTAGTTTTTTTTTATTACATTCCTTGCATATATGTATCATTTTTATGTACCTATCCATAGATCTATAGTTAATACGGTAACATAAGCTTCGTCTATTAGTCTTTGGATGTGTAAAATCATCAATCTATATTCACCACAAATTAGTCTATAATCATAATTTAACATATAAATATTTATATCATTACCAATTCAACAGTCTCTACCAAGTCACCAGCTACTCCTCGTACTAATTCACAGAAATCATTTTCATGCCATTTATTTTCAGATATCCAGAATGAAATATCTTTGATACAAGGTGGATACTTTGAAAATGGCATAAATTTGTTGATCTTTCCTGGCTCGAATTGATTAATAAATCTTTCATCTTCAGTCCAAAATAATCGAATATCTGGAATACCAAATAATACCATCGCTAATCGTTCTAATCCCATACCAAATGCCCATCCAATTTTATCATCTAAATGAGCTTGGTTCATAATCTTCTGATTCACAACACCACATCCTAATACCTCAAGCCATTCTCCTTTATACTCAATTTCTACTTCCCAACTGGGGCTCGTAAATGGAAAATAGGCATCAATCCATCGTACCTTTAGATTGGGTTCGTCAGCAAAGATATTTCGAATCATACTATTGATGGAGTGTTTAAGATGAGTTGCAATCAGGTCTACAGCCTCTGGTTGATGACAGGTCTGGTAAGGATTCTCTGGCTTAATCACAGTATCGTCGACAAGTTGAATATTAGTCGTCTTTTTATCTTCTTGAAGTTGCTTTAGCTCCGTTCCAAGTTGTTGAATATCATTATCTGTATAAAAGACACCTTCTATTTGATGAAATACGGGATAATGGGATGCATCAATCTCATCACGACGATAGACGTCACCACTGACTAAAAACTTACGGCTCCCCGACATCAAACCTTGAATTTGATGTGCTGAGGTATGGGCACGCAATACAACATCCTTATTGAAATAATAGTTATCTGATTTTGTACGGCTAGGATGGTCTTTTGGAATGAAGAGATCATCAAAATTCTGTTTCGTAGTCACAATTGGACTATGATTGTTAAATTTTTGAAAGTCTTGAAAGTTGGATTCGATTAATTGTCGAATAATGGAAATGGGATTTTGAGGTTGCAAGTGTAATTTACGGTTAATTTTCGAAAGTACAGTAGGTGTAACATTAGTCCACTCATCTCTTGGAAATCGTTGACCATTAACCATCGTTTCTTCTTTACCAATTTCAAATTCTATACATGTATATACATATATATAAAGAAATAAATACTTTGTTTTATATTATGAGTGGTTGCTTTTAACCTGGTTTTGTTGAATAACATGTCTTTTGTATTATATTAAAAACGCTAGCACCTCCAGCAATTGTGTATCGACTTGTTATTATTTGCTTTAGACAAATTGAATGTCGAAGCATTTTTGTTTTGACAGATGCCAAACTTAAAAAAAAAAAAAGGAAAAGTTTTGAAAGTTTACCAGGGGCATAAATTTTCCCCCTTTTTTTTGGCGGATTATATATTTTTCCATAATAAATAAGGCAAATGAAATTGTACCTTATATGGATATAATAAAATGACAACTAACAATTTTTATTTTATTTGCCTTATAAAGTACTGTGAAAGGCAAAAACAATCAAATTATAGACTAGAGTTTTATTTGTATGATCATTTATATCTATTAGCCTTTCAATCTGCTTCTGCGCTATTTTTTTACTATGCTGCCTCTTTTTTTTTTATTTTTGCGGAAAATTAATGACAAAAAAAAAAAAAAAAAAAAAACATGAAAAAAAAAAGTGCTGTTTTATTTTTCTTCTTCAGTTTTTCAACACGTTTTGAAGGAAATGTCATCGTGTGTAGGATTATTGATAATCGGTGTGATATTTCACATCGTTTATTTATTTAGTATCTTTGATATTTATTTTACTTCACCTCTTGTTCATGGCATGAAACCTCATAAAAGCTCCTTTGATGCACCTGCCGATCGACTTGTTCTCTTTGTAGGTAAGTACTGATTCATTGAATTTCATGCTATCATTAACTAATTAAACATGTATATGGATAGGTGATGGCTTAAGAGCTGACAAACTTTATGAATTAGATGAAAATGGTGAAACGAGAGCACCTTATTTACGCAACATTATTAATGACCATGGTGCTTGGGGTATATCACATACTCGTGTACCTACTGAATCAAGACCTGGCCATGTCGCTATCATCGCTGGTTTTTATGAAGATGTGAGTGCAGTTACAACAGGTACTACTACTACTACTACTACTATAATGACAAACATAATGATATACATATATATAATTATTGTATTCTAATTATCTATAGGCTGGACAATGAATCCTGTTAACTTTGATTCGGTCTTTAATCAATCCCAACACACTTGGTCTTTTGGTTCTCCTGATATTTTACCTATGTTTCAACAGGGTGCAAGTGATCCGAATAAAATAGAGACATTCATGTATCCACCTGAATATGAAGACTTCTCTGGAGGTAATTACAATATGGTTTCAATAGATGAGAAAAGAGAGAGAGAGAGAATATGAACTAATATTTATGATAATAGAGGCTTCAAAATTAGATCTTTGGGTATTTGATCATGTTCGACATCTTTTTCAAAATGCAACAGTTGATCCCGAATTAAATGCAAAATTGCGTCAAAAAAAAATCGTCTTTTTCCTTCATTTGCTTGGTTTGGATACAAATGGTCATGCATTTAGACCAATGTCAAAGGAATACTTGAATAATATTAAATTAGTTGATCAAGGAATTAAAGAAATAGTAGAGTTAATTGAAGAATTCTATGGTCATGATGGTCGTACTAGTTATATCTTTACAGCTGATCATGGAATGAATAATAGAGGTAAATCTTATAATAAAAAAATCAGAGAAAGTTCATTTTTTTAATTAAGGTAGTATAGGTGGTCATGGTGATGGACATCCTGATAATACTCGTACTCCTATTATTGCTTGGGGTGCTGGCGTCCGTAAACCGATTACTTCAGGATTAGGTCATGATGAGTTTTCTGCAAACTGGGATTTATCTCATATTCAACGTGATGATATTCTTCAAGCTGATATTGCGCCTTTGATGGCACATTTGATTGGCACTCCTCTTCCTGTGAATTCTGTAGGTGAATTACCTTTAAATTACTTGGAAGCTGACGAGATGATAAAGGCTGAAGCTGCATTTACAAATGCTCGACAAATCTTAGAGCAATATCAAACAAAGCATAGTAAGTAATGTAATTTTTTTTTCTTTTTACGTGTAGAGGCTAAATTTCTTATTATAAATAGATGAAAAGGAGAAACATGAGTTGTTTTTTAGACCTTTCCAACCTTTGTCTGGTGAAAACGATCCTCTTTTGTTTATTTCAGACATTCAAACTTTAATTAATAACAAAGAGTATAAACTTGCTGAAGAAAAATCCAGAAGACTCATGTCTCTTTCTCTTGAAGGTTTACGTTACTTCCAAACATATGACTGGCTATTCTTGAGAGGTGTTGTTACTGCAGGCTATATTGGATGGTGTATTTTTTGTCTTCAGTTTGTTCTTAAACACTTTGTTTTATCATCACCATCACAAACCACTGTCAAATCTCGCATCATGGTTAATTTATTTTCTTTCTTAATTCTAGGCGGGCTTTACAGTATGCTATGGATTCAAAGAATGCCAAAAATGTATTATGCCTATGTGTTCTTTTCTATCTTTTTCTGGAATCGCGTTTTCACAAACTGTCGTGTATTATTTGAAGCATTACGTTTGAGCTTGAAGAATGGATACATGCGTTTTGTTCTGATCGTTATTTCTACTTTACTCTTCTTGGAAGCATTGGTATAATTTTATAATCTTATTATTATTACAAACTTATCCTCATATTTATTATATATATATATATATATAGGTTTATAGTTTCTTTTATCGTGAAATTCTTAGCGCTATATTTGTGATTATATCAGCATGGCCATTGATAATGACTTCTAGAATTCGTAAAGAAAATAAGGCTTTAATGTTTGTCTGGTCCGCATCTTGTCTTTGTACTAGTGTGTTTACTTTATTACCTGTTGAAAAGGGCGAAAATATTTCTGTTGTGTAAGTGTGTAGATTTAATTCAATAATATTCATTCCTAATATACATGTATATACATATATAGGATTGCTGGTGGCGTAATTGCTGTATTGATGGGTATTTTTGCCTTGTGGAAACTTAAACAAAGTAACAGAATTAATAAGAAACTTGGATTTATTATGATTGTTCAGTTACTAGTTATTATTGCTAGTATTTTGCTTGTATATTCTACTTCTATCAGTCTTCAGAAACGTGAAGGCCTTCCCACTTTTAATCAAGCTGCAAGTTGGATAATTATTGGTAAAAATAAGTAAATTGCTTTAAAGAACGAATCACTCATAACTATTTTGCTATTATAGAGATTTCAAGTATTTTCCCTTTTATTTATCGTGGAAAAACTTATGATGATTACTTGGCTAGATTACTTATTATTTGCTTTGCATTTACTCCCTTAATGGTCTTGCTTAGTATTTCTTATGAATTACTATTTTATGTATGTTTCTGTACTACATTACTTATTTGGCTTGAAGTAGAAAGAACATTATATAAGGAAACCCGCCATTCAGCTCATCGTCCACTTCAAGCTAGCGATATTCGTGCAGTTCTTCTCTTTTTATTCTTTATCAACGTTGCCTTCTTCGGTACTGGTAATATAGCCTCAATGAGTAGCTTTTCATTGGAAAGTGTATATCGATTTACGACCCTATTTGATCCCTTCTTAATGGGTGCTTTGTTAATGATTAAGGTCCTAATTCCCTTCTTTGTGGCCTCTGCCGTATTAGGTATCCTTAGCTCTAGTATAGATCTTCAACCTTTTACGTTATTCCTGTCAGTGATGAGTATTACAGATATTCAAACAGTTAACTTTTTCTATTTTGTAACTGATTATGGAAGCTGGCTTGAAATAGGAACTTCAATTAGTCACTTTTGTATTTCTGAGCTATTCATTATCTTTACGATGATCTTGTTTCTTTTGTCCAGACTTTTAGTAGGACACCTTGTATTGCCTAAAGTGAACAAGATAGTAAGCAGAATGAGACCTAAAAACGTATAATAACACAATTAAAGAAGAAGAAGAAAGAGAGACATATAAAATAGAATAGCAATAAAGTTATTTTATTCTAATCATGTATTCAATAATTATGTTGTGTTGTTATTATTATTTCTAATCTCCCTTTATTTTAATAAGCTGAAAAAATGGACATTCATTGCAAAAAATAGACCATGAAAAATTATTAAGACTTTATTATATACGTACTGTGAATAAAGTAGTCTGTTCTATTTACTCGAAATAATAACTGTATGTCAATCACTGTTATCAGCTTAAACAGATGTAAAAAAAAAAAAAAAAAAAAAAAAAAAAAAAAAAAAAAAAAAAAAAAAAAAAAAAAAAAAAGTGGGTACCTCTTATGTCTAAAGCTTAATTTATTTGATATCAATAGCTTCTTTATGTTATGTTATTAACAAAAAGGCTTCATATGCTTATATTAATGTCAATTATGTAGAAAAGCGCTTGCTTATTTCATACATGTATATACATATATACATATATATAATCAGAAATAGAAAAGGAAAGAATCATGAAAATGAATAATTTTCGTATGTATTACACAAGTCTTTCATTAGAGTATAAAGACATATGAATACACCTTCAGTCATATATATATATATATGTATTAGAGTCGTTTATATGTATCAAAAGGGGAATCATTATTTATTGAATGAAGGCATTTTCTTTAATATAAGCCCTGCTTTCATGATCTGCTGCTCGGATAGGCTCAGGTATACGATATCTTGGACACACAGCTAATACAATTTTAATGGCTGTCTCTAAAGAAATTCGGTGCCCCTGACTAATAAATACGGGATTAGATGCATGATCAGAGGTACGGACAGCTGCACCATAGGTCATATGGCCACCGATTAATCTGTACTCATCCCCCCTTTTTAATAAGACTTGTTTATATTTGCGCTTGGTTTCTATTAAATCATCTAATTCACCAGGTATCATTAAGAAATTTTTAGCTACACCTATTGTGGGTGTATTACATAATACTCCTAAATGACTAGCGATACCGAATTTCCGAGGATGTAAAAGTCCATTTCCTAAATAAATAATATCATTCAATAAGACAAATTACATACATATAAAATTTGGTAGAATCGAACCATCTACTAAAATTACTTGTGGATACAGTTCTGGTCTCGTTTCTTTTAATTGATTTAATAGCTTTAATAATGGATCCACTTCTCGAAAGGCCAAATAACCTGAAATATAAGGCAAATAAAGTTTTGTATGAAGGAAGTCTTTATAGATAACCTACAAAACTACTGTTTTTAGATATGAAGGTTTAACAACTAAAACTTGACTCTGTAAACTCAACTCTACCTTACCTTTAGATCAGGAAAACTCATAACAATAAGACAAGCAACTGCGTTTTCATAATTGTCGAGAGGGAAACTTAGATCGACACCAGCAATGTAATGTAAATCTTCAAAAGTGTTGGGATCGAATTCAAGATTGTCTTGCAACTCAAGTTGCTCTCGAAGTTTATTTTGTTTCCTATAGTGTTGTTAACGATAATAAGCCTTATAAATTCGTGACACTTACTCATTCCACAACTTGCGCTGTTCTTCTGAAGGATCTTTATCATATTCCATGTTATATTTTTATATTATATTGAGAAAGAAAAAAAGTGATGTTCAAGTCTTGTATTGGTACTGGGTTAAAAAAAAAAAAAAAAAAAAAAAAAAAGGGTAAAGAAATACATAAATTTTTTATTATCATGTCTTTATTAATTTCCACTATATGCATTTATTTGTTCATTCCATAGTCAAAATGATGCCATCGAAACAAAATAAACAAGTCAAAATAAATACCTTATACTTGTAAATATCAAGTTTTAAATTATGCATACTTTGTTATGAACCTGTTGATTTTTTTTTTTTTTTTTTTTTTTTTTTTTGGAAAAAAAGAGAAATTTTTGGAATACAAATTTATTAGCAGTTTGAATTAAACAATTACCGCTCTTTTCTCTGCTTAATTAAAATATGGGAATGCTTCAAGGAAAGAAACGCCCTCTAATGGGCTTTTCCAAAAGGTATATAAAATGACTTTCTTTTCTTTTCTTTTACCATATTTCTAATAATATATTTAAAATAGTGGCATTGTCGATTCAAAAAGTAAAACGTTTGAGGAGGTATTATTTTCTTTTTCTTACAAAAAAAAAAAAAAAAAAAAAAAAAAAAAAAAAAAAAAAAACTTTCAACATTTAAAATCTCTCTAATTACTTTTATAGAGATTGACCGAAGTCATGGCTTTATTTTATAAACAAACTCAACTTATACCCATTGCAAATCAACTTCCTAAAGCAGCCTTAAAGAACGATGCAGATCTTTCAGTATACAATACACCCACTATCACAAAACATGCTTCACAAGATATTCAGTTACTGTGGTCTTTAGCAATAGCTATCTTCCGTTCAAAAAAAACTGACTCTGTTCAACAATGGCTTCGTGATCTTGTTCAACCTGGTATGCAGTACCAATTAGAACGTTATCTTAAAGCGTATGATGATCCTTTTGTGGCAGCTTTTATTTATTTAACATTTGGACAACGCAAGATGGCTTCGGACGAGGCACGAAAGTTAAAAGATACTTCATTAAGCATATATATTATTCATTCAGAATTTAAGTCCATGAGTGGTATCATACTGAACCAGATCGAAATGTTTAAATCGGAAGGTCAATGGCAACAAATGTCAGTCTTCCATAGAAAATGTTGGCTTTTGGTAGCTGGTCGATTAGGTTATGAATACGATGATAAATTTGCAGTAACAGAAGGCATCTATTGGCAGTGTGTTTTAGGAATGTATGTTTGGTTTGGAAAGAGACATGACGACAATAAGCTTACTCTAGAATTCTATAATCAAGTGTTTGATAAACCAAAACGTGATAATCTGCAATTAAAGACAGCTAAATACACAGCTAAACCCGATTATGATTGTTATTGGTTTCAACTTTTACAGTGGTGGATAGGAGATCATAAACTAGCCCATTTTGATGAATGGCCACTTGATTTCGTTTGGTTATTATCGATGTATACAAAGGAAAATAATATAGATTTATCTTTTAGTTTGAAATGGATTGATCAGCTAGAGCATACCGATTTGGTTGATTGGGCTATATATGCATCCCTGTTCTTACCAAGGTAATTTTAGGCTTAATTCCATTGTTAATAGGCTGCTTACAATTACTTTTGTAGCCCTACAGAAAAGCTAAATTATATTTTACGTCAATGTGAATGGACGGATGAAAGACGATTAGTTGAAGAATACCATATTCCCTATAAGCAAATTCAAATAGCAAAGGCTTTAAATGCACATGACTCGTGGAATTTTGAGTCAGAGTATACATATTTAATACAAGGTCAATTATATAATGAAGCTAAAATGGCTTTATTCTTTTTCCTTTTACCGAAATTATATCGAGGTTAGTAGTAGTAGTAGTACTTTATCCGAATTTACCGTATTAAGTTAATAATTATTCTTTTAGACAATGATAAAAACTCACTCCAACTTTGTTTAAAATATATGGATGAGTATTCTCAAGCTGATGAAGAGATTGAATTATTAAAAGATGTCTATACATATCTTACTGTAGAAGGCTCAAATAATGAGCAAGGAAAGGAATACATCTCGAAATTACAAAATCTTCAAAAGATGTATGGATCTAGAAGTATGAAAGATCTATTATCAAGTTTAATACATGAAATTGAATTAAAATAAAATTACAATACTTTATTTTTGTATATAGCTTTAATGAATATAATCTTTCTTTACAATTTCCATAAATGTTTCCTTATTTAAAGCAAACTCTTTTACAAATTCAGCTTCCATTTCATGCATACGAGAACCGATTAAGACAAGTGAATGAAGAGGACCTCCAAAATCTGCCTCAACCAATTCCTCTAAGGTACCTGCAATTATCTTTTGAGTAGCAGTTCCAATACGAGCACAACCAATAGCTAATGAATTAGGCTTGCAGATTCCTTCTCCACGATTTTCTTCAATTTCTAAAAGCTGTTCAACAGCTTGATTGACAGTCATGTAACGAGGAGGCTCATAAATCAATCGACCTCTATTATCTAAATGATTAATAATAGTGTTCTACTTTCCTTTTCTTTTATCCCTTTTATACCTTGCCAAATTCTCAATACTTTGTTCTTTTACTTTAATATCTAATAAACATAAAGTATGAAGACCTAATTGTTGATTTTCTTTGATACGGTCATAGAAACTATCAGGTCGCCATGTCTCTGTGAAAAAGACGATAGAAATGGTCTGTCCAAAATTATATAACTGAAGACCACAAGCACCAATGGCATTCATGATGGAAGCATTGTGAATGACCTTGACAGGAATGTTCATTTCACGAGCTCGAATAACAAGATCAGTATGAGTAGTTGCACTAATATAGAAAACGCTATTATTAATATCACTCTTTTTTTTTGTCTTTTCTCCCTCTCCCACCCCATCCTGCTTTCTTTCTTTACCCGTATGGATCACCAACAACCAAGAAAGCAACATCAATAGTATCAGCATTGGCAAGAATGCTATCACTATCAGATTCAACCATTTCACGATCAGCAACGATCACTTCTTTTCCATAATATTCTTCTAACTTTTCTTTTCCAACAGTCAAAATGGAGGTATAGGCCTCTAAATATACACGCTCTGAATTCTTGACTGCTTCCAAACCAGCAACTGTAATATCTTTTTCATCACCTAAACCGAGACCGACTACGTACAACATTGTGAAATCGTTGGAAAATAAAAAGAGATGTCAAATTTATTTCATTTCATTTCATTTTTTTTTTCACTCTACAATAGGAAAAATTTTCATATGGACACCCTACAAATGTACACTACTTTATATAAAATGACCCACTTGAAAGACGTACTTTCATACCATAGGTAAGTATGCATCATATCATCAGTATTTGTTTCGGCTACAACACTAGTAGTATTTTAAAAGGATTCAAGTTTAAAGAATTTAATTTTTTTTTAAAAAAAAAAACAGAACAGTATAACATATATTTTATTTTTCGTATGTTACTTAAGCAAGAGTTTGTAAATGACCGATTCATTTGTTAAACGTAAAGCATTGTATATATCGGCTATGTTGGAAGTATTATTGACATGTTCCTTTTACCTTCCTCCGTTCCTTTTCCATTTTACTCTTCTTTAGTTTCTCAATCTATTATATTGAACCTGGCCCGGGCAAAAGAGTATAGTATGTACTCATATTAAGTCAAAAACAAAATAAAAATCAATTTGTATATTTCGGCTTTTTTAAAATAGGTGTATGTTGTGGTGTGTATGCTTTTTTTTTCTTGTTTTAATTGGTTAATGTAAAAAATTACTCTTTTTATGACGTTTATACAATCATTACTAGTGGTATATATAATACATTGCTTTTATTCATCGTTGTTAGAGTATTTATACCTGTTAAATATTATAAGCTTTCAAAATATTATGTAAGTATAATCTGAATTATAATTGTAACTTTACATAATTTACTGTAATATGATGCCATCATCGTCATATCATACAGACACCCTATTTAATGACATAAATTTATGCTATTATTCTGACTTAATATTGTTATTATTATTATTGTTTTTTTCTTACTATATTCAATGGTTCAACCTACTATAAATCTCGAAGAGCAAAATGAACAAAATGAATCTCCATTCTTTGAATATCATCACTTGAAAGCTATTCAAGATGTAAGTATTATACAAGAAGGAAAAAAAAAGGCTAGCATGTATTCACAATTCTATTTATAGCATGACAGTCGATACTTTGGTCAAAACAACCTTGAGAATTCATCCTCAAAAGAGAAGATAGGTTCTCCGTACATGGACGAAGAAGAGCAAGATTGGTTAGTAAGTAATCGATTGCCTTCTATTCCTTTATCTGCTGCTGTTGATGATGTTCCTACCAACACAACTTATAAAGGTTCGTATACATGTATATATTTTAATTGAATTATTTGTAACATTCTATTTAGATGATGCTATTACTGAGGAATTACGTGAACTTTATAATACATTCCAAACATGTTTGGATTTGCGTAAGAAATATATAAGAAAATCTAAACAAAGATTTAAAGATAATCCAAAGAACAAAGATGATTGGGAAATATATCCTCCACCTCCACCTCCATCTTGGCCTTTACCCCCACCTGAAGAATTAAAAAGAAGGCGCAGGAAGGAGAAGGAACGTGAAGCTGATCCTGTAGCTGCTGTTGGAAGTGATTTCGATATAAATCATATTAAAATTCCTGGCGACCATCCTGTAAGTAAAGAAAATAGTGAATATCATATTGCCCTATTCCTGCATTTCTTTAAATGTATATTTACTTTATCTATTTACACATAAATTAAATGTTTTTTTTTGTAAGTACACTTTTGGTATTGGTACAGATGGATTTTATCATGTTTATAAGAATGAAGAAGATAAAGAAAATAGGGAACCTGCTTATGATATTCCCTCTTGCAAGGATTTTTATACAGACTTGGACTTCATTTTGACTGCTATCAGTGATGGTCCCGCTAAAAGTTTTGCATTCAGACGACTTCGCTATCTTGATAGCAAATGGCAAATGTATATCTTGTTGAATGAATTTCAAGAATTAGCTGACTCTAAACGTGTTCCTCACAGAGATTTTTATAATGTACGTAAGGTGGATACTCACGTTCATCATTCAAGTTGTATGAATCAAAAGCATTTGTTACGTTTTATTAAAGCAAAAATGAAAAAATCTCCGGATGTAAGGAAGTTGACTCTTGATTTTTGAATTAGTATAATAATATTGGTTATTTATTATAGGATCTGGTTATTTATCGTGATAATGAGCACTTGACTTTAAAAGGTGTATTTGAAAGCTTGGGGCTAACTGCTTATGATCTCAGTATTGATACTCTGGATATGCATGCACATAAAGATTCCTTTCACCGTTTTGACAAATTTAATTTGAAATATAATCCAGTCGGTGAAAGTCGACTAAGAGAAATCTTTATGAAAACCGATAACTATATTCACGGTCGCTATCTTGCTGAAATCACAAAGGAAGTTATCTCAGATCTTGAATCATCTAAATACCAAATGGCTGAATATCGTGTCTCTATTTATGGCCGCTCTATTGAAGAATGGGACAAACTCGCTAAATGGGTTGTAGACAATAAACTTTTTTCTACTAATGTACGTTGGCTAGTACAAGTTCCTCGTCTCTACAATATTTATAAGACAACGGGTATTATTGAAAACTTTGGAGAAATCATCAGGAATATCTTTCAACCTCTTTTCGAGGTCACTAAAAATCCTTCAACTCATCCTGAACTTTATATCTTTTTACAACGTGTTGTTGGTTTTGATTCAGTTGACGATGAATCCAAAGTAGAGAAACCATTATATCGAGAATACCCTTTACCTAGAGAGTGGAACAATTATTCTAATCCACCTTATTGTTACTATCTCTATTACATTTACTCAAATTTAGCTTCCCTTAACAATTGGCGAGAAGAACGTGGTCTGAATACGTTCGTCTTAAGGCCTCACTGTGGTGAAGCAGGTAATACGGATCATCTAGCTGCTGCCTTCTTGACTGCTCACGGTATCAATCATGGTATCCTCCTCAGAAAGGTCCCTGCCCTTCAATACCTCTATTATTTAGCTCAAATTGGAATTGCCATGTCACCTCTCTCGAATAATGCTCTCTTCTTGACCTATGAACGTAATCCATTACCCCAATTCTTTCAACGTGGGCTTAATGTGAGTATCTCAACAGATGATCCTCTTCAATTCCATTTTACACGTGAGCCTCTGATTGAAGAATATAGTGTGGCTGCTCAGATATGGAAACTCTCGTCCACTGATATGTGTGAACTAGCACGTAACTCAGTATTGCAAAGTGGTTGGGAACATCGTATCAAACAGCATTGGATTGGTAAAAACTATTATAAAATGGGTGTAGATGGGAATGATATGTCCAAGACAAATGTACCCAATATTCGTATTGATTATCGACATGAAACATTATTAGAGGAGTTGAATGCATTAAGAAGGTATGCCCCCAAGGAAGAAGGAGGTGAAGGAGTTGCGCTTGAAGATATGACACAGCGTGATATGATCGGTGTCGCTGGTCTGACGGAGGGCCCCCGTTTACAACAGAATATGATGCCAAACGTTCAACAAGATCCGACTTCTCCTCTAGTAGTGTCACCTGGTAATAATAATAATAATAATAATAGTCGACATGTGCATTGGCGAGAAGATAATCGAAATGCTTTCCCAGGTGTTGCTGTTGTTGCTGAAAGAGCAAGGCAAAGACGTTTAAGCCAAACTTCTACTACTTCTTCACATTAATTTATATAGATATCTATTGATTTATTTATTTATTTTTATTGAAATAAAAGAAAAGAAAAATACTGTACTACTAAAATAAGTTGCATATTTGTATTGTAGTAATAGGTAGTAATAGTAGTAGTAGTAGTGGTGGTGGTGGTGGTGGTGGTGGCTTGAACAATATTCTAATTTAATCTCAGCCAAGCCGGGCCATTTTGACCACTGTAATGTGGCTCTCTTTGGGATACGATTAACAAAATCAGTCGCTCCCCCCACCCATCGTTATAACCTTCTCTCATCACCACATTGTAAGTAAGAATATATATAACATGGATAAAGAATAGGGATGGATGGATGAGTGTAAAATAGAAAGATGATGAAGTATCAAAATTGGATAGAATACAGAAAAAAAAGAGAGAGAGAGAGGGAGAAAGAAAAAGAGAAAGAGAAAGAGAGAGTGTGAAAATGACATTACAAAAATGAGAACATTCCGAATTAAACATTTCTTAATTTTATTTAGAAAGGAATATGCTTGTCTCTAAGCAGAACAGAAAGGTCATTTACGAGGCTATTTTCAAGGGTAAAAGAGAAAAAGGATTGAAAAAAAAAAAACTTCAAATACAATAAATTTTGACATGTTGTTAATTTTGTTAGATGGTGCCCTTGTTGCCCCTAAGGATTTCAACCTTCCCAAGCACCCTGATCTCGAAGTTCCTAACCTTGAAGTCATCAAGATTATGCAATCTTTGACTTCTAAGGGCTTCGTCAAGACCCAATTCTCCTGGCAATGGTTTTACTATACTCTCACTGATGAGGGTATTGATTATCTCCGTGAATGTATGTAAACAAAGTGAAGCTTCTATAAATGTATTATTCACACTTTTTTCTTTTCTTGGTTAGATCTTCACTTGCCTCAAGAAATTGTTCCTGCTACCTTGAAGAAGACCGTTCGTCCTGCTGCCCCTCGTCGTAACTGTAAGTATTTATAAATGTATATGTATATCAATGATTTATAAAATTAAACCATTTTATCTTTAGTCGGTGGTGACCGTGAAAACCGTGGTCCTCGTAATGATCGTGGTGACTACAGACGTAAGGAAGGTGCTAGCGGTGACTTCAAGCCTGAGTTCCGTGGTGGTCTCGGTAAGTTATTTTTTTTTTTTGCAATAGTATCGATGTGTAGGGAACTTTTCTTTTTAACTGATTTATTTTATAGGTCGTGGTAACCGTGAATAAATATTTTGATATTCTTTTATCTCGCCCTCTCTTCCCCTCTTTTTTTTTAATTACACATTTGCACTTATAAATGTATTTTATTATAAAAATATATACATTATTTCCAGAAAATTGTGGGACAGAGTAAAATCAAAGAATCAGACAAAAAAAAAAGTCATTTATAAGCTTGAAGTACATTCAGTAGCAGATGTATGAAAATATCAAGAAATTATATACGCTTATTTTTCCTTGAGTACATCTAGTATTAAACTTTGACAAAGATACATTATTTAATATGGAAGACATGTTTTATTGATATTAATATGAGTTAGAAGAAGTAGATTGTCTTTTTTTTGTTTTATTCTGTTCTTTAAAGCAGCTTATTGATTAAAAGTGTCATTATTTTAACAAGAAAAAAAAACGCGTCTAAAAGCTCTTTTCTAGGCGTACCTGATATTTGTTATCATTAACAGTGTACTATTATTAAACAGCTACATACATACATACATACATACTTATTGCAATAGTCATTGTTTAACACATTAGATGGCTCACAAAACATAATCTGTTCTTTATTGGAGAACACATATACAAAATACCCCTTTAGTATATAAGTAATACTTTTGATATACAAAGTTTATAAGACGCCACTGTACTGCAAATAATTTGCGTATCCATATCTTGCAGCCACATATAAAAGTCGGCTAAGAGCAAAAGTCAATCGAAAGGGAACAAAACAAAAAGAGGATCACTTATTTTATCACAACTTGAAAGGCATCAATTGTATATACGGGATACTTCTTTATACAACTACAACATTACTTTGCAAAAAAAAAAAAAAAAAAAAAAAAAAAAAAAAAAAAAAAAAAAAAAAAAAAAAAGACCTGTTTATAATTTGATGATCACATTAAATGTAGTGAAATACTGCATATTTAGTTATTCTTTCTTGTATAACTAACGAATTCATTTTGTATATAGCTTGTTTCCTATTGAACCGCTTTCATATACTCCCTTGTTTATATCAGCTTTTACCTTATTTATTTCCTGATATGAATAAATAAATAATTTTTTTTTTTGTTCCGTGTTTTAAATTACTCACTAAATGACGATGAGTGGAAATAGATAACATTAGGATGAGGACGAATAAAATGTTCGACCCGGATCTTTTAATCTCCGCATAATGTCTTTTTGTGTATCAAAAGTAAATGGATCTAATGATTACAAGTTCTTCTCCTCAACACTAAAGGTAAAAAAAGAATCATAGTAACATCCAGCTAATTATAGCATAACAGATACACAGTAAAGAAAGAATCATTATTAGATTTAAGTTTATAATACGATGGATGATTCAATTCAGCTTAAGGATTTTGTTTTGTCTTTTTTTTTTTAATTGGAAGAAAAAAAAAAAAAGAACTGGAAATGTGAAAAATACAATAGGATTGCATTATACATTTGGAACCATCAACAACTTCATTTCGATCAATTATATATATAATCTTCAACAATGATGATGATGATGAATTGAATGTGTCGTTATGTTATATATTAGCTGGCTGTTTCTTTTTACTTAATTTAGAGTTTATTAACCGGTATTATGTTTAGACTTTTTAAGATGGGTCGTCGTCCTGCTCGTTGTTACCGTTACTGTAAAAACAAGCCCTATCCTAAATCCAGATACTGTCGTGGTGTCCCTGATGCCAAGCTCAGAATCTACGATTTAGGTCGTAAGAAGGCATCTGTTGACGATTTCCCTCTCTGTGTTCACTTGGTCTCCAACGAATACGAACAACTTTCTGCCGAAGCTCTTGAAGCAGGTCGTATCTGTGCTAACAAATACATTGCCAAGACTGCTGGTAAGGATTCTTTCCACATGCGTATCCGTGTTCACCCTTACCACGTTACTCGTATCAACAAGATGTTGTCTTGTGCTGGTGCCGATAGATTGCAAACTGGTATGCGTGGTGCCTTCGGTAAGCCCAACGGTCTCGTTGCTCGTGTCAACATTGGTCAAATCATCTTCTCTGTTCGTACCAAGGATTCTAACAAGGCTGTTGTCATTGAAGCTTTGAGACGTTGCAAGTACAAGTTCCCTGGTCAACAAAAGATCATTGTCTCCAAGAAGTGGGGTTTCACTCCTCTCTCTCGTGAAGAATATGTTGAAGCTCGTGCTGCCGGTAAGCTTAGACCTGATGGCTGTTACGTCAAGTTCGTCCCTCAAAAGGGTCGTCTTGCTGATTACTTCAAGGAAGCTTCCAGAGTTTAAAATAATAAATATTTAAACCGTAACAAGCAAGAAAAAAAAAATAAAAAATAAAATAATTATTTTTTGTATTGGTCGATTTGAACATACCTCCTTAAACATTATATACATATAAATATATATCTTAAAAATGTGTTATGTAAAGATGGCTTTTTTTTTTTTTATTTTATTTATTTTATTTTTTTCGTCATATACATATTCATATTCATATACATTTATACATGTATATATTGATGACAAGAATGAGTTCGATTCTGGTATTTATTAATGTCTTGCGTTATTTAATATTATCTTTGTCATTGATGGGCGTTAGTTTCCATTTTGGTCAGTGTAAATTGCTCTCCATATATCAAGATAGGGTAAGTAAAATAAAATTAAAAATGTGAGTAAGAAATGATGATAGTTATATTCAATTAGACAGGCATACAAGGATGGTTTACAGCAGGACATTGGCAGGTAAATACATATATCATTTATTACATAAATATGTATGCATATATATATATATATATATATACATATATACTTATAATATGACACACATACTGCAGTATCTATTATGGTATGTTGTATTTAGTCTCTCTACTTTTAGTGCACTTGCAATCTGTATTCATGCTACCTGTTGCAAACGAGCACATATCTTACGAGGCGATAAATATCTTGGTCATATCAACATTTTGATGTTGATGGCCATTATCATCATTCATACATTTTTCTCTGGTGGACAAGAACCGTGGACAGACGGTCTTGTCGAATTTAAAAAACCTGCTATGGGTCTTAACCTACATTGTCCTATGTTGAATGAAAAAAATGATATTACATATCCACTTTTATTTCAAAGGTACAAAATAAATAAATAAAATTCTTTTTTTTTTCATACTATTTCTATACATAAATAGATGTCTTTTGATAGATGCTACTTATGTTGTATCTGCACTGTTATGTGTTTCATGGATTGCTTTAGTTACTTGTACATTTTTAACAAGACCGCTACAAAGGGTATCTTCTATTACTAAACTTCCAAATGAGAAAATAGTAAATAGAAATAAAGAGCAAGTAGATCCAACATTATTTCTTTACAATGAACCACCACCCGTTCCTCCTCATAAAGATGGCTATCCTATGGCAAATCATTCTGATTTTTACTATTGGCAGCAACAACCTACTACTCCGTACCAGCAGTCACTATCTAGGCATTATGTTCCAGATAACTATATATTACCACAACAATATGACAATTATTCGTATCACTATTAACGTAATAATAATAATAAATGCTTAGAAAAAAAAATCATTTTTATTATTCTTTAATGATTGTTCCTTTTTCATCCGTGACTGTTAGCGCCGCATAATAATTTAAAAAAAAAAAAAAAAAAAAAAAAAAAAAACACAATAACGACAGTTGTTTTTCTTGTCTTTTTTTTTTTTCCTTCCATATTTAGCCCATGTCGTTAAGACATATTTTAACAAAAAAAGTCGTCGATGATGACTGTTCTGAAGAAGTTTTAGAGTCATTAATACAAGAAATACTTCAAGTAAGACTTTTTATTGTCTAAATACTAATATTCATTTATATTTATTTATTTATTTTTTTTATGTATTTATTTTATTTATTTATTTATTTTTTCATTAGAAAAACTTTGAACTTTCCAATGAATTAGAAAAGGCACTTTCGAAAATCAATCACCTAAGAAAACAGCGCAGGTAAAGTGCTCTTTTATTACTCAAGTATGACTTTTATTTATAATAGGATTTTTATGATTTAGCTTCTAATGAACTCCAAATCGTTTATATAGTGTGCTATTAGATATGATCGCCAAATCAAATAAAACGAACGATGATGATGATGATGACGACGACGACGACGACGATGATGACGAACTTTATAGCGATCTATCAGCTGGAGATATAGATTCAGGTTTGTCAAGTAGTAGCAGTAGTAGTAGTAGTAGTAGCGATAGTAGTAGTGAGGATGAAATGTCAAAAAAGGAGGATATGAAACGAAATATAGAACCATTCAATGTATTGAAACGAAAAAAACTTGCTATAACACAACCTGCTAAACGACAACGAGGGTCCAAACCAATATTTGTTCCAAAAGATAGTAATGGAAACTATATTCTTCCTGTTGTTTTGGGTAAAACAAAGGTTTTATCGCTAGGTGAGATTATCCCTAAAGAAGGATTTTATAACCAAAACTATATATTTCCTGTCGGTTATGCTATAGAAAGGTAATAGATAGAATATTCAAATTTTAAATATGTGTATCTCTATTTATATTAATTTGGTCCACTTTTTTTTTGGTATTTAAAAGACCTTATAAAAGTATGGTAGATGAAGACAAATTTACTACGTATAAATGTTCTATTAGCAAAGACGAAAATGAAAAACCATTGGTAAATACAAGAGTCATTAACTATCTACATAGTCTTACATTTTATATCTACATGTATAGTTTTGTATAGAAGCAGAAGATGCCCCCGAAATAGAAATCAAAAAAAATACACCTACAGCAGCTTGGTCAGAAGTTTTAAGAAGATCAAATTTATTAAGAAAAAAGGAATTTAAAAATACAGTGTCAGGACCTGAATATTATGGATTATCTTCTACAACGATAAGAAAGATGATTCAAGACTTACCAGGTGCTAAAGAGTGTATAGGATATCAATGGATAGACATTTAATATTTATTATTATTATTATTATTTATAAAGAAAGAAGGAACAAAAAGTTATTCATTAAGGATACTCATAAAAAAAAATTAATTATTATTATATATGAATGTATATATTTAATAATGGGTAGCAATAGGCTTCTTGCTCGTATGAGACATGTCTGCTGAATTGATACTGACATCATCATCCAGTATATCAGGTACTGGTATGTCAAATTTCATTGATTTTTCACCATCAAATGTCATATTTGCAGTGGTATGATCGTCATGATGAGCTCTTGTTCGATTATGACCCGAACTAGAAGTACCACTTGTAGTTACCCAATGTACAGTGACTACATTAACCTATATATAAAGTATGAATATTATATATATTCAAGCGTGTATAAGCTATATACGTACAGTTACATCTACAGTACACATAGTTAAGCAAACGAGCCCCCTTTGATGTCCATGAGTAATAACCACAAATAATACATTGACAAATGAAACTGATAAACATACAACAGAAGCCACTAAAGTTCTTCTTGCCAATTTGTATAACCGAGATACTTTCCAATCACTACGTGCATTACGACCAATGTTCGTAAGGGGCCTCATAAAGAGCCAAGTAAGATAAAGATTAAAAATCTATGTGTGTGTGTGTGTGTGTGTGTGTAGATGTGAGCAAAATTATATAGATATATATGCATTTGTATACTTACAAAGTCATAAACTAAGAGTGGAACACTAGCAATATCTTGTAAACCAATAGTACAAGTACCATCTGCCTCAAGATAAATATTTCTAAAGCACAGCTAATAAAGTAGATAATTAATATGTGTCGTTATATATATACATATATGAATACATGTATATCACTGGCAATTTACTATATATATATATATACATACCATTAGTACGAAAATGATGATATATGGACAAAGCAATACAATATGGAATTTATATTGTGTTGTTTTAAGTCGAGTTGTCTTTACGGCCGTTACTAAATGTACGCGTTCAATTAACCAAGCATAAATTGCAATCTTACTACCAGCATAGAAGAAATCGCAGGCAAGCATACCAAGTGTACACGAGACGATATTGTCTAAGGTAATAATAATAATAATAATAACGTGATATTAGATTATAGTTCATTATGTATTATATACAAAACTTACTGTTATTAGTTGAAACAATAATGGCAGAGGTGGCAGCAAATGCCCAAGAAAGTGTATAAAGCATAATAACTAAAAATCGACCATAGTTTATTGTTCTTAATTTTTCACCATTAGTCTTTGCACCTAATGCAAGTGCAAGAACAGTAATACAAGCTAAAGAGGTTAACTCAGAAGCGATTTCTGGTCCATCTGGATTTACCAGACCTAAATCTATCACTACTTTTGCTTCAATACTATTATTCATAAAGTAAAAGAATAATTCTTTTTTTTTCTGTTAAAAATAAATAAAAAGAAAGAAGAAAAGGAGTGTATTCATATAGAAGCATGACTGGATTTGTTTTTATATATACATTTATACGATAAAAATAAAGGAGAGGAAAAGCATTATAAACCATTTGTAAATAAAGCTGTCAAGTAGATCGATGTCAGTATAGTAGATCTGCATAAACATGTATCTATTATGACACAACAATAAGTCTGTAGTCTATACAATGAATCAAACCTGTTTAGAGGCTATACACAACATAATGAAAAAAAAAATATGAATTGCACAAGGAACTATAATAATACAGTTTTTAGCAGGAGAAAAAATCTATAAAGCAAGTTAGCGCCACTTTTTATCAACAAAAGGAGGGCTCTATTATTATAGGAGAGAATATAACTTTTTCTAAAATACGCCTATCTTATCTTATTGACTACTCCTATTCATTTCTCCTTTTTTTTTTGGGTTTCGACGAATGACGTGCTTTTATTTTATTTTATTTTATTTTATTTTATTTTATTTTATTTTATTTTATATTATTTTTTTTTTTTTTTTTTTTTTTTTCAATAATCCTTTGAACTCCTCCTAACAATTAACCTTTTTTTTTTCTCTTATTTTTCCTTTTTTTTTCCCTCTTACTCCTAAGTTACTATGCAAGCTGCTCAAACAGAGTTGGAATTTATCAATCTTTATTTAGAAAGTCTTTCTTCTAAATCTGTCAGATTTGGTGATGATTATTTATCGCGTAATCTACCTTCTCCTTTAAGAATTAAGGTACAGTTTAAAAAAGAAAATAAAAACTAAAATGAATATAAATCACTCATCATCCAAGAATAGAGAGTTCCCAGCACTCCAATTATTGAAGAAAATGGTAAAAAAAATAAAATAAAAGTCATTTCGATATTTAAACGTTTTTTTTTTATTAACTTATTGAATTAGCTTCTCAACAAGCCAATAACAATTTAACACGTTCAAATGATTCCAAGTTCCAAGTCACCATTAAAGTCTTGAAACCTTCATTACAATTTACTATTGGTGGATTATCACCAAACACGACTATAAATCAATTAAAACAACGCATCTATCAACAACAAAGTTCTTTGCCTATAGCACGCCAGCGTCTTTTAATAAAGGGTAAAGTTTTAGCTGACCAAAAGTCACTTGAAGAATTGGCTGTTAAGCAGGATACAACCATTCATCTCATGTTAACGGCCGCTCCTGCTCCTACTACAGCTCCCTCTGTCACAGGCCGTTTCGGTGGTATATCTGCAGAGGCTGAAGAGAAATTGAAGAGTCCAGAATTTTGGACGGCTATGGAAAAGACATTGGTTGAGCAATTAGGTCAAGTAGATGCAACATTGATATTGAGTAAAGTTAAATCTACTTTGTCTGCATAAATAAAAGAAAAGAAAAGAAAAGAAAAAGAAAAGTATTTGTATTTGATATTTCCGAAACTTTCATTTATTTATTTGTTTCTACTGTAAAACGAATAATACCTCTTGATTAACTTAGTGGCATATATGTATGTATATTTCCTGTTTTAGAATGTGCCAATAGAAGTAGCACTCTCTATTCAACGTCAAGAGGTGCTTAAATTAGCCGTAAATGACAGATTATTTACCATTATCCTTATCGAATTGAGCAGATATGTAATGAATAGGATTACATAATAGTAATATGTTTTAGTAAAACAGCAGTAGTGATAAAAGCTCATTTTACTATAAAAAAGTATTTTTTAGAAGCCTATTACTATAACCGTCTCTTTCACTCACCCTCCCCTCTCCTTTTTTATATATGTATGTATATAAATATATACGTATTATTCCCTGCAAACATTCTCCTAATAAATAAAAGGCTTATTTATCATGAAAATAGGGTCTATCCTACTTTGAACAATAGTTGGTTAATAAAACTTTATACCTTGTACATCCTTCTTGATCTCTTTACTTTGACCTTTCTGCAACAAATGGGCTATCTATAGAACTTTATGATAAGATATGGATTGATTGATTGATTGCTTATCAATATTTAAACCCTTTTTTCTTTCTCATTAAGATCATGGATATATTAGCTTGTCGTTAAACAAGTTCAATTATTAGTATAAACTATACTATGAATATTCTTTATACACTTTTTTTTCTCTCTTTTCTTTTCTAGCTCTTATCTCTTGGAATATATTATTATATATGCTAATACTTTGCTTTATATATATAAAATAGAGAATATGCTTAAACAATGATCGAGAGGGGAAGGAGGACTTAAATAAAGGAAGACATATCACTCATGTTAAAATGCTATTCTTATAATCTCCTATTAGCCTTGTATACAAATGAAATCTAAAATATCCCCATCTCTTGGAATCCCTTACCTGTCCTCGAGTTATTTACAAAAAGAAAAAAAAAATCAGAGTAGTAGGTTTAGGACCTTTATTTATCTTTATTTATAACATTGCTTAAAATTCGTAAGATTCACTTTTTTCATTCTTTTCAATTATTATTATGAAAACTAGTCTTAGTTGTTAATCTACTTTACTCCTGATAAAAATAAAATGATTATCTATTAACAATCGATTTTTAGAACAGAAAATGATATGTAAAGCATTAATATCTTCAAGTGCATACCTGTTCTTTTATTTGTATAAAATTTACTAAGAAATTAAAAAGTAAATTGTTTAAAAAATATGTAAAGAATCAGGTTAAAAGCTATAGTCAATTGAGTAGAATAAAAAATAGATCAATGTAAACTTTAGATAAAAAAAAAAAGACTTTATTTAGATTTTTTAATTTAAAAAAGCTTGTAAGACAATCTATTTTGTGTAAGACAGCGCCACAAGTCACTTACAGTCACAAAACAAAGGAAGAAAAAAAAAAAAATTTTGAGTATAAAATGCTTTTCTCTTTTGGCCCCTTTTTCCAATTCTTTTTTCGGTGGTTGTATATCACCCTTCTTCTCTATTTACCTCAATAAAAAAAGTATTGTTTTTTATTTAACCTTATTTCTATTCTTTTTTTTTTCTATTTTTTTTAAAAAAAAAACAAAAGAACATAATAAAAAATGTCTGTTGAACAAATGAATGAAGCCTTTGATACCATCCTTATTTTGGATTTTGGTTCACAAACTTCTCACTTAATTGCTCGTCGTATTCGTGAGTTTGGTATCTATTGTGAACTTTTACCTTGTACACAAAAGATGTCCGAGTTACATTTTAAGCCAAAGGGTATCATCTTGTCTGGATCTCCCTATTCTGTTTACGATCATGATGCTCCTCGTGTAGATCCTGCTGTCTTTGACGCTGGTGTCCCAGTCCTCGGTATCTGTTATGGTCTTCAAGAAATGACCAATCTTATGGGTGGTAAAGTTGAAGCCTGTGATCACCGTGAATATGGTTATGCTATGTTGGATATTCTTCGTTTCCCTGATCATCCTTTTGCTGACAAACTCTTGGAAGGTATTGTCAACCCATCTCAGGTAAATGAATAAATATAAATATAAATATGTATATATATAAATTAAAACCGTCGGTTTATGGGTGTAGGTTTGGATGTCTCATGGTGATCAAGTCACAGCCATGGCTGAGAATTTCAAAGTCATCGGTACAACCAAGACAGCTCCTTTCGCTGCTGTTGTTCACGAACATAAACCTTTTTACGGTATTCAATTCCATCCTGAACTCTCTCACACCGCTTGTGGCAAGGATATTCTTCGTAACTTTGTTCTCAACATCTGTCAAGCTAATGCCTCTTGGACTATGGAAGAATTTGTAGAAAAGGAGATTGCTCGTATTCGTAAGATTGTTGGCCCTACAGGTCGTGTGATTGGTGCTGTCTCTGGTGGCGTTGATTCCACTGTTGCTGCTAAATTAATGCATGAAGCCATCGGCGATCGTTTCCATGCTATCCTTGTCGATAATGGTGTGATGCGTCTTAATGAATGTGAAAACGTCAAGAAGATGTTGGCTGATAAGATGGGTATCAATCTCAAGATTGCTGATGCCTCTGATCTCTTTTTGGATCGTCTTAAGGGTGTCACAGACCCTGAAAAGAAACGTAAAATTATTGGTAACACCTTTATTGAAGTCTTTGAAGCTGAAGCTGCTTTAGTCGATAAGGAATGCGGTGGTACTATTGAATATTTATTGCAAGGTACCTTATATCCTGATGTCATTGAATCCATCTCCTTCAAGGGTCCCTCTGCTACTATCAAGACACATCACAATGTCGGTGGTCTGTTGGAGGACATGAAACTCAAGTTGATTGAACCTCTTCGTGAGCTCTTTAAGGATGAAGTACGTGCGTTGGGTAAGATTTTAGGTTTGGATGATGAATTAGTCTGGCGTCATCCTTTCCCTGGACCTGGTATTGCTATTCGTGTTCTTGGTGAAGTCACTCGTGAACAAGTTCAAATTGCTCGTATGGCTGATCATATCTATATCGAAGAAATCAAGAAGGCTGGTTTCTATCGTCAAATCTCTCAAGCTTATGCTGCCCTTTTACCTGTAAAAGCCGTCGGTGTTATGGGCGATAAGCGTACCTATGAACAAGTGATCGCTTTAAGAGCTGTTGAGACCTCTGACTTTATGTCTGCTGATGTTATGATTGGTGCTGAATGGTTCTTGACCTTGAAGCGTATTTCTTCCAGAATTATTAATGAAGTGAAGGGTGTTAACCGTGTTGTATATGATATTAGTTCTAAGCCTCCCGCTACCATTGAATGGGAATAAATAATGTTACTAAATTTTAGATAGATTTATTGTTGTTGTTCTTATTATTATTCTTATTATTATTTTTATTATTATTATATAAAACGTCAATAAAAACGATTTTTTTTTTATTATTATTTTATATTCATAATAATTGCTCAATTTTTTTGTTTGTTTCGTATAATTTAACATACATTTTTCTTAAATCCTTAAGAGCTGCTCGTTGAGCAGTTTGAATGTTTTCCTTCATACGTCCCTTGACAATCGGATTGACTTTCATTTTTTGTAATTTTTCAAATCCCAACTTTGCTCTCTCACGAACATTATTTTCAGCTGAAGCTCTTAAACGATCTACCTCTGTTTTCAAAGCCTGAACAAAGAATTCAACATTGTCATCCTTAGTAAGAAACTGCAATCGTTCCCAGATAAGATCAAGTTGCTTATTGAGTTGCTCCTTTTCCAGACTTGCTAAATCCATGATGGATTGAATTTCAAACGCAATAAGGTCGGCTGCATCTGTACTGATGGGATCTGTCGTGGATGGACGCTTTGGTGTCTCTAACGTGATGCCTTTGATCATCTGTTTTGCCTTTTCTCTTGCCTGTTCCCGTTTTAACCCCGTTTTAATGGAATCTTGATTCATTTGATCAATATAATCTAAAATACGTTTGGCTGTTTTTCTTAAACGATCTTCGACTGTTTGATCCTGACTCATGTCGTCTATTCTTAAAGCACGTTTGCTTGATCCACTTTCAACATATTGATCGAAATCATGACGCCATTGCCTCAACTGAATACTGATAAAGGCTTTGATTTTATACCAATAAGGTACAATATGATTTGTATACGTGTTTCTTGCAGCTTGAATGATGTAAACTTGGTTATCTGATGTATAAATAAACGATCGCACCCAGGTTTGTATTTCTTGCATAGCGGTTCTAACACTTGTCGTATCAAGCCAATGATAAACAGATTGAATTTGATTAACGGAATGTTGATAAAGAGGATCATTTAACCATCCTTCTGTTCTTTCTTTTGAGTGTGAAATCCATGATTGTGTTAATTGATTTAGATCGTTGTATGTTTGATAAATATGTTTACATGTACTCGTTTCCTTTTCCCTGTAGCAATACCAGAATGAAAAGATAAAAGACCCACACAATATAAATAAGAACAATTTAATGATGGCTCGTTTCAGAAGCGATGAATTATTCTATACTCAAAATGATAATCTTAGAGTGATGTAGTAAGTATGTAATATCTTAAATAATCATACCTTCTAAAAAAAAAAAAAAAAAAATAAAATAAAATAATTATCAACTTTTTTTTTCTTTGGTATAGAAAAATAAAATAAATCTACTTGTTTGTGCTTACTTTATGAATAGGTTTCGATTGATTATTTAATGTAGTTTGAATGGATGTCTTTGAGACAGCTAATATAAAATTAATAAAGCTGTAGTCTTATCTTTTCATTTCAATAACTACCTTCAAATAATCTTTCATCATTATTATTTAAATGACTTTTTGACATGGATAATTTAACGGGAGATATGTGTGAAGATTTAGCTCGAATTGTTTCCCATTGAGACATTCTTATCTATTATACGTAGTAGTAGTAGTAGTAGTGGTAGAATTAAAAAGGGCATTGATAATCTTTATTAATTAGAAAGTCCGTGAAAAAAAAATTATTTACAGTTAAAGAAACTAGGTTGGGCCAATAAGAAAAAATTTGGTTGTTTCAAAATTAGATTAGGACATCAATGCAAAAATGGAACACCAATATGAAAGTGGGATATATTGAAACACGTTTAGTTTTTGGGCGAATGTATAAACAAGAAGCTATAATCTTGTTCCATTTAACAAGAAAGGCCACTAATAGACTATCAGACTACTATGATGATCATCCAGATTAGGATATGATTCACCTAACTTAAATGATCCCAGAACGAACAATCATCCCAGATTCGAATTACTTAGGACAATAAGGAGCATTTCTGTGAGTTTGATAGAGTGAGTGAACTATTGTTTTTGAAATAATAAAGCCAAATAAAGTGATTAGGATACGTAGAATGTAGGGTTTTTATTATTCGTAAGAAAGACCTAGAGCCACCAAGTCTTGGTTACAATCATTATTTATGCTCTGTAATATTGGGCTCCGTATGTAGTGCAGGTACCAATGTGGATCAGGAAACCGACAATTTCATATGATTATATTCATACAAGTAACAAATAACGATAAATGTATGTAAAAGGAGATCATCTTGGATCAATAAAGTTCTTCAGTCAGTTTACATTGAATAAACACCCACACAAGCATCTAGATTAACCCACTGTTTTTGTTTTTTTATATCTTTTTATCTACCGATTCTACAGAATGAAAACTTAAATGACACTCCCTTTCTCCTATTTTAGTCATTCATGTTGATACCCATCAATTATTGGTTGAGGCTGTACCAAAACTGACTCACAAAAAAAACTATACGACTTTGCTGCTTTAATTGTTGGTCAAGGAAAGAATGCCGATACCGAGATCACTGAAGCTTTCTTACAATTTGGCAATGATATGGGAGAAGATTTTAATAGGCAACAACAGTTCCCCCAACATTCAGTATAGCACACTAATCTTAATAGTCATGCGTAGCTTTAAGACACTTATAGAGAATCATGTTGGAACTAACTTCAAGCCAAAAACGTTGCGCTATCTCTTTACGAGGCTTTCTGACACAACTGAATTTCCAGGCCTCCCTTTCTGAGCTGATGTCAAACACGACCTAGCTGAGCAGGTATATAATGCTATTTGTACCAATCAAGAAGTAATTTATCCTGCTAATCTGGAAGTTGCCGACACTCACAAAACCTCAATCAACAACAATCTTATTAATGAATGCCGCCAAAGATTATATGGCTTGAACCTGACTGAAGCAGATTACTATGCTAGATCTCACTTGTATTTGCCATAGCTATACCATGTTTTAGAAAGAATGGAGTAGCAAGTCATCATTCGTGAGCCAATGTTGTCGCACACCGTCTGATTTCTAATACACCATCAACAAGGACATGTAACTGGGAAGCTCTGCGTTATATATTTCGGAACTTTGAGGCAATTAAAGACTATTACACAACCGGGTTGAAAAAGCTCAAATATCACGGCTATAGAAGAAACAAGCAAAAAGCATTGACCCGAAATGTGTAAACGGTTGTTTACAGGTAGCAGAAAATACCAAGAAGGCAATTCTGATATACAGCAAGCAAATCAGCAAAAGTGGAAACCGTTAGCCCCTAGAGGCAATGCCGGTGAAGCTGAAAGGCATACTAGTAGTGGCGTTTGGTTCTGCTCGGTTCGGTGGGCTTCGTAGAAATGTACCTTCTCCAACAAAGGCATTCAGAAAAGCCTTGCTAAATTATGTCAAATCAACCAGATGCAACCAGCCAAATTCAAGAAAGTACGTCGTTATGATTGATGAGTATTTCACAAGTCAAGTATGTCCCAGATGTCATACAAGAAGTACTTTCAACCAACGTGATAACTCCAATATGATGATCCATCCAGTTCTCAACTGTCAAACTTGTAATACTCGATGGAACACAGATCACATGGTGAGCCTCAACATGCGCTCTATTTCTTTGTATATGGCTGCCAACAACAACAATCGACCTGAAGAGTTTCGGCGGGGGTAAGCTATCTTGATATTAATATAGATATCATTACTTCATATACTAACAACAATATTATTATTTGTGGAAAAATAGCCTTAACAATTGAATAACATTATGTTTTGTATAACAGCAAGACACCCCATATTTACAGGTAAGTTGACCTATTGAAAAAAAGTTTTCATTCGCCCAAAAATTAAAAGTATCTCAACATGCTACATTTCCGTATCGCTGTCCTACTTTCGTGTCTCTATCCCAATTCAATTTTGAAACGACCCAATTTTTTCTCATTGGCCCAACCTAGTTTCTTCGACTGTAGAAGAGGATACATAATGGCTTCGTGCACCACATCTGAAGTCATTTTTTTATGCAAAATAGATTTTTAGCTATATATCAAATACTAGATGATTTTGATAAAAAAAAAACTTTATAATAAAGAAAAGAGAGATCTAAGAAAAAAAAGAAGCAGTTTACAATACAACGTTGTCTTCCCTCCCTCATTCTTGATAATTCCTGAAAAAAAAAAGGGTATACCTTTTGTGCGGAAATAAAGTATAAATTTAGTCTTATAAAACTCTAAAATGCTACAAAACAATTTCAGGTTTTATACTTACTAAATATTTATCAAAATAAATAAATAAGCTGTGTATTTATTTTATTCTTATTTAACATTCTTTTTATTATTATTGTTATTATTATTATTATTCTTTTTTTTTTTTTTTTTTTTGAAATAAATAAATAAATAAATAAATAAATAAATAAATAAATAAATAAAATAAAATAAAATAAAATATGTCTACTACCTTTTTATTATCTTCATTGTCTATTGAGAATGAAAAGCCTTATCGAGTAGAGATTATTCCTGAAGAAAAACAATCTATTACCAAACATCCTTCTGTTACTCAACAAGTTGTTGCTACCACTGCTATTACTGCTACTGCTATTACTGCTACTGCTGTTACTGCTGCTGCTGTTACTGCCACTGAATTCACCAATTGTTGTGATAAACAATGCAATACTCTAGCAAGAGAATATTTGAATTACATTCGTTCAACAACTACTTATCAAAAGCAAATTATGATGGCTTGTAATACCCGTTTGTTATCCACTGTTCAAGGCTCGATTGAACTTATTCAAGCTCATAGGTTAAGACAGACATCATGGCTTCCACATTTACTCAAGGAGTTATGCCAATTGGGCAAATTGATTAAAGATGCAAGTGTAGAGGTAGATAGAGTGATCCCTTTCTCTTCTCTCTATAGTATAGAAGAACGTATAGCATCATCATCATCATCGTCATCATCATGTCCCTCCATCTATGAGGCTTATGGTCGTGCCATTCGAATATCTATTTATTATGGTCGAGCTGTTCTTTACTATAACGATGACAAATTTATTTATTATTGTCATAAATGTATATCTGTACATCCACCACCTACTCATATCGATACATCCACTCAGAGACTTCAACAGATGGCCCTCAAGTATTTAACAACAACTCATAAACGTCCTAAACTACCTTCTCGAACATCTTCCTTTTCTTCATTCATGTCCTTGTCTACCACTTGTTCTAACTGTGGTGTTGAAAAGAAAGGTATGCCAGTCTGCTCCAAATGTAAAGTACAATCTTATTGTAGTCTTCAATGTCTTAAAGCACATAAACCCATACATACTCTAGAATGTCTCAAATAATAATAATAATAATAATAATATAATAAAAAAAAAAAAGAGAGAGATAATAATAAATAAATAAAGACTTATTCTTTATTTTTTCCTCGTAAAAAGGTTTCACTTATTTTTTTAAGTCTAAGAAGTATTGGATTTGGACGGCTTGCTTTTGCTAGACGAACACCTGCTTGAGTTTTACGCATTGCTCTAAATCTGTTTCTTTTCCCCTCATCATCGTTTTCACATATTTCTCTAAGACAGATACGAAGATTCCAATCATAAGGTAGCTTGAAATTAAAAGAACCTTGTGCAGGTTTACCATTTATATGGGAGTCTGCGAGTAATTCGTACATGGTTATTTCTTTATAAGGCTCATACATACGATTTTCTTCTCCCATTTGAAAGAACTCGTCTGTCGAATCTTCTTCTTTATTCTGTGAATCGGGGACTGCTTCTACATAGATATATGTCATAGATTCTGTTTCATTTTTATTTTGTCGAGTATCAAACGAGATTCTTAATGTTTGTTTAGGATATTTCTCTGTTGCTTTGTTCAGAACAAATTCAAACATGTTTAAAGAGTTACGAAATACCTGATTTCCTATTTTAGAAGATCCAAACAATCGTGTATCCATTTCTTCTCTAGAAATATATTGAAATCCAAATATTTTTTGTGTGTTATGATATGCCACTAAGATACCATCCATATGCCCAATTCTAACCTGAAAGCTATAGACATCATGTTTTTGTTTTAGAGAGAGATAGAGAAAAGTTAAAATAGATTATATAGTATATTTACTTGTATTTTAAAAAAGCAGATCTTGTCATATCGTAATATTCCCGTTCAAATGATTCATAAAGCCCATGAGATCGTCTTAAAGTATATCCTGCATAATCCTATACATAATATAGTTAGTTAAAGGGCACCCTTTTCTATCTAATGTATGCAATGCATATAATTATATTGATATATATCTATATCTTACAGTATAATTTTGGACATCTAATCGAATAGGTATTGCAGCTCTTGTCTTTAAATCAAAGGTGGATCTAGGTAAACGAGAATCATGACAATCCAATTGTGATCTCAATAATAGACCGCCAAACTTTTTTTTTGGCATATTATCAGTAAGCTTTACATGTATGTATATATAAATACATATTGCTTCTATTCTTACCTCTCCATAAGCATATGATTCAGGTTTATTTCTCTCTTCTTCAGTAATTTTCGATGAAGCATCTTTAAGATATCGTTCATATTCATTCGGTTCGAGTGTTAATGCCTTTTCTAATGATTTACCCTATTATAGATATATTATTTAGTATTATATCGTATATTATTATATGACATACCATCAAGGATAATACTGTTTCTTCCAAGTCATATGCTTTATCTAAATCTATTCCATACACACCATCATTCCATCTCAAATAAATAGACACAGGCATCCTTATACCCCTTGTAAATTTTTTTGGCTTTTAATTTTTTTTTTTGCAATCTTTTGTTAGCATATAAATAATATGTATAATAAATAAACTACTTGATAATTTTACCTCTCTTCTAAAAGCATTGGAGAAACATGATGCATTTATTTGTTTAAAGTTGCACATTAAAAAATAAAACTGAGACAAAATGGCTGATACTGAAGATGTTGAGCCTACATAAGATTTATTCAATGATTTTGCTAACTCTATCAGGCTCTAAAGGGGAAAAATAAAAAAATAAAATGAGTCACGATAGGTAGTAGCTAATATTCAATCATGATACTTTTTTACCTCATCTTTTGAGGAAGTAATATAGGGTTTAATAGTTTCAAAATCAAAATTTTTAGGTTGTGTAATATTCTCTAAAAAGGGTGTAAAATTATAGTGATTTGTTCTAGGATCTTTTAAATAATGAACTCCCGGACTATATAATTATAATTAAGATATATTCATATACAGTAATAACATACATAGTTACTTACTTGAATAATACTCTATCTAAACCATGAGCAAGAGTTGCCACAGGCACTTTTGAAGGTGGTTCAACGCCTAAATGGACAAAAAAAAAATCAAAAAAAAAAAAATCAAAATCAAAATCAAAATCAGATCAAGCACTTTTCATTCAAATTGACACATATTTACGAGTATACTCCACGTCTTTTGATAACTCTTGCCAAACAGGTTTTAAACCTATTTTCTTTAAACGTTTTGAAAGCGAGATATGCTTTTTTTTTACTACTTGTTTCTCACAACCTTTGATACAACGGTCAAAGAAAACTTCAGCAGCTTCTTTTTTTATAATAGGTGACGATTCAGTTGAGCAGCAACGTATTGTTTGAAATAATGAAGGGATAGATTCATATTTTCTAATTACCTGATGACTTAAACTAAGCATCGTTATAAAAAAAAAAAAAAAAAAAAAAAAAAAATGTTATAAGGGCCCCGAATGTCTGAGGATTATTTTTATTTTGTAGTCTATTAAATTTTAAATCAGCGAATCTTCAAACTGAATTACCAATAAGCACATCGCATTTATATACTGTTTTGCCCTGAGCAGATTGCTAGGGAAAAAAAAAAAAGAAAAGAAAACCCCTTTTGGGATATAAAGGGGAAAATGTTAAAGTGTATGTATAAGTGATGATAATTAACTATCAGAAAATTGGTATTGTGTTGAAAGAGCTAGATAGTCCATCTCCAAGCAGAATTGCACATATAGAAGGCCAGCGTATGAGCCAGGTATCAATTGATTTTCTCACTTTCTTAGTAAGGAATGTTGATGGTAATAGGAGATTCAAGAGATAAGAGAGTAGATCTTCAATAGATTTGGGGCATCTGAAGGCGGTTATGCATATATACAAACAAGAAAAACTATGTGAGCGTGTCAAGAGTTCATTTGGATGGATGGAAGGGGCCAGGCTTGGGGGTGCGTGTCTAATATACGAGCGTTTGTTCGTATATCTGCCAAATTTACTGTAAAAAAAAAGGAAATGCTAAAACATCAGTCTTTTTTAATTTGGTTTTTAGAGGAATTTGGCAAATATACGAAAAAGGTGAGCGGAACATTTAAAATAACTTTTATTGAAACTAACATTGTGTCTCAATTTAATTTTTTTTCCACTTTGTCCCATTTTCGCATATTCTTATTTTATTGACCCAAACTAGTTTCATCGACTGTAAAAGGGGCCAACTCAGCAGACTTTTATGATCTATACATAATTGCCACCTTTAGTTTATTTTCTTCTTCCTTGTCTTCATCAAAGAGGATCTTTATGTAAATACTTTCGAGAAAGAGTACTTGTAAAATATTAAATAAAGTTTTGCATGCTTCATAAATAAGCAGAACCGTATAATATATACAAATATGGAAGTTTCAATTTTAAGCTTTTTAATGAAGATAAGAATCTTTCTTTTAAAGGAAATATTCATTTTATATGTCCGTCTGTTATCCAAAATAAGAAGCTCGATCTAAACAATCATATTGATTTTTGAAAGAAAGAAATAAATAAATAATTTACCAGCAAAAATTAGAGTGTCACATACAATCAAAAGTTTGTTGTATGTAAACTGGAACAAAATCTCTCTTTTTTTTTTTTTTTTTTTACTAATCTTAAGGAATGAAGTACTCGCAGCAGCTGCAACAACAACATTTTTTTTTCTAAAAGACGGAAGGATGTGAAGCTTGATAGTCATCATTTGTTGAAAGATTATAAAATCTCATTGAAAATACCTGATATCAATACTACACAATAAGTTCATCCTCTTAACATACGCATCCTATGTCTAGTCTAAGAAAATAGAAATCTCATTTGTAGCATCATTATGAGCTACATATTTGAATTTACACTCATTCTTTATAGTTGGTTAATTGAACGTTCAATTAATTCACAGAGTTGATAATTAACTAGTGAATTTCTAGTCATGTAGATTTTTTAGATCGTTCGTTCTCCTACAAAAAAATATATATATAAAATGACAATGAAAGTAATAGTACATATATATATTTATATATTTACTTGACCAAGTAGTGATCTAAAAGAAACGATTTTAAGGATTTTTACTTGATTTATCTATAACTGTTATCGTGACCATTAAAGTATTAATCCAAATGGATGATAACGTTCAATATACTATTGATGATGTTGAATATATAATAAGAATCTTCACTGTGACAGCAATCGTTGTTTTATTTTATTTTATTTGTACACAGGATACATACAAGTATTCATATATTCTATTCATCTGCAAAATAATAAGATTAAGCATACAAACTACTGATGGAGTTGACTCAATTTGAACAGGAATGTAGGTTGTAAAGCATAATAAACCAATTAAAAAAAAAAAAGAGGCTCTTTCAAGATATGCCATCTATTTTAGTCAACATAAAGAGTTTGTCTTTATACATAATTGACGTAATCAAATGTTATAGCTATTATTTATTTTGCAAAAAAAAAAAAAAAAGGAAATTGTGTACAAAATGTCATATTACATAATTAAAAAAATCAGGTTTGTTTGTTGTTTTTTTTTTCTTTTCTTTCCCTCTTCTAAATTGACCTTCTTAATCTTTATTCTTCTTTTCTTTCTTTTCCTTCTTTTCTTTTTTCTCTTTCTTTTCTTTCTTTTCCTTCTTTTCCTTCTTGGCCTTCTTGCTTTCAGATTCTTCTACAGAATCTTCAGCAGGACGCTTAACACCTGCAGTAGTAGTAGTGGTAGTAGCAGCAGTAGTAGCCTCAGTAGCGTCCTTCATAGCTACATCAAGAACAGTAATCTTTGGCTTAAGACCAGCAGCAGCAGCAACTTGTTCAGATGAGGTACCAAAGACAGGAGCAGGTTCCTTACCATCAGGATTATTTGAATAATCAACATAAACATTCTTCCAACTTTCAGGTGTTTCATCCGTAATACGGCCATATTTATCAAGTTTACCTTCAGTCTTGAGCTTCTTCTTGGCCAATGCAACGGGACCCATACCCCATCGACGAGGATAAGTATCACGTTCCATGATAACACGCTTCACCTTGGCAACAACACCGTGATCACAGGTAGCCATGACAGCTGTTGTCATTTGTGCATAGGCCAAAGCAATAGCTTCACCCTTTGTAGTCATCAATACAATCTCATCATTTACTTCAATACCACTTTCGAAACGCAAGAGACCAGGCAACATGAGTTTAGCACCATAACAGATAGCATTCACAGCACTATCTTTTACAACAACACGCTTATAGTTGGTCAAGAGGGATTCCAAAGGACGAATAACACGACGAAGATAACTTTCATCCTTTGTATTGTCATATAACCATTGTGCATCCAAAACATCATGCATAGTAACGATATCATCCTAATATATTATATAAATAAATAAATAAACTGCTTTTGTTTATATTATCTCTCCATTTTTGGATGAATACTTACATTTTCTGAAGTAGTACCAGAGCGAACACGACGAAGTTCTTGCATGTGTCCACCTACACCGAGTAAAAGACCCAAGTGAACACAAAGAGTACGCATATAGGTACCAGCTTCACAAGAAGCCCAAAAGACGGCAAGATGACGATCATTGTCAAATTCAAGTAATTTACTTTCATGAATTGTACGAACACGCAATTGACGTTTGACAGCAGAAATGAGAGGAGGACGTTGGAAGAGAGCACCGGTCAAAGTTTCAATAGCCTATCATGATCATGATTAATTTTGTTTGCTTTCCTTTATAAAAAAAATAATAATCATATTCTTACTTACTTGAGATAATTTCTTTTCACTTTCAATAGAATCATGAAGTCTGAGGATGCAGACGTATTCCTTACCAGCACCTTGTTGTGATTTGACCAAACGAGTAGCTCTATCAATACAAACAATCAAACCACCAGTAACCTTAGGATCCAAAGTACCACTGTGGCCTGTCTTTTCAACACGAAGGATACGCTTAATCCAGGCGACAACTTCATGAGAAGAAGGATTAGCAGGCTATAAAGAATTCACAAAAAATAAAATAAAATAAAATAAATAAATTAATAAAAATAAAAAATAAAAAGATTAATCAACTGATCATTTTATTAAATGTAATGTTTTAATTACCTTATCGAGATTGATAACACCATAGCGAACATAATCATCAAGTGGACGCTTCAAAGGTGAACAACCGCTAGGGATGGGTGTATAATGACCAGTACGAACATTTAATTGATCATAATTCTATTATAAAAATTAGTCTCCAAAACTCATCAAAACAATATAATGTCGTTACCTTCAAGAGAAGTGGCCAGTTGGAAGTGTCAATGGCAGGAGCAGTAGCAGTGGGTTTAATAACTGTATTATCAGCCATTGTAGTTGCAAAAAAATAAAATAAAATAAATAAGAAGTTTTGAGATATTAAAAAAAAAAAAAAAAAATTTGACAGACAGAACTTGAAACTTAGCACAGACTACCTAAGGCTAAAAAAGCCACGATGTGACTGGTATAGTTAAAAAAGGAAATATTGCTTCTCTAGTAGCATAAAGAAGTGTGTGTTATCTTTTCTATTTGAATTACTCTACTTGACCAAATACTCCCAGTAAACAATTCTCCATATAACAATCGAATACTACATAGTACAACTTTGGTTTAGTTGTAAAGTATTTTATGAAGTTAAGAACAACAATTCTATTGTAATTTACTTGTTTGTATTTGATATACTTGGTAATGGAAAAAAAAAAACAAAATAAATGGCTTCTTATCTTTTAATAAAGATCTAGTATATTATTTACGAGACTATAATACCAAAAAAAAGGTACCTACACAGTATCAGAAGATACTTTAGCGATTATACATTAAGTCTTTAATTTGTAATAACCCTTTTTAATCAACAATATTCTTTCTTAAAATGAAGTTGGTGGAGTTATATGATCAAGACCTAATGACCCTTATATGATATCACAAACCTGACTATTTACTCTAAACTTCTTAAGAGAGATATCTCTACATTGCCTTTAGTTTTAAATAATAACTACAAGTGAACATTCCAATCAAGAAGCTATTATTTTTATTTTCAAACTATTCGGTAATAATGATACTATTGATGTTCATTATAACAGTACTGATCTAGCATCTGTTTTTTTGCGCAGGGAGGCTAAAGCAACAACAAAGCAATAGTTTAAAATAATAATGAACCTTTGCAAAACTTCTTTATATAATGACAATCGGCACATTTTATATCTAAAAAAAAATATGTCGTGTTTTGTGATATATTTAACGATTCTTATCATTACTTGGCACATATTAATTATATTAATTAACTAGAAGGGAGTCAGATTAATATAAGAAAAGTAATGCTCATTATTTATTCATTTTATTTTTGGAATTAGCCAGGGAAATGCAGCATGAAAAAAGTCCTGTGTGCTCATTGGTCGTTTTTAATAAATAAATTCTTTTAATCTTAAGGTCGGATCATGATTTCTACGCAGAATGAATAGGGGTGTGCATAACCAAAAAAAATAAAATAAAATAAAATAATAATTTAAAACACTTGTCAGCCTTATTAATTTTTTTTTACGTCGTGTGTGATTTAAACCAACCACCACCTTTTGTTATTTACTTTCCCCACTTTTAATAATAAATATGGAAGCACCCGATTTTGAGGTACATTTTATTTTATTCTATTTTATTTTATTTTAAATAAATAAATACATTAGTCAATTAACTTCATCAATTCTAATTCTAATTTTTGGTTTAGGTTGCTTCACCTCCATCAGATGGTATTTCGAGCCTTGCATTTTCCTCACAAACAGATATTTTAGCAGTTTCCTCTTGGGACAGTATGGTAAAAAAAAAAGAATTGAACTAGAGATAATACTTGGAAATCAACTTTAATTATTTTGAGTTAGGTTCGTCTTTATGAAGTTCAGCCAACAGGTAATACCATTCCAAAAGCCTCTTATAGCCATGAAGGCCCTGTTCTATCTGTCGATTGGTCAAAAGTAAGTTATTTTATGATATCCTTTCCGCTCCTTTTTTATTTTATTTTTATTTATTTATTTTTTTTTTTTATTATTTATTTTTATTTTTTTTTATTATATTATTTTCTTATTTAAAACTATATCTGTAGGATGGTACTTCAGTTGTGTCAGGTGGCACAGATAAAGCAGCTCGTATGTATAATCTCGCGACTGGTCAAACAGTTCAAGTTGCAGCACATGATGAACCTATCAAATGTGTCAAATTTCTCGATAACCAACCTAATATCTTAGTTACTGGCAGTTGGGATAAAACCTTAAAATATTGGGACTTACGAAGCCCAACACCTATTGGCACACTTCAATTACCCGAACGTTGTTATTCAATGGACACTAAAGCTAATTTATTAGTCGCCGGCACTGCAGATCGACATGTCATTATCGTGAATACAAATAATCCTACTACCATCTTTAAGCAAGCCTTAAGTCCCCTCAAGTGGCAGACACGTTCTGTAGCTTGTTTTATTGATGGAAGTGGATATGCAATTAGTTCCATTGAGGGACGTGTAGGCATTCAATATATAGAGGAAAAAGATCTCAGGTAAATCGAGAAAAAAAAAAAGCAGCAAAGCAAATTTTCTATACAACTAACTGGAATACATAGTAAATCTTTCTCTTTCAAGTGTCATCGTGATGAAACAAAGAATGTATACGCAGTGAATGATATTTCATTTCATCCAACGTATGGTACATTTTCAACGGCAGGAGCAGATGGAACGATCAGTTTTTGGGATAAAGATTCAAAACAACGCTTAAAAACGTTACCAAAATCAACAGGAACCATTTCTTGTACTGCATTTAATCGAACGGGCAATATCTTTGCCTATGCAGCCAGTTATGATTGGACAAAAGTAAGAAATTTAAAGTAAATCTTGTAAAGCATATATGTATCTACATATTAATACTTATTATCTATATAGGGCTATAAATTTCAGGCTACTGAAGGTCAAGTAAATAAACTCATGTTACATGCTGTAAAAGATGTAGAAATCAAACCTCGACCAAAGAATTAAAAATATTTATTTTTTTTCTTTTTATATAAATAAATATAGCTCCTTTAAAGGAGTTTGTTAAAGGAGAAAGTACGACCCTATTCGCTTCTTATTATTATCATTATCTTTCTTTTTTTTATTTTCTCTCTTTCTCTTTTTTTTTTTTTCTTCCTTTCTTCTAATGCGCCCATTATCTATTTATTCAACTGTAGAAGAAGTAGATCCATATAGAACGAAAAGAAAAGGTACGCATTTTTTTTTTTATTTTAAATCCCTATCCTAATTTTTTTTTCCAATTGTGATAGAAAGTTCTTTAAAATTAACTACACAAGCTATATTTCAACCCGAACCAGGGAGAACACATTCTTATTTGCCTTATTCGAATCATGCTCTTGATCTCACACAATCTCGTCGTAAAGCAGAAATTCATCTTGAAGAGCAACCCCATTATGCAGCCTCGTTTGTGTCATCAGAACTAGCTAATGAGGAACAACGATCCCATCCTAACTCACTCCATGTCTCGGTTGTTGCTGATCAGTTTCATAAACGACTTGCACGGAACCGTACAATGGAACCAAGATGTCGTCGATTCTATCTCTGGATGATCTTGATTGTGCTCGTTATTAGCTTTCTCATCTTCTTTTGTTGGCCCCGTACATTTAAGATTCGGTTCAACAAGGCAGGAGAAAAGATAGAACGCGTAGGTGATCCAGCCGATTGGGGACCTAGTCAACAACCTTGGTTAAGAGCCTCTTGGAAACTTAATCTTACCCTCGATAATACAGTGAATTGGATACCTACTTATGTAAAAGAGTTGGAGTTTGTTCTGATGGATCGAGATACTCATTCTCCTTTTGCTTGGTCAAGTTCCAGCTCATTTCTATTAAAAGCACAAGAGGAGGTGATTTCACCTGTATTCAGAGTGAATTATGAACCTCCCAGCGTAGAAGATCCTACATTTAAAAACTTGTATAATGCATGTGGACCTCAGATGCCGAGTGAATTACCGATTCTAAATGTTACGTTACAAGCAGGTAAAAAAAAAAGGGGAATGCTTGTTATAAAAATATTAATTAAGCATATTAGTTATTCATATTTCAGGTCTTTTGTGGTCCTCAGTCATGATAGTACGTCCCATAGATGGACTTTATTGTCCTTTTAATTAAAATTAATTAGAATAGTAAAATTTATTTTGTATACAAAAAAAAAAAATATGTGTCTTTTTTTTTTTATTATTATTATAATTATTTATCTTCTTTTTATATTCCATTCACCGACAAGTGGTTTATATTCATATTCACGGTCTTGAATAACTATCTTTGTAGACTGCTTATAGTAAGACTGCTTTTGTTGCTGTTGTACTGTTTCAAAAAAATAAACCATTTCTTTAACTTTTGAACGTTTAGATTGAAAAGGACAATGATCATCAATATTATCATCAACAAGCGTAATAGAAGAAGCAATAGAGCAAGCAGAAGGAGATAATTGAGGTGTGACAGTATCTTCATGTAATAAATCGATATCATGACTTGTTGTAGTAGTATCGATGACTAAAGGAGGAGGCTTACACATCTTCTTCTTTGTGGTTTGTTTTTTAAATAGATTAGATAAAATAGAAACTAAGTTTATATACGTATGCTAACTTATTAATCATACTCATTTTCACTATTTTCATTATTTATACTTTACATATGCTATGAACAAGTATAAAAGGAATGACTGCTGTAATAGTTGTTATCTTGATAATTGACATAATAAAGGAAAGTAGGATGAAGAGAAAAAGACTAAGAAAAGAATAAAATAAAAATTAAATTAAAAAATTAAAATACATTTCATTATATGACTTTACTTTTCTTCTTTTATCATCATTCACATTTATTATGAATGAAGGGAGTAAAGAATGAAGGAAAAAGTTAAAAAAAAAAAAAAAAAGTGTGATAAAAAATGATAAAAAAAAAAAATAAATAAATATGATTATAAATTTTATACACATGAAAAAAAATCCCGCTTAAGAAGTTGTCAACTTTGTTAATTTATTAGCATATTTGCTTTATTGTTGTTCTTTATTTTACTGATTTGTCAAACGTTTTACACAACTTTAACGTTATCTCTTTTATGGCCTTCAAACCAAAAATAAATGGATTTTTATTTTAATTTTTTTTTTTTTTTTTTTGTTTCTTTATTTCAATTTATTAAAATAAACTTTCTTATTAATGTTAAGCATTTTAGATAGTTTTTAATATAAAACAAACTTTTTTTTTTTTCATTTTTTTTTTCATTTTTTTTTCATTTTTTTTTTTTTTTTTTTTTTTTTATTTTAGACTTGAATTTTTTAAAAAAAATTAACCAATTGAAATAATGTATTTTTTTTTTTTTTTTTTTTCATCTAAACTTTACAATGATAATGCATTTATTATCATTTTTATTTATTAGTTATCAGTATTATCATTTTTATTTATTTATTTATTTATTAATTTGTTAGCATTATATCACTATTATTATTGAAAAGAAATGAATAGAATGAACATGTTGTCAATTCCGATTCAACATTTACAACAATCTGACTTTCACATTAATACTGAAACTGATCATATAATATTACATGGCAACATGGATGAATCTGCAGGCGTCATACTTCGTGGTTCAGTTGTCCTCAATTGTCATGAAACAACAAAAGTAAGATCAATCACTTTAAAGTTCATTGGTAAAGCAAAAGTAAACTGGATAGAAGGTAATAGAGGATAGATAAAAGTGTCAAAATGGTGTCTTTCATGATTTACAAAAAAAAAATAAATAAATAAATTAGGTCTTGGATCTCATCAACGTCATTATAAAGAAGAAAAAACACTTATAAAACATGAATGGTGTTTCTTAAGTCCTAATAAGAAAACATATCATTTACCAGAAGGCCACTATAAATGGTAATAAAGGCATCATCTGTATTATGGATTATACCTATATTTATATTCTTATTTATAAGGGATTTTGAACTTCCTTTACCAGGCGATTTACCAGAATCTGTCGATCATGAGCTTGGTCAAGTTTATTATCGTCTTAAAGCAGTCGTAGACCGTCCAACATTTTCAATGAACTATAGTGATCGAAAAGAGTTACGTGTTTCACGTGTACTTTTACCATCTTCCTTGGAACTCTCACAATCTTTAGTCATATCTAATACTTGGGTAGATAAACTGAGTTACGATATTAGTGTACCTAGTAAAGTATTCTCGATGGGTAGTTTGATCCCAATTACCTTTGCACTTGTACCTATTGCCCCTGATTTACAAGTGAGATCTGTATCTTGTGTTCTGAAGGAGTACATCACTTTATCAGCCGAAGATCATTCTAGAATGGAAGGAAAAGTGATAAAGCTTTTAAGAGATGAACAGTTTAATTTAGGCCCGGATCCATGGACCAAAACTGAGCTTCTGCCTGTACCTGATTATACTTCACATCTCGTCTTGACAGATTCCTTGTGTGACTTGATAAAGGTTAAACATAAACTGAAGTTTATCGTTTCTTTAATCAATGCGGATGGTCATATTTCAGGTATAAATACCTAGTTAATTCTATTTCCTTTTTATTTATATACCTTCCCCCTCTTTCTTCTTCTTTATATATAGAGCTGAGAGCAGCTATCCCTATTGTGATTGCAGAGATATCTCCAGAAGAAGATGAGAATGCTTTACCGTCTTATGAAGATGCATGGAGATCAGCACCTTATGATCCACAACAGGTATCTCAATTAATTGCTAGAGGTGATTTACCACCTTCTATAGCAATATCAGCTCCTAATGAAGCAGCAAGTGGTGTCAATGCCATGTTATCTTCTTCTGATACAGATGATGAAAATGATTCAATACGTAATAATAATACGACGCCAGCTTGGGAAGGCATTGATCTCTCAAGGGTACCATCTTATACAACAGCTATTCGATCAAATCGACTTTATAGTTTTTCTGGTTCATTACCTGGTTATGATGCTGTTGTAGCCGTACCAGGAAGAAGCTCATAATAGTGACATATTTATTGCTGTTGTCTTTTTTTTTTATTATTTTATTTTTGTACATTATAATAGTTCTGTTTTTTTTTGACTGAGGAAGTAGTAGTGGGAAAAAATTTTTTCTCTTGTCCAATAAAAAAGGTGGATTCCCTACTACCAGACTTCTAATTTTAAATAGTAGGTTTCCTAATATGGAAACTATCAAAATTATCCTACTGTTCTTTATGTTTCACTTAATGTTAATCAACTAAAGGACAATACACAATAGATTTTTTTTTTTTCTTCTTTTCTCTCTCTCTCTCCCTTTCTCTTTAATTTAATAAACACGTATGCCTTACAAGTGAAAAAAAAGGAACCATTTTGCTTCTTCTACTTTTTCTTCTTCTTCTTTTTTTTTCACTTCATACCTTATTATGCCTTTCATAACCCTTAGACGATCAGCGTTATACGTTTCCCAAAAATGGTTTTATACCTTAGGCATCAAAATTGCATCTCGACCTATTCTTGTTCTTTTTTTATCCTTTTTCATTATATGTACCTTATCCTATTTTGCTGCCATTTTAACACATGATTATTATAGTATTAACCCCATTACAACGTTGGATGCCCATCCGTGGCAGTTTACACCTCACATTCAAGTAACACAATCACCAGCTACTTTCATTATTCATCAAGTACGACTCGTTTCACCTACTCGAACAATCACTAAAAGTTTCCTCAAGACATCACTCGCTGTCTTTCGATCTCTAACTACATCACGTAAGCTACGTCAATTATGCGTGATGGTCAAACACCAATGTTTCATAATATCGCCATTTGGGTATTGGAGCAATACTAGTTTGACAAAGGCAATTAGCAGTGATAATGAGGATCTATGGATGACAATAAATTCAAGTCTAGGACTACATCCTTTTACAGTATTGGGAAATGTAACTTGGGATGATCGAGGGCATGCGATAAATGCTGATTCTATCATCTTTACATTTGTGTTGAATAATCTACCAGACACAAATAAAATATGGCATGCTATTTGGCAGCATACTATACAACAATTTCCAGACTGGCAAGCAGATTCCTTTAGTGATATTTTACCTTTTCTAATCCAATTCAGAGTAAGTGTAAATAAATCATGGAGTATGCATATTATTAATCAGTTTTCTTTTTATTATTATTAAAAAAAAAAAAAAAAAAAAAAAAAAAAAAAAAAAAAAGTTAAAATTGTTTTCATTTCCAAATACATTTTCAATAAGCATTGTCATTTTTACAATAGTCTTGCTCTCTCTTTATTTGAGAATACAGTTTGCAAAATTTCGCATGATTAAATCAACTTTAGGACTTAGTGTAGCAGTCTTATTTTTGTCTTTCTCGGCTTATATGATGACAAGAGCGCTAAGTCCAGTACAATTTTGGATAGGCTTAGGACTCTGTACAGTACCTACCTTACAACTCACACTATTATTAACAACTGCTGTTTGTTCCAAGGACAAGATTAGTATCTGGGAACGTGTTGGAAAAGGTTTGCAAGAAGTCGGAATGACAATGACAACTACACTATGGCTTGAATGGCTATTATTATTAATAGCATCATGTATCATGCCCAATTTACGTTCATTATGTTATTTTATGATAGTAGCCTTAGGGGTTATCTATTTATTAACAACTACCTTATTTGTGGCCATCTTGGCTATTGATATTAAACGTGCTGAATTAAGTGATCTGAGCCGTCAAAAGAAGCCGCTGCCAATCGTTAAGAAGTATAAGCCAAAGAAGATGATCAATATTATCATTGTAAGTTTTTGTTCATTTTATATATATATATATGTATATATATATGTGTGTATTATAACTGTTTAGCATTAATATTCCTTTCCTCTACTCTCTCCACTTCCCCACTTATCACTGTTTACACCCCCCTCCTTTCTCTTTCTCTCTCCCTCTCTCTCTTTTTTTTTTTTCTATCAGCTTTCCATTGTTTTACTTTTTTTCAATTTTTTTGATTCGACGTCTCAACAGAATTTAATAGACCTATCAAGACAATTTTGGCGTACCTTGAATCCCAACTATACCCCACAAACAATTGAGATTCATGCTCCTCATATATTGACACAGACACCCCTTGATGGATTACACGACACCTATCAAGCCAAGTTTAATGCATTACACCAATTAATATCTACGACTACTACCACCATTACCACCTTTCCAATCATACTACATCCGTATTTGATTCTAACCCGTTTATCCACCTTTGTCTTATTTTTTATATCTATGACTCTCATACTCTATACAATCCCTTTTACACGAAAATATCTTTTCCATCTATTTAAAAATAGGCTTGGACGTCCTGAAAGAATTCAATCGAACCATGCTAATTCACGACAACAACAACAAAGGATGAGAGTACGTACACTGATGGGTGCTCATATTTCTGATCTTCGAGATTTGGCAATGACGAAGGATAGAGTAGCATCTATTGATCAAGAAGGACAGTTAGTACTCTGGGATCATCCTCGGTCGTCCTTTTGTTGTTTATTAGAGCGTGGAGCACGGTGTGTTCAAGTCTTGGATGATAAATGGTTAGTAGCAGGTTTCCAGCAAGGACGTGTGGCTATCTGGGAGATGGAGACGATGAGGCTGGTGCAAGAATGGTATGCACCAAGCCATGTGACCTACGTTAATTTCTTGAATCCATCGACACTCATCTCTGTCCATCGGGACGCTATTTATGAATGGCAAGTAGGCAAAATGACGCCACAGGAGAGGATACCGTTGTCATTATGCCCCACAAGGGCAATAGAGTTGATCTCAAATCTAGACTTGTATTATTTAGTCATTGCATTTAAACAAGGTGTGACATGCTGGAAATGTCACGAGGGGGGGCAATGGCATCTACTCTATACGATCGAGGAAGCAACCAAGGTGATGACAGTAGCAGCTGAACGTGAAATCCTTGTGACAGGATCACAAGATGGTACGGTCAAGGTCTGGCGTCTTGATACTGGATTCGCTATCTGTACATTATCAAAGGGTTATGAATCGATCCATCATCAACAGCAAAGACGACAAGAAGGAGGACGAAGACAAAGACAATATGCAGATGTCATAGGTGGACCCCTTATGGAGTTTAGTACTTTCTTAATGGATCAGCCCACAGGTACTACACCCCATCATCAAGATTCAGTTTCTAAAGTCGTTGTCAAATACTGTTGTCACGGCACTGTCTTTGTAGCCTCCTGTTCATTTGACGATACCGTCCATGTTTGGCGACTTGACCTGGGCATGAATAAAGAACAACTCTGTCAAAGGTGTCAACGACGAAGACTCATAAAACGCTTGAGAAGGAGGAAGGAATGGAATCCGACATTCTTGGGCGAATTAGAACAGAGAGGAGGACGAGGGATCGTGTTCTGTTCTGGTGGTATCTTGGCTGGTGTACGTCAAGTCAATGATCAATGGGAAATGTGGATGACAACCTGGCTACACTACTATGAGCCATCACAAGATGCATCGATACCCATCCTCACCTTTCATTTAGAGCCCAATAAGGAAACAGAGGAAGCTGTCACTACAACAGCTCTTGATACATTTTTATTGAAATGGGGTATTAAAAAGGTGACTCAACGAACGGTTATCAATAATAATAATAATAATAATAATAACAAGAACAGCAGCAGTAGCAATAGCAGTAGCAATAGCAGTAGCAATAGCAGTAGTAGTAGCAGTAGTAATAGTAGTAGTAGTAGCAGTAGTAGTAGCAGCAACAACAATAAGGAAGATGATGAGGCTTATGAACTATTACCATTTAGTACGGTACGGCATGTAGTTGTATCACAAACTTGGATTTGTTGTGATTTTGGGAATTTTATTAAATGTGTTTATTTTAATAATAGTAACAAGGAAATAAAATAATAATAACTAAGTCTATTGTTCTGGAGGACAACATGCATTTTCTAAACAAGAGTCTTCTATACAACGTAATAAACATGATGATGCAGTACTTTGTGAATCCTATTTTTTTTTAATGAAATAAGCCCATTTTTTTCTTTAAAAAAAATAAATAAAAACATGGTTGTCCTATAATTTTACCTCATTTGCTATTGTCTCATGAATAGATGGTTCTATTCCATCCATTTGTAACTTTTCTTCAATTACTGTGTCCATACTAAACTCGGGTTGAATCGTTACTGAATGAATACCATATTGATGCAGCAATTCTCGTATCTTTTGACCTAATTTCATATATGCTTGTCGTGACTTTATCAACACATGAAGAGAAGCAATCAATTTTGTGTCATTCAGTTGCCAAATATGAAATTCATGAACTGAAAGTACTCCTTCTAACTAAATTTAAACAAGTAAATTTGAAACAAAAAAAAAATAATAAGAATAAGAATAAGAATAAGAATAAGAATAAGAATAAGAATAAGAATAAGAATAAGAATAAGAATAAGAAAAAATAATAAGAAAAAAATAATAATAAGGAAGGGGGAGGTATAAGTTGGTCCTCCCCCCCTTTTTTTTCTTTTTACCTGTAGTATTTCATTATTGACTTCTTGTAATTGTATATTATGAGGTACACCTTGTAATAAAATAAAGGATGTCTGTCTCACTAATAATAATAATAATAATAATAAAAAAGTAGGTGTAAAAGCTCGAGTTATTATTTTAATGTATCTTATTTTATACCTAAAGGAACAGCCGAAATAAATATAATAATGGTGATCAAGACACTAACAATTGGATCAGCATAATATCGCCAATCAAAGGATGTTAACCAGATAAACAAAGCAGATGCAATAACACCCACATTACCTAATGCATCACCTAAAACATGTAAAAATATCTATTACATAAAAAATTGAATAAGTGATGAATTTTTTTTATCTCTTTTTTTTTTTTTTTCTTTTTTAACTTACACCTTTCATATTTAAGCTTCCATGTTGATGTTTACTTGTTTCAATATCTAAATTATGACTATGTCCATGGTCTAGAAAATCAAATTAGTTACGTTTGAAGCCCTCTTTTTTTTTTTTTTTTTTTTTTTTTTCCTTATCCCCTTCTTCTTCTTCTTCTTACCGTGAAATAAAACTAAACCAATTAAATTAGCAATAAGACCAGCGCTTCCGGTAATTAAAACCATTAAAGGATGTGTCACAACTTCAGGAGATATAAATCGTTCAATTGAATCGATGAAGATAGTAAAGCATAATGCTAACAAAAAGACACCGTTGACTAAAGCACCGAGAATTTCTGCTCTTTGCCAACCGTAGGAATATTTAGGATCATATTGAGTCTTTTTAGCTAACTTATATATGTCATTGTTAATTCATGTTTAGCTGAATAATGATAATAATAACTCACTTTAATGGCCCACAAAGCAATACACATGCTGATTAAATCATTTAACATATGAAAAGAGTCAGCAATCTAAAAGTCTCGATTAGAAAAAAAAAGGGGGGGAGGAGGAGTTATGTCTTGTTGTGTCTTTCTTTACGAATTCAATTTACCAAAGCTAGTGAACTAACATAATATCCAATAATGATTTCTACTAAAAAAAATCCGCCTGTAATAACAAGCATAAAATATATTTTCGCTTCTCTAGATATTTTCATAAATAAATAAAACAAAGAAAAAAAATAAAAAAGAAAGAAAGAAAAGGTAGAAAAAAAAAAAAGATAGTTTTTATATTTTTATCTTAAAAAAATAAAAATAAAAAACCCAAGGTTTTGATTTCAATGCATATTGTATAACTAAACATCATGACGCCCCTTCATTTACATATATTACAGCTGTTGCATATTTATTCAAATATTTGCATCTAGAAAAGGCTGCATTTGGCTTTTTATAAATAATTTTATGCATTAAAAATATCCCTATCTTTTTTTTTGTGTAAACACTTTTTTTGTTTGCGTATTCTAAATCCTCTCCTTTTCCAGAATCCCTAACATTTAAAGACTTTCTTTAACAAATATAGGAAATATGTTACTTACTTGCCAGATACACTCACTATCTTAGAATAAAGTTATAACGGTTAAATATGAATTACAATTATCTCTGTTTTCTATATATGAATTAAAAATAATAATAATAAAGGCCTTTTATCTATTTTTTTTTTTTGACATAAGAAAAATGAAGACATAACTCATTTTTCATCATCTCCTGTCACCCTTCAAAATGAATGACGTTGAAAGCTCAAACAACTCTTTTTTTTCTTGTAGAGAAGGGGACCTCACTAGTACCGTAGTAAATAGGACAACCTTTGGTTAACTGTAATTCCTTCAAATCAAAGATCTCTGTAAAAAAAAGAGATTGAATCATGGGAAATCAAAACACTCTAAGCTAGAACAGCAACAATCACAGTATCACATGACAATTTCTTTCTCTCTTTCTCAATATGTATACACATATGTATATATATGAATATATACATGTATATATTTTTATAGGATTTTATTAGCCTCTCCATGAGAAAAGAGTAGGAACAATACTACTCGAACTTTTATATAATGAACAAATGGCTTTCTAAGCTATTTAACAAAAAGTACAGTCATTAAAATGAGGGACTTTTTAATCATTTTTAAAGTTTAAAACGTGATCATCAGTGGATTCAAAAATTTTACAATTTTTAATAAATTCTACCGTTTTCTATCATCGGCTCCTATAAATCTAGTAATTGTAATCTAATAAAGACTTTAAGGGGAGGAAGAAGAAGACGATTGTATTTTGGATCTTCTCTTCTTAGATTCCAATATCTTTACTCATTTTCATTCATATTAGTCAACAGTTTACGAAAATATAAAATAGATATTTTTAATCATTTTAACCCATATGATATCTCTTTGATCTCTCTTTCTGCTCTCTCCCCCCCCCTTTTTTTTTTTTTTTTTTTTTTGAAGATTTAAAAGTGTGGCAATTTCAATGATTTAGAAAAGAAAAAAAAGTAAAAAATCAGGGAAGCTTTTTATATATCATTGTAGTAGTTTCCAACAAGATTTACATACTAATTTGTCAAACTGAAAGCAGTCATGCATTTCTTATCTTTTTCTTTTTTTATAATAAAGATTAGAGCTTACAAAAGAAAAATGATGAAATATTCATCTTCAAAACAAACTCCAACAAACATATTTATTTTTATTCATCCTTTTTAATGAACTTTGAAAACGGTAGTCTGATGACCAGTTTTCTTTTATCCAACTGTGATATCCATAAATTACTATCTGCATCTTTGAATTATACAGCAAAGTAATACATGTATATATTTATATACGTATATTTTTCTCTTCAGCAACAATACAGTTTATAATTATTATTATGAAAAAAAAAAAAGATCCTGCAAACTGTACTTTTACATTTTTTTTTAACTCAATATACGATGATTTTCAATATATTCTCTTTAATAAAGATAAGGATAAAGAAAATAAATTAAACTATAAAACAAGAACCATTTATTAAATTAAAGTAGTTAATAAGACTAAAAAAAAATCTGACCTGGAAACCCTTATATTTAGATCAGTTCGTGCAACCATTATTATATGCTGCCTAGTAACATAATATAGCTGGTGACTGTTTATCTGATCAAAGAACATTCGTTATCTGATTGTAAAAAAAAAAAAAAAAAAAAAAAAAAAAAAAAAAAAAAAGAAAGAAAAGAAAAACTACAATATTCTTTTTTTTTTCTTTCTGTCTGTCTTCTCCCTCTATAAAAAAAAATGACATTAGAACAAAAAAATATTGTCTTTATTGGCGCATCAAGTGCAGGTAAATATATATACATATATCACTTTCCCCCACCCCCCTTTTTTTTTATTTTATGAGCAGTTAAAAAAAAAACACACTTTGCTCACATTTTATGTAGCCATGGGTGCAGCCACTCATTGGGTAGAAAACCATCTTGATAGCCATCGATTAATTCTTATTGAAGAAAAGACACATTATAATCATGTCTTTGCGTTTCCTCGAGCAGCTGTGATGAGTGGGTTTGAAGAGGAGTTGTTTGTTCCTTATGATAATATGTTTCTAGGTGACTCTCGTATTGGACAAGTAGTCCATGCACGTGCTATAGCTATTCATAAAAACCATGTTGAGCTTGATAGGGAAATACCAGGTTTTGGTAACCAAATTAGCTTTGAATATTTGGTCTATACAGCAGGTGCCACAATTCCTACACCAGGTAGATTTAAGGACATTACACGAGAGGCATGTATCGAAAGACTTCGGGAATATCAAAGGGTCATTGCAAAGGCTCAATCTCCTATCATTATTGGTGCTGGTGCAGTAGGAATAGGTAATAAACTATTTGTATGTATACAAAAAAAAAAAAAAATAGTATCTAAAATTAAACACTTGCTTTTTTTTTTTTTTTTCTGTAGAACTTGCTTCGGAAATTAAGGAATATTATCCAAAAAAACATGTAACACTGATACATTCTCGGGCACGTTATTTACCTCGATACAAGGCAAGTTTGGATACAATAACTTATAATATACTTCAAAAGAAAGGCGTTAAACAAATCATGGGAGATCGTGTTATTTTACCACCAGAAGGGTTCCCCTTAGAAGTAAAACCCATTCAAGTTCATACTAAGAATGGTAAGGTTATCCATGGAGACCTTGCTGTAAGTAATCCCCCCCCTCTTTTTTTTTTTTCAAAAAAAATGGTTGGGCGTTATTTAATCTCTTACTTTTTTAATTGATTTAGATTATGTGTATTGGTATGACACCTAATAGTAAATTACTTGAACAATTCATTCCAGAGGCCATCAATCCTGTCAATGGATTTGTAAAAGTAAAACCAACAATGCAAATTGACGTAGATGGTTGGCCGAATATTTTTGTAGCGGGTGATGTGGCTGATCATACAGATGTTAAGATTGGTCATTATGCCTGGATGCAGGGTCTAGCTGCTTTGACAAATATTAAACATATGATCTCGGGAGAACCAGTGGAACCTTACAAGAGTAAAGACCTTGCGTTAATCAAACTGGTCTTGGGAAAGAAGGATGCAGTTGTTCAGACACACATGTTAGGTCCTCTGGTCGTATTGGGGTCCTGGATCGCTGCACGATCAATCCCTGAAAATGTTTACGCAACATTTAGTTGGAATATTTTGAAGGCAGATCCAGAAAAAATAACTTCATCGTCTACTACAGTGGAAAAACAATAAGGAGCTTGCTCTTTATTAAAAATGGCATATAATTATAAACATTTGAAGCAAAAAAAAAAATAAAATAAAATAAAATAAAGTAAAATAAAATTAATATGCAAATGTATATATATCATAGAAGAAGAAAAAAAGAAGGGATAATTAATAATATATTTCTTATGAAAAATAGTGTTATGTTATGATTATCGCAGATTAAAGTTTATAATAATTAAAATATTTAATATAGTAATTATAAAGAAAAAAAAAAGTTTAAATAGAAGATGCTATGTTGTCTATTTATTTCTTATCTATAAAATTTAAAATTTAAAATCAGATAATCACAGATATTACCTTTTGCCAAAATGATGCTGTTAGAATAAAATATTTTTCTAAGGTGTTCCACTTTTATTTATTTAGACATGAGAGTATAAAATAAGAAAAATTATTGCTTATCAAGAAACTTCTTGTTTATTTATGAAGATATTTGTCAGAAACTAAAATTAAATAAATTTGTTTTATAACATATTCGGCGATCATTGAAATAAGATAATCAGAGATAATTGCCATTTATTTAACCTCAGACTTAAAGTACCTGGATAAATAAATATAAAGGAAAGCGACTTCAACTTATTCAAGTATTATACTTCTTTATGTTCTATAAACTTAAGGACGTTAGTGCACTCTATTGACAATACTAAATAAGACTATTTTGTCGTAACTAATACTTTTTCAATGCTTCTCTGATTTTAGATATTCTGATATGAATACCCAACTGTTAAAATTATAAATAAAATAACCAATGGTTTTTAGAACTATTATTCGGTCTCGTTGATTTTATTAGCCTTTCTATAATTCTCTAAAACTTTATATTTAACGTTATTATGATATCTTAATGGAAATATCACAGTATATAATATCATTATTACTGACTAACTATTAATGTTTACGTTAAAGAAATGAATATAATAAAAGCTTATCTACTTTTATAATTTATATTATAGGAAGGAAAAAAAAAAGTGGAATAAATATATATGCATAAAAGGAGAATCTTTTTTTTATTTTGAATACCACAACTCGGCAACTACACCTAAAAGTTTGGGTTTATAAACAAAAAAATTGTGGTAAATAAAACAACTTGATCGGAAAGGGCAGCGCCTTTCTGTTGGCCAAGCGGCGATCATGGAGAGATGAACTTTGTTAGCTGTAGATGGGAGTGATTTAATAATAAAATCGGGGTTAGTTCTGAGCTTTGATGATAACATGCTACCTTCCA